TTGAAGAAAATTATGAAACGGTACCTGAAGAGAATACTCGAGTTAGGAAATGAAGTGCAAGCTACAAGAAGTAAGGGCTGATGATTGCTGTGTTTTTTTTAACGTAGATCTGTCTATCTACGGTTTTTCCCATGTACAAATTTGGATTGCCCGCCCAGTACAAAAAAATTTTGCCTGAATTTATTTTGCCTGAAATTTTGCCGAACAAATTCGCCTGGAACATTGACACGTTACTTCCTCACATCCAACGAGTGTTACATTAATCTTTAAACAAAATTTGTTTTTCAAAATAGATCGATATTTCTCGACAGCTCTGTATTTTTCCATCCATTTGACATTATTTAAATAATACATTTTCTTTAGAAGGGTTGCAATTTGTATCGGATTTTGCATTTTGAAATGCAACTTGTATTTAAAATAATCATCCAATTCCACAAGTTTTAAATCATGAATTTCCAGTGATGATGTTTTATAATAATTTTCTATAATTTTATCGTGATGATAGTTTGTAATGGCTTGATTCATATTCTTGGAGACTCGTTTGAATACATGTTGATAGAAATATGGAAGATAGGAAAGTATGTTCACAAATAAATAGGGATCTAGTTGTTGGACCGAATATATACAACAACAACAGGTTCCGTGTTCATCTTCCTCGATCATCCTGAATTATTGGACTTCAGGAATTTTTTACAGCTCATCCAATTATTTCCTTCGTGTATGTTTGTGTTTTAACTCCGTACTTCCATTCCGTTGTGTAAATGTAAATGGTTGCTCTTTTTGATCATTTCCAAGCTATGGCCAAACTGACATGAATTTGAAGCTTAATTGGAATCCAGTTGGACATCCTCAAAAATTGTTTAAAACCATGTCAAGCCCTCGGAGTTGACAAGCTCCAAAAAAAAATTCAAAACTACTTTTTACTTTCACCCATGTTCTTGCCTCACGCACAACGACAGCATTCATGGCGAGGCTACATGCTTCCCGCTTTCCTTCTGGTAGCCACCTGTTGCCTCATCTTCACCAGCCTTGCCCATGCACAACTGACTGGACAATTCGGACAACGGTATACCATCAGTTCATCCAATTTTACAATGTTTGAATATGATCTGACTTCTCCGGCCGATACTGACCTTGATTTGACTTTTGAAACACCATCAGCACCTCAAAATTCATCTCAACCAACATTCTCACCCTATCAATTTGTTGCTACGACATTGGACAAATCCTCGTATAATTATTATCCAACACCCTATAGCCAATATTCATTGACACTTTTGGCTGTTTTCAAAGTGAACTTTTATGCGAACTCGGCAACACCCAATAACATTACCTTGGGTAGTATCTTTACCTATCCTCGTGGAATTTTGAATACTTATGGAAACACTGTAGTGCAATACATCTTTGATGGTAGTCGATTCGTTCAACCACAAGAAACCTTTACCACACGCGCTGGAGTTGTGTTTTATCAATATAATTTGACACAGGGTCAACAAGTAATTTTTGGAGTATTCGGATATCAATTCACACCTCGATTGTATTCAGCCATTTCTGTGCCTGGACCAAGTCAATATCAATTTACACTCGACTCAACTCGACAACAATATTTAACGATAACATTCCCTTATCAACCCAAAACTCAAAACAATATCCCATCCTTTAGTTTGGGCTCTAACATTCCAAGCTCTTATAATTTACCTTCTGGTTATATAGCTTTGACCTCTTTCCAATATAGCACTTCTGTGAACGGACCTGATACCACAAGCCAGCAATGGATTTTCGCATTCAATTCTCTCTATGGCTTCACTGATGTGAATGGCAAATCTGTTTCAATTAGAACATCTACTTTGAATTGTGCATGTGCTTCTTCATCATATTCATCATTTAACACCATATATGCTGCTGATCTATCTAATAATCAATTGGTTTGCAGTAATTATGGACTTGCATGCAATTATTTTGCTGTCATAGCCAAGCCAACAGTGTTACCAAGCCCATCTCCATCTTCACCATCACCTAGTAGCATTACCAGGCTCACACTTGGCAGTAGTATTTCTAGTAATATTTATTCTAGTTCAGAAAGCAAATATTACAAAGTTTCATTGTATTCTGACACCACTGTGACCATTTCAATTTACGCATCGAGTGGATATGGTTCAATTTATATTTCAAAAGACTCTGTTCCAACATCAACAAATTACGATCAATTAAGAAGTGTATCTTCATACACAACCACACTCTACGTGACCAGTTACTCTTCATATTCGAGAGAAATTTACATTATGGTCACTCCTTCTTCAAGTTATATGAGTTTTACAATTAGTGCCTCTTCACAAAGTATTTATTATTCGTCAACTTATCCGCAAATGATTACTGGAATTGTTTTTGCTAGCATATTTGGTCTATTTTCCTTGATTGCAATTATTGTTGTTATCATTACCATTAACAAAAACAAAAACAGACCGTATGTGAATGTGTAAACAATGATGCATGGAATGTGCATTTTCCATTAATAAATTATTCAGCGTGTGCTCTTTTTCTACGAATACGGTTCTCAATGCAACATTAAGTTGGGTGTTAAGTATGAAACGGATGCTTCAATTCCTCAAACAACAAGATCAGGATTGTTGATTGTGTTTGTTTAAATCAAGTACATGAAGGATAAATCGATAACAATTACTACATTGAAGATTCGGCTCTAGTTACTGCTATGCTAGGTCAATATCTCTTTCTCAGGAACAATGAGACTAGGGAATGTGAAAGAATTTGGTAATTCGTCCGACTGGACCTAACAATTTTAAAATACCCTAAGGTCAAGGTATCAACTTGTTCTCATAAGTAGTGCCTAATGAAGTATGAAAATTTTCATCATCAAAAAAACACACTAACCGTTGCAATGCACGAGTATCAACACCTTCTACTTGTCATGGTTGTTATATTGTTGGTTTCCCTCTGCACAATAATGAATGTTCATGGTAAAGTTCTTCCAGCAACGCTAGACGAATGGTACACTGTGAACTATTCTGCTTGGTACGAGTATAAGCTCCCTTCTCCATCCAACACCAAACTGTCCATTTCATTCAAAGAAGTGTGTACAAATGAACCATATCCTGAATTTATGATGAAAACCATTGCATTGAACCATTCCCTCTATCAACACTTCCAAATTCCTTTCCATGAACAAACAAATAATTTAACCATTCTTGGGCTATTCAATGTAACATTTGCTTCTGATAAGAGTAATAAGAATGCCATTTCTTTCTCGAATTTGTTCCTGTATCCGTATGGTATTGCAAACACGTACGCTAATACTATCCATACTTTCATTTTCAACGGCACACACTTTGAGAAACCACCAAACGAAATCATTAATATCCTTGGATCAGGTTTTCAATGGAAAAACTATTTTCCAATGAATCAAAGTGTCATCGTAGGTTTGTTTGCGTATCAATTCACACCTCAATTCAACTCTCAGATTCTTGTCCCTGGTCCAAGTGTCTTTGAATTTAATTTCATGGAAACTAACAACTTTGCATCTTCTCTGTCACAGTCCATTGCCATTTCATTTCCCCATGAAAGAGGTGGATATCAACATTCTCCTTATTTCACTCTTAATCATTACACTCCATCCGTCAACAATGAAATACCTTTTGGTTATATTGCCTTACGTTCGCTTCAATATAATCAATCGACAGATCCCGCTCCATATCTGGGAGGTCAACGATGGTATTTCAAATTCAATGCAAGTCAGGGTTTTACAGATTTGAATGGACAAATGGTGTCCATACGTACGTCTTCCTTAAAATGTGCATGTGCTAAAGACATGAATTCAAAATTTATCACCATGTGGCATGATTCACTTTCTGACAACCAGTTAACCTGTGACAATGGTGTAATTTGTAATTATTTTGCTGTGATTGCAAAACCAACGGTTGAGCCAACCACTTCTGGCAGCACAATGACAGTAACTCCTATAATGATTGGTTCAACGATTCAAGATGGCATTCATTCCATCATTCTGAGGAAGTATTACAAATTCGACATGCTTCCCAATACAAAGGTTACCATTATGGTTTCTTGTTTTGAAGGAATTGGTATTTTATACGTTAATGCTTATTCCATTCCAGAAACAGACAATTTTGATGAAATGACATACATATCAAGCAGTGTTTCATCTTCATCGTTGACTGTGAACAATTATCTTACGGAAGTGAAAGAAGTATTCGTTATGATTCGATCAAGTGCTTCAAAGATGAGTTATTCCATAACTACGAAATCTCATGAACCTGAGTTTCAAGATCCATTAGGTCCAGCAGCCACTTTTGGAATTGTTGTTGCCTCTGCCGTCTTTGCGATGTGTATTGTGTCAATATTGGTCATTGTGGTACTAGTGATTATGTACAAAAACAAGAAAACTTTTCAAACTACGATTGTCAATTGATAAATTTAAATAAGCATCTAAATATCTGCTATTCCTTTGGTTGAGGAGAGAAATTAAAGTGTAATGGATTTTGCTGCTCCTAAATATTCTTGAGGTAAGTACAAAAACATGACAAGACTGTAGGACTGAAACTGAACTCAAAAAAACAGGTACTTTCGTTTGTCATCGATTAACTTGAAGCTTCAGCACCGGTTGTAAAGAGCTCTGCAACATTAAATTGTGAAAATGTATCGTTCAGCTCTTGGCAGTCAACTTGTCTCACATGGAATACTATTCCAACGTTGTTGCGGAACTAGGGGAGGCCAATGAGAATCTTGCGGTCTTCTATTAAAGATTAGATTGAGGGAACCAATCCCAAAGCGAAGGTATAACATTGTTTCTCATAAATAGTATTACATACCAAATGCACCTTTCATAAAGTATTCCATTGCAAAAAAAACAAAAATCAATTCCATGATGACCAAAAATCAGTCACTCGTTCTAGTCATCTTTTCTGTATTGTTTCTCCTGTCTCTTTCGAGTGAGATGGAGTTGATGACGAGAGAAGATAGTGATTATATTCCCTTATCTTTAGGTTATTGGTACTCTGTGAATTCTACCTCCACTTGGTTTGAGTACAAATTATCATCTCCATCCAAAACCAAATTGACCTTTGTGTTCATTGAAGGGAAAGGAGCATTTCCTGATTTTAAGATGAAAACAACTTCAATGAATGCAACTCTCTATGAGCAATTTCCTTATCCTAAAAGCTCCAAACATTTGACCATTCTTAGTCTCTTCAATGTAACTTTTGATTGGCAGAGTAGTGTTCAGAATTCCATAGTGTTTACCAATATATTTGTTTTTCGGTTTGGTATTGTAAACAGTTATGCAAATACTATCCGTAGTTATATTTTCAACGGCTCACACTTTGTGGATCTCCCAAACGAAATCATTAACTCAGGTGCTTCAGGTTTTCAATGGGACGGCTTGTCGCTGGAAAATCAAAGCATCATCTTTGGTGTGTTTGCGTATTTATTCACACCTCAATTCAACTCAATAATTCCAGTTACTGGGCCAAGTATCTTTGAATTCAATATCCCCAACAACAACAAATCATCATCTCTGTCACAGTCTATTGGTCTTTCATTTCCTTATCAAAGCTGTGGATATAAACATTCACCTTATTTTAGTCTTAATGATTACACTCCATCATCCAAAAATGAAATGCCTTATGGTTATATTGCCTAACATACTCTTCAATATATTCAGTCTACCAATCCAGATCCAAATTTGGCTTACCAACAATGGTGTTTTAAATTCAATGCAAGTCAGGGTTTTACTGATGTGAACGGACGAATTATGCCCGTTGTTCCTTCGTCTTTGAAATGTGCATGTGCTAAGGACACCAATTCAAAATTTGAAATCATGCCAAAGTATCCGTGTCTGACAACGAGCTGACTTGTGAAAATGGTGAAATATGTAATTATTTTGCTGTAATTGGAATATCATCGGTGGATCCATCCCCTTCCATCAGTAATCTGTTGATCACTCCTTTAAATATTGGTTCAACCATTCAAGATGTCATTCATTCCATGTCTCAGAAAAAGTATTACAAAATAGACATGCTTCCAAACACCAAGCTCACAATTACTGCAGCTTCCTCTGAGGGAAATGGTGTTTTATATGTTAAAGATTATTATATTCCAACACAAGACTCCTTTGAAGAAAAGGTTGCTTTGACTGGTAGTTCCTCCTCTCTGAGTGTCAACAATTTTCTGTCGACATGGAAAGATGTGTTCCTTCTCATTGAACCAAGCACTCCCTCTCTGAGTTTTTCCATTTCCACAACTTCTCAAGATATTCATTTTCATGAACCATTAGGACCAGGAGCAATTGTTGGAATTGCTGTTGGTTCATCCATAGTTGTAACGTGTATGGTTTTACTTGTCCTTATTGCACTTGTGATTGTTTACAAAAGAAAGAAAGAAAAACAACATGGTGAAGACAGTGTCAAAACACCCTTAGTCAAATAAAACGTTTTTTGCTCCAAAACATCTCAAATAGATTGAGGTTTTGCAAAATAAATGTTTTCATGGATAGTTTTGCTCCCACCCTAAATGCAACCACAGTCAATGGCTGATGGCAATCTCAAGCTCAAAACAGCCCCAAAGCTGCTCATCAATCTTTCATAAATAAAAAATATCACGATGTGATCGTCATTGTTTAATGCAAATTTAAACAAAGAGTTTATCGCAGTTTTTTATTAATACAGGAAGCAGTAAAAGGAAACAAAAATTTTCTTTGTCCATCTTGTTGAAGTTGCTGATAATCAATAATAATAACCTGTGTGGGTGTGAGATTAAAAACCCTCGCGGAGCAGTAGAATCGAATGAGAATCGAACAATCTTCTATTCCCTCAAGAATTAGGAAATCGCTCCGAGGGCTTTCAATTACCCTAAGCAAAGGTATAAAATGATTTCTCATAAATAGTACTTAATGCAGTCCTTGGTATTACAAAGTTTCAATTTCAAAAAAAAACTCTTGACAATGGCGAAATTCACCATCCTCGCACTTGTCCTCTTTGCAGTGTATGTTTCTCTAGCTCCTTCAAGTGAGGAATTGATAAAGAATGCAAACCGTGATCCAATTCCTGCACGGTTTGATAACTGGTACTCTGTGAATTCACTTTCCTATTGGTTAGAGTATGAGCTGTCTTCTCCATCCAATACCAAATTGTCATTTACATTCAATGAAGCTAACATGAGTGAACCATTTCCAGATTTTAACTTGAAAACCAATGAATTGAATGCAGCTCTCTATCAACATTTTCCTTTTCCGGAAAGCTCCAACAATTTGACTATGCTTGGTCTCTTCAATGTTACATTTTCTTCTTCTGAGAAGAGAGATGAGAACGCCATTACTTTTCTCAATGTCTTCTTATTTCGAGGGGGTATTTTAAACACCTATGCCAATACTGTTCGCTATTTCATTTTCAATGGCACTCACTTTGTGGATCCACCAAACAAAATTCTCTCCACAGGATTGTCAGGTTTTGAGTGGAATCATTTCAAGTTGGAAAATCAAAGTATTATCTTTGGTGTATTCGGGTACCAATTCAAACCTCAATTCAACTTACAAATTCTGGTTCCTGGACCAAGTATCTTTGAATTTTCATTCAAGAATTATCAATTTCCAAACTTGTCACAATCCATTGCCATTTCATTTCCTTATCAGGGGATGAAGAAATTACTCCATACTTCTCTCTTAATGATTACACTCCATCAGCCAAAAATGAAATGCCATATGGTTATATTGCCTTACGTTCGCTTCAATATATTCAATCCACCAATCCAGCTCCAGTTTTAGGAAGACAACGATGGTATTTTATGTTCAATTCAAGTCAGGGTTTTACTGATGTGAATGGACAAGTGGTGTCCATACATACATCTTCCTTAAAATGTGCATGTGCTAAAGACACGAATTCAAGATTAGCAACTATGTGGTATGCATCAGTGTCAGACAACCAGTTGACTTGTGAAAATAGTGGAATTTGTAATTATTTTGCTGTGGTCGCAAAATCATCAGTTGCTCCTTCACCATCTGTCAGTAGTGCTGTGGTCACTCCTTTAACGATTGGGTCAACCATTCAAGATACCATTCATTCCATTTCTCAGAAGAAGTATTACAAAATAGACATGTTTCCTAATACTAAGGTCAACATTAAGGCTTCGTCAGCCGAAGGAATTGGTATATTATACATTAATGCTTATTCCATCCCTAAAGCAGACTCCTTTGATGAGAAACTTGACTTGACAAGTGGCAGTTCTTCTGTGATAGTCAACAATTATCTGTCGGAAGTGAAAGAAGTATTTCTTCTCATTGAACCAACAACGTCCTCTCTGAGTTTTTCCATTTCCACAACTTCTCAAGATATTCATTTTCATGAACCGTTAGGGCCAGGAGCCATTATTGGAATTGCTGTTGGGTCCTCCGTCTTTGCAATGTGTATGAAGGTTTTACTTGTCCTTGTTGCACTTGTGATTGTTTACAAAGGACAGAAAAAACATCGAGCACCTGATAGTGTCTATCAAGCATTAACAAGATAAATCGTTTTATACTTCCAGCATGTCTGAAGAATATTAGCTTAATTGTGTAAAGGTTTACAATTCTTCGAATCGCTCAACAGGCGGACGGAATAATTTCAGTCAAAATTCATTAAATTGAATGAAATTCCACTTCATAGGAGCCCGCTCATCAATACGACCATTCGCCAATGATTGAAGCCCGTTGATACTGTTGTTGCTTGTGTCATTCCAATAGGAACCGCACACTTGTTGAGAGAGGGATTTTATCTCTGTAAATGGAAACATACCGCCGGCTCCGACTGGTAAATCTCCAAACGGAAAGTGATTTAATATCAATTGCAACAAAAAAAAATAGTATTCACACATTGATTGACACTAACAGCATGTATTACGCGATAGAGATTGCAGTGATTGCACTGACATTGCTCGTACTCTATATTTCCTATTTAATTTGGAACAATGTGTCGAAATTGAAACACATTCCGGGAACATGGCAAGGTATGTATTTCGTTTGTTAAATAATATACATTTATTTTTGATCGTGATCAAATAACGTGATTCAATAATTGGCTTGGATTCCAAAATAATTGCAGTCATGTTCGCCCCAACGAAAATTCCTCTTCTCGCTCCCACTTTTTACTTTGGAAATTGGCAAGATATTGCTGATGCTGTTAAAGAGAAAGGAAAGGATGGTGTATTGAGAGTGAGCTATTATAATTTCAATTCTGTCATCGTTTCCAACAAGTCGCTGCTCAAGGAAATATTTGTGACAAAACAGTCAAGTTTTGACAAACCTGCAATAGTCTATGACATGTTTAATATATTTGGAGAAAATATTTTGAGTGCTCTAACCACTGAAGCATGGAAGAGACATCACAAAGTTTGCTATCCTGCATTTTCAATTGATAACTTGAATTACATGTGTGAAGAAGCTGTCAATACTGCAGACTTGTTATTTTCCAAAGTGTGGAATGAACGATTGAAGAAGAATTCGAAAGATGGTAAATCATTCATGTTAGATTTAGATGACTACTCGATGATTACGATTGAGGTTTTGGGAAGAGCTGGATTCGGTATGAGTTTTGGTGTTTTTGATGAAAACGATGAAAGTGGAAGACAACTCAGAGAGGCTGTTGAAATTATATTCAATCGTGGTCTCTTGTTGAGAAGATTCTTTGCTGACACACTCATTGAGAAGCCAGTCATGAACAGTTTTGGAGTCGATCATGCAGTAAATGTGGTGGACACGGCTCTTGGAAAATATATTGACCAAAGAAAGAAAGAACTTGAGCTCGATTTTGATAACTTTTCAAAGAGAGATATTTTAAGCTTGATGGTGAAAGCAAACTTGCAGGAAAAGACATTGACCGATTTAGAACTCAAAAGCAATGCATTTATTTTCACAGTGGCTGGAGAAGGTTTGTATATTGTTTTTACTTTGAAGTGACACTTGACACCATGAATAATATTAGAAACTACTTCAACAACATTATTATGGGTCACTTACGAACTCGCAAAGAATCCTCACATCCAAGAGAAAGCTCGTAAAGAAGTTGAAAATATTCTTCCAAACAAACAAAAACCAACATCGGAAGACTTTGACAAATTGGTCTATGTGAATGCTGTGATTTTGGAATCTTTGAGACGACATCCACCTGTATTCACAGTATTAAAAAGCGCCAATAAGGATGTCACAATTGGTGAATATTTGATGAAAAAAGGAACTATGGTTGAATGTTCATTCTATGGAGTTCACATGGACGAGAACATTTGGCCAGATCCACAGAAATATGATCCAGAAAGATTCATGGATTTGGAATTCAGGAATAAGGTGCAACATGATTTTTCGTTTGTACCTTTTTCCATGTCTCTGCGTCGATGTATTGGCTTCAAATTTGCTCAGCTTGAGGCATGTATGGTGTTGACACGTTTGTTGCAATTTTATAGACTAGAATTAATGAATGATGAGGCGAATGGGGATGTGATCACTCTATCCAATGGTGTCACAGTGAGACCACAAAATTTGAAAGTGAAAATAACTCCATTAGAATAAAGAATTTCAATATTAATTTCGCTTATTTCTTTTTTTTGATATTTGTCTGAGATGACTTGTCCTTGCCAGTATTGGCAGCAACAGACTTTTCCGCTTTGGGATCCATCAAAATACCTTGCTCGGTGAAAAAGAATGGCTTCATTCCTGAGAAATCTACACAAAGCCATTTGTAGAACAATTTTCTGTGCTTATCAAATTCTCTGGAGTTTAGCTTAAATCTTTCTTTGAGAAAAGTATTAAACAATTCTCTTCCTTCAGTTGTAGAGATAACCTCCGGTGAATATGATTGGTCGGTCACGAAATTTGAGAATTGTCCAGTTACTGAATCAGGAGAGCAATCATGTTGTAGTTCTTTTTTCATGACTGAAATTTGTTTTTCTAATTTTCGTTCCACTTCATCTCTGAAAAACTGAATAGCATTTCGCTTATGGTCTGATTCTGCAAAGAATGCACTCGCAATTAAATCATCCACAGTGTTGTCCAAAATACCTAAAATAATGTGCCTGTCACGCACGCTTTTCCCACTTGTTTCCACTCCATGAAGGCTATTGTACCAGTGGGTTTTAACTTTGTACATATCGCCATCATTAAAACGAATTACGTAGCCTTCTACTTGTTGTTGTGAATAAATTTCTTTCAGAAGGTTTTTGGGATCTCCGTTTAGTCCTTGTTGAAACTCTTTCCACACTTTGACAATAGGAATATCATTGGAAAAAGTATTTTTGATCAATTTCACCATTTCATTAAATTCCACATATTCTCCACTTTCATTCTTTCGTATAGCAAGTAATGTTAAACTACTTTCAGTGTATTCAATCACTATAGTTTGTTTGGGTGAACAAAATTCAAAAAGTGGAGTCCATTCCTTCTCAATACAATATTTACAAAAAGAAATGTAACTCTTTCGTTGTCTTTCTTTCATTTCCGAAAAAACATAATCATCTACCAATTGAGCTACTTCAGTAAATCCAAGCATGGTAGTAAATTTAAATCCAAGTTGCTCTTCTGATGATGCTCTCTTCTGAACTGGAACTGGAGATACCAATGAACCATCCATTTTCTCTAAAACTCTAAACCCACGTTTCCAATTAATCTTCTCAACATTAGTTTCCTCCCTTTCATTGATATTGAAAAACTTGTGAAACTTTCTACAAACAATCTCTTTACTTTCCTCATCGAATATTATTCCTCTACATTCCCTTCTCAATTTACTGATCAACCGTTCATGCTCATCTCGAGCCTTCTCTGGATCGGGAAATGTATTTCTCGTTGCTGATTTATATTTGATGAAAATATAACCTTGTTCTTTCCGTATCGTAAATTCATCTTCATTGGCTCTGGAATAATTTTCATCATTGCCTCCAATAATTGCAAATAAACATTCATGAATATCCGTGTAGGTTTTGATAGTTGGAAACATTTTTTTTGAAAAATCATTCTCAAAATTGAATCATCATCATTTTGTTGAAAGTACAGAATTCGTTAACGCGCTCACACTGTTGTTCAACTCGTTATTTGTTATTGGAATTTTGTGTTTTCACATAGGCCTGGACAAGAGATTTGCATGCTTCAGAGAGTTTTTTCGTTATTTTCTTTTGGACTGCTTCGTTCAATTCTTCCAATGGTTTGCAATCACATTCTGAAATCTCACCAGAAGTGACATCTTTGTGGTAGTCACTAAGAATGTCTGCAGAAAATTCTTTCATAATTTGGGAAAGATTTTGTCGCGTAATGGTACCAATTTTTGACTCGACATTGGAAAGTCTGTTCATGGTAATGTATCTTTCCAACTCTTGCCATGTGTTGTCAAAGTCTTCTGATATGCCTTCTTGTGAACGATCCTTTTTAGGTTGTCTGTTTTTCACCTTAGTTGGATTTGTCTCCATAAATTTAGAGTTTTTCTTTTTGATGATGGCTCTAGCACCAACATGAACATTTCTGTTAGCTGCCTTAATTACAACACCCTCACACAAATTTTCCTTCTCGTTCCAATGAACATTCCTTTCCTTAACCAACTCTGAATAATACAAATGAGGAAGGGTTGTGTTAAACTCAATATCAAATGACAAACACTCTTCTAAGGTACCTCGAATGAGAGGTTTCGCACGTACTCTAAAACCAGCACGATCAAGCAATGGGTCAACATGATCAAAAACAGCCCATTTCTCTTCTCCATTTTCAAAGGAACAAAACACATCAAACACATAAAAATCATAATGAGGGCAGTAATGAACTCCTTTTTGAATGTGTTTTCTCAGAATGGAATCCTCACTTGAGGAAGCTTTGGGAAAGTGTCCACCAAATAATTCTCCATAAATGTGAATTTTCTTCAGGACCTTGTCTTTGGATGAGTGTGGAGAGTTGTTTTCTTCTTCCTCAGGTATGGAAGAAGCGCTAAACCATGATGGAGCTTGTTCCGAAATCAAGAAAAACAATTTCTTGGCACAAGTTTCATATCTTTGAAACACTTCCTCGATGGCCTCAGGAAAGAAATTGGTGAAAAGCTTGTCTAGTACAGTCGTTCGATTGGTGAGAGTAATTTGTAATTGATCTGTGTTTGCATGACCATTGTGATGAACGATAAAGCTAAAATTGCTACCGTGGACTTTTTCCGATGCTATCCATTCCACAGGTTGATTTAATTCTCGAAGCTTGGCGTCTTTTTCTCGAATCTTTTGAAGGAAATCACTTCGATAGTGGTTCTCAAGTTTGCTGTAGGACTTGAAGAGGTCAGCGTTTTGGGGTGGGAACATTTTCTTTGTTGTGTGGCATCAAGGAGCGATTGGGTGTGTTAAATTTCAAGGCCGGGGTGAGTTTTTGAAATTGCAGAATTAAGGGCAAGAAGTTCGTAGGGCGTATCTCCTATCAATGTGCTCCTGTAGTTGGATTATTTACAAATAAATATTTATAGTCACTATTGTGAGTTAGTTTAAACCTTGTTTACACTTGAATAAGGTTGAACATCATAGGCAGGTGGTGCATATGGTTGTGTTGGATACACATTCGTTACTGGTTGTTGTTGTACGTATGGTGAGTACATTTGAGGTTGTGGTTGCTGTGTTGGTTGGAATTGTGGTTGACCCATCATGCCAACATTATTCGGATAAGGCTGATATTGTGGTTGTGATGGTAGTGAAGGCTGTTGTACGTTGTTGTAATAAATTGGAGTAGGTTGAGGAGAGTAGCCACCAATTTGTGTGGTTGTTGATGGAATCGTTGTTGTCGTATTCATCACCACTGTTGTTGATGTTGGTGGTTGTACAACGACGGAGGTCATCATTTCATCTTTGGCCATTCCACTTGCAACGTTCTTGTACAATATAAACATACGAACTCCAGTAACCAACGAAGCAATACCACTAATGATGAGCACGATACCAACCACTCCTAAAATTATTGGCGTCGTAATTCCACTGCAGCTGGTAGATGAATTTGTTGAAACAGCAACACAGGCAGCATAGAGAGCACCGACAATGATGGCAATAATTGCAAATATTGTTCCGACTATGATTAACACTATGCCAGAGGAGAGCACCGCCAACGGTCGTCGTCTATGGTAAAAGACAGATTGCTGATAGGGCATGGCTGAACGTTTTTTATTGTTGGAACTTGGCTGGAAGAACTGCTTTGGGGTGATGACGATCAACAGTTCATGAGAGTGTTCATCAAAAAATGTCCTATCACGTGTTTGATGAGTTGATTTTGAGCAATATCCCTTTCATTACTCAGCCGTACCACCTATGTTTTGTAAACTGGTGGATGAACTTGCAAAATTTAAAAAAATTGAAAAAGGTCCCTCACGGTCCGACTGTGTCGAACTAGGGAAGTGTGAAAGATGATTTCCCACTTCCCAAATTTAATGTTTGTTGTCAACATAAAACAAACGCAGTTGGTACCTTGGTTTGGTGTTAGCCGCACCTACAGTAAAGCAACTACTTCCTTCCAGCTCCATTTCAATTCATTACAAATTCACCAAGCTTTTAAACTCGGGCTGAACCTGAAGACGCGCGTTAGCACTGAACTGCAGGAAGCGGATGAGAGCATGGTGTTGGAGACATGGTTGGCATTAACAAAAGTTTTTGGGTGTGACTTGTGTCAGATTATCGAAGCCAGTCTTTTAGACTCGGGGCTGAACCTGAAGAAGCGCGTTAGCACTTGACCGCAGGAAACCAATGAGAGCACTAGCTTGAGGGAATCTGACACACGTCACAGAATATATGCATCTCACTTTATATTCCACACGTATGGTATTGAAACCAACAATGTGAGTGGACATGTTTAGCGCATGCGCTGCATTTGAAAGTGGTGTTGGAACGAATTCCTTTTCTCTTACAAAATTCACATGGTTTGGGTTGTTGGGTCAACATTGGAAAATGTTGCAACGTTGAAATTTCCTTATACCGAGGTTGTCGATCACTAAGGCTGTAAATAATGGCAACCAAATGGCCTAATTGTTGAGGCTTTCGGTTATTGGGTCCCATATGGAAATATTGATATAATTTGTGAGAACCAACCACAAGTGTCTTCATCATTACAAAAAACATGCATCGTTTCCAACTTCTATGTCTACTTCGAAAATGGTACAAATTCAATGCAGCGTCAAATGAATCAACACTTCCCATGTTCATGTTATAAAATCGTAAAATGTCACATCTTGGTGTTTTGTTAGACCCTTTGGCTTTGACACGTTCTAATTCTTCTCTTGGAATTGAAGTGGACCCAACAGACGCCATAAAATTACATTTACCAGAATCAAACACTGAGAGTGCTGCAAAAGCGTTATCATTTCTAACAATAAAGCTTTGATCTCCTTTCTGTTTGAGATCCGGTTGCAAATAATTGGAAAATATTTCGGAAGGCCGATTACTTTGGCAACTCAATACAAATTCAAAGTTATTTTGTTTCAATTGCTCTGCTAATGTCAAACTTCCGTAAAATTGATCAGTAATTATTGTGTACTTTCTTGTGTTGTAATCTGGAAGTTTCTTGGCCAAATCCATAACATAATCAACTACGGTAGTACTAAGGTTATGCTCATTATTTTTCCCTCTGTATAACCAAAACCAAACCTGCATCCCGAAACTGTCACATAGAATAAATAATTTTAAACCTGTGGCATGTGGTTTACCACGGACGTGTTGTCTTCCCTTAAACCGTCCTTTGAACAATATAATACATTCATCAACAACCCCAATATTACTTGGGATCCAACATTCATGAAGCAGGTTGCAAAACGTGTCTAATATCCAATCAATATCGTATGATATGCATTGATGAATTTCTCGAAAACGTTTCTTGGTCATTATGTTGCGAATTAATCCGTTCCCAAATAAATATTCCTCTTCCTTTGTCCAATAATGTGCCAACTCCGGCATTTTGATAAGCCCCATTGTAAAAGTAATCGCAAAATAATAGTTCAATTCCTGCAAGGTAACCTCAGGTTTTTTCAATTCAGCACATTTTAAATTAGTTTTTTCTAAAATATGCTTTTCCACCTCAGCCGTGTATAATTGTTTGAATAATTCAAAACTATTTCCGTTTGTAACTTTGTTTGACGGTTTGCCACATTCTTTGGTGATGTATGGATTACAGAATTCCGGTGCTTTTTTCCAGCCTTCAGGAATATAACCATGCTTGTCTTTGTTGTGGGAGAGGAGAGCTTTTTTGCTTGCAAATTTCTTATTACATTCTTCGCAAACAATACTTGATTTTTTCTTTTTTTTGATTTCTCAATTAATCTACTTGATGTCATTGATTTCTTTCTTTTCTTAGTTTCCTTGGTTTCGGCTGATGAATTATTGTTTGTAGATTTTTTCAATTTTTTAATGCTCCGTAGATTCCCTTCAAACTCATTTTGAGATGCGTTTGGATTAAGTGATGCGTAGAAGTTCATTATAGTTTGGACTAATTGTTGTTTGTTTCCTGATGTCCTAACATGATATTGTTTACATAATTCTTTTAAATTCTTGTTTGTGAGTTGTTGTAGCTCATCTTGTGACATTTTGATGATTTGTTGTTCCGATGATTTTGTTTGTTGAGTTTCACCCGAAGGTAGTTGTTGTGATGATTGTGGTAAAGTACTAGGTTCATTTTGTTGTGATGATTGTTGTGATGAGCAAAATGTGGCGCGTCCGTGTTGTTGTGGCCTGTTTGACTTGCTCATTTTTTCGTTATTTTCCAACAACACCAACGGCAACATTGATTCATAAATCTACTCACTCACCACATGTAAGTGTAAGGATGAAGTCATTGTTTAGTGTGAGCCTGTTGCAAACGGCTGACTCAAAATCCTACACCTCCAAATTAATTTGGATGCGCCTTTCCGAACCGTGACTCACGAAATACAAAAATACGTGGGCATTTTATTTTTAAATTTGCTGCTTTTTGATTGGATGCAGGAAAGAGATATTTTGAGTTTCTTGGAAATGAATGATTTTCAAATATCAAAGCCCTATATGGTGTGTAAATATTGGTACACCTTGATGAATTCGGAAGAATTTGCTGTCATGTATTTGGGAAACCAGTGGTCCTTGACAAGCAATCAGAAACAAGTGCTGAAGAAGGCCGACCGATTTTACCAAAAATTGAGATCAAATTATAGACATTATCTAACACAAATTCAAAGTTACCTCAACGAGCACGATGATTGTTATTGCATGTCGGAGTCGTCGAAAAGAATTGATTCATTCTTTATTTTGGACAGATTTGGAAATGAATTGTTTTATAGAAATTTCGATATGGCTCCTCTGGGAGCTTGGGAAAGGTACAAATTCATAAAAGAGAATACAGTTTCGAGCTTTGTCGAGAGCGTGATTCAAGCACAAGATATGTATCATATTAGACCAATATTCCACACAAAAGGAAAATCATTCGCTTTTATTTCAAAACAGGATTTATATTGTAAGTGTAAACAAAGGGTGCAGAACAAAAGAACCAATATTTTCTTGCGCAAGTCGTTGTGGTTTCCAACAGCATACGTAATAATGCCATGGAAATGATTTGTCTTCTGTACAAGATACATGATCTCTTGTGCGAAATTTTGGGTCGACCCAAAATTGGAATTGATAATATCAGAATTAACCATACACTGATATGGCTGTTGGTAGATGAAGTATTGTGTTTGGGAATGACACAAAATTCAACAGCAAATGAGTTAAAAGAAATTTTGAAAGCGTCGTGGCCTGAAAAAGCTCTTCTTCCTGAAATCATACCGACATACTCGAACGCTCCTTCTGTGCATTTTAACGCAACTCCTATTGAATACAGAAGAAATGAAATATTTTGGGATTGGTTCGAGAAATCGAGAATGACAGTAACGAGTAATGGCCAAATTTCTGCACATCAAGTGAGCGGTAAAATTGATGTTACATGTTATATTTCTGGATTATATCCAGAATTAATACTAATGTTGAACAGAAGATTTCAAGATTATTGGGCATTGGACGGATCTGTAAAGCTATTCAAAGATGTAAAGCTGAATGAAGAGAAAACGATTTCATTCATTCCTCCTGATGGACATTTTGAGCTGTTGAGGTATATGTTCGAGAGAGTAACTACCGCTAAAGCTCCACATTTTTCACTCAGACTCTCATTACAAAATATATCGACCCAAGGCTTAACCACGACAGCAGCAGAGGTACAAATTAGCTTACAACAGAATTTTGACGTCCCGATTTACTATTGAAAATTTAATCGTGGAATTACCTCCATCCTTATCAAACATAGATTGTGAAATTTCAAAAACCCATGGGAACATTGACATTGCAACAGGCAAATGGAATATTGGTTGCCTTTCATATCAACACGTAGAATTGTCTTGTAGAATGAAATGCATTCTAAATGTGGGAGATTTTCAGCAGAATTTTGTTCATGTGAGCTATCGAATAACACCAGCTGTTACTTCTGGTTGTGGTATCCTGTGGTCCAAAGTGTTGCATCGCGAAAGAAAATATAGAGAGCAACCTGTTTTGAATTGTTATAGAAAAAGCACACAATGTAACATTCTGTATGAAATATCAACCCCAACCATAACATTACCACCATTGATTTGAGTTCTGGATCTATGACTAAGTACGCATATTACCTATGACAAAAAACAATCCAAATGGACAACAACTCTCCAGCAAGATCGAACTTGAAAAAGCGTACTTCTTTTTTTTATCAATAAAAAAATGTTGAGTGATGATAGTGAGCTTTGGCACCCTCGTTGTGATCATCAGGTAGTACAAAATCCAATCTCGCGAATGGATACTAAACAACAACAAGCAGAAAATCGGAATCCTCATAAATCGCTTCCGAAAAGTATTGCACGACAATTCATGTCTGAAAACGGATTGAAAAACAAAAAAAAGGGACGAAATAGAAGGAAAAATCAATGGAAGCTTGATGACTTTGTAGTGTTTGCTTTGGGAGATGGTGCCAACCAAAACAAAAAAGATGTAAAACAAAATCCAAAACACACGAAAGTAAAGCTAATGAACCCAACAGGAAGCGGTGGAGAGCTATTCAAACAATTACCGAGAGAAATTCTATTCAAGGTTTTCTCCTTTTTATCTCTAAATGATAATGCCGTCAAGAGCATCCTGTATATTTCTCGCAATATTACATTGACAATGCTGAATATTGATGATTTTGGAGAGTCCTCATTTACAGGACAAAATATTCAATTTTGTGAATATTTTAGACTGTTGACTTTTCTCAAGCAGCGAAAAGAGATTGAGGACATCGAAAATTACGTACGAAATAGAAAAACCTTTTTGAAAACTCTTGGCGACTTACATTCGGCGTCTAGTCAGCTACAAACCGAATGGAACGTACTTTCTTTCACTCAACAGTTGAATGAATTTAACAAGAAAAAGAGCAAGTTTGTGTCATTGATCCAAAATGAGCAAGGGAGGTTCAGTGCCTCAGACATTAAGTACAAACTTTTAAAGAGTTTAAAAATTATGAATAACTTATTTCCAGGCTGGCTCTCACCATTCTTGCAATCTGACATCACTGATATGCAGTCCATGAACGAAATTATTGAACGAAGCGCAAACTTGAAGAACTTACGGGATGTCATTCACAAGAATAGAAAAGTTGGAATTCCAGTGGTGACACCTGATGCATCTGAAAGTATTGCTTATAATGAGAGAATAGACGCCGAGGTAAAAGAAATGCTTTTTGCAAAGAAAGCATCGAGCAGGTCAAGAAAACAAAGAAATTGGAAACAAGAATTGAGCAGGCTCATAACTTTACGATCTATAAGAGATAAAATCAAAGATACGATATACTCTTTAACGCAAAACACCATCACAGGTGTTCGTTATGGTATGAGGAAGAATGAATATTTGAGAAAGGTGTCTTTTGGATTTACAAGACAGCTGAGACCGCCTGAATATTCGGAGCACGCTCAATTTCATTATTCACATGATTTCAAAGATAACATTTACTCCCTAATGGATCTCTTGAAAATGCTCAACGACAAATCTAGATACTTTTATTTATTTACGAAGAGCTATGCTCATGGAAAGAATAGGCTTGCTTCTAATTTTAAAAACAGACCGAATGGTCATGTTAACCTGTTTCAGAACTTGTTGTCATTATTTAATATGATTGCACGTGAGGCACGGATGAACAAGAATATACTCGAATCCGTGGCAAATTTAAGAAGATCCTCTCAGATAACACCTGCAGTAATAACCATTCGAAGAGGATGCGAGATTGTACAGCCAGAAACGACCGTTCAACAACGGACCCAACAACAATCTTTAGGTGATGAATGGAATTTCAATTTGGAGTCTCAAACTGATTTTATTGTGCACCATTTCACGCAATTTGTTGCCAAAAACTGGAAATACTATTGTATCTCCAAATACTGCTCTCAAAACATTCGTGTTGATTATGATCGATTTATGATTGACTTTTTATTGGATGGTTCAAGACATAGTTTTAGGAATTTTGTCTTGTTGGGAGACTTTATGAAGATCTTCATTGAAAAACATACTAACGCATTTAACAAGTTTGGAAAGATGTTTTTAGACCATTTGAATCATCCTGAAAACATTTCAGCAAATACTCCCTTAATTCGAGTATCAAAATTCAGCAGCAAGCTGAAAATTACACCCCATAATTTAATACCCATGCCAACAACAAGAGGACGCGGTAGAGGACGTGGAAGAGGACAATCTGATAGAGGACGCGGTAGAGGAGGACGTGGTTCTAACAGAGGACAATCAAATCAATAACATACTGTTTTTAAGGTGACTGCACTCACCAAATGCTTTCAGCATCTCAATAAACCACTGCTACGTCCGAGCAAAAAGTTTATTTAGCAAGCTAAAAAAATTGTTGGGACGACGAAAAAAAATATCCATCTCAAATTTCCATCATGCCAGTTGTTAACGTGAAGAAAAACAGGTTGCTCGAACGTCTTGAGCTTCCGTCCACATACTGTACGTACACAATCACCAAACATGTATAAATCGAATTACCTATGCCACACATTATCAATTTTGTTATGATTATTATTGCTCTTTCGGATGATGAAATTAACTCACAATTATTCGTTCGTTGTGATCTTGTTGTTGGTGAACCGTATACATAGCCGATGAAAAGTTCACCCAATTATGTTTTGATTTCGGTATTGAATTGGATGATGTTACTTCTGAAAGAGAGATGAAGGAAAAAGAACACGGAACACTCTCAAAGGAGGATTTGAAATTACTCTCTGAAGATGCCGATGAAGTCATCTATAAAATTGAAATTCCAGCAAATAGATACGACTTGTTGTGCGAAGAAGGATTGTGCAGAGCCTTGAAGATTTTCCTTCAAAAAGAGAATACACCAGTTTTTTCAATTGATAATAGCGTTGTTGGAGGTGAGAGCAAGTTACTGAAAATTATCGTCAAGAAGGAAACTCAACAAGTCCGAAGATTTGTTGTTGGTGCAGTATTGAGAAATATTACTTTTGATGAAGCCAGAAAGAAGAGCTTCATGGATTTGCAAGAAAAGCTCCACCAAAACATTTGTAGAAAGAGAACACTTGTTGCCATTGGTACCCATGATTTGGACACAATCAAAGGTCCATTCACCTATGAAGCATTGCCTCCGTCTCAAATCAAGTTTGCTCCATTGGGTCAAACTCAACAATTTACAGCAACAGAACTTTTTAACTTTATTGAAACTGAAGAAAAACAAAAACATTTGAGACCATACCTTAAGATTATCAAAGATAGTCCTGTGTATCCTGTTATTTATGATTCAAACAGACAAGTTTTGTCTCTTCCACCAATTATTAACTCGGATCATTCCAAGATCAAAGTTTCAACAAAGAACGTTTTCATTGAATGCACAGCCACAGACTTGACCAAGGCCAAGGTTGTATTGAATACTATGGTCACAATGTTTGCTGAATATTGCTCAAAACCATTCACAGTTGAGCAAGTTAAGGTTGAATATGAAGATAGCACTCAATCAGCCAATGAGAAAACACCTATTCTTGATGATGTTGAATTCTCTTGCACGACCGATTATGTCAATAACAGACTTGGGTTGGATTTGAGTGTTGAAAAAATGGCAGAACTTTTAAAGAAAATGCAATTGAACGCATCTGTTATGAATGACAAGAAAACACTGAAGGTTCTTGTACCACCAACTCGTAGCGATGTTTTACACGCATGTGATATTATGGAAGATGTTGCCATTGCATATGGTTACAATAATATTCCAAAGACTTTCCCCAAGTCTTCAACTGTAGGAAAAGAAAACGAATTGAACAAATTATCTGATATGATGCGTTTAGAGATGAGTATGGCTGGATATACAGAAGTTTTGTCTTTAATTCTCTGCTCTATCGATGAAATCTTCACATTCATGAGAAAACATAATGATGGAAAGAGTGCAATTACTGTTTCTCAACCCCAAACTAAGGAATTCCAAACAGCTAGAATTAGCTTGATTCCAGGTTTGTTAAAGACTTTGCAAAGCAACAAGACTTTGAAATTACCAATCAAGTTGTTCGAATGCGGAGATGTTGTGTTGATTGACTCATCCAAGGACGTAGGAACAAGAAATAATAGAAGATTAGCAGCTCTCTTCTCTTCTGAGACATCTGGCTTGGAACTGGTTCATGGTTTGGTGGACAGAGTGATGGAAGTTTTAGCTGTTCCATTCGAAGTAGAACATGAAAAGGCTGGCACAAGAGAATGCTATTCCATTTTCCCATCGAATGATGAGAGCTTTTTGGAAGGAAGACAGGCCAATATTTACTATAAGGGTAACAAGATTGGAGTCTTTGGTATTGTACATCCATTGGTGCTCAAGAACTTTAAGATTCAACTTCCAGTATCCGTTTTTGAAATTGATTTAGAACCATTCCTTTAAATTGACATTTTGAATAAATTATTGACAGATTACATTGCTACGAGTGGAGCTCATGCATTGTTGTTGAATGAAAACTTTTGTGTCAAGCAAGATCCGTGTCACTACAAAAAATCTTCTACTTTGAATTCGAATCATAAAATCCAAATAAAAAATATCAACAAAACATGGACAATCCTCTCTATGGAGATGAGAACAGCAAAACCGTAGGTATTAAATTGTTATAGCATTGTTGCTCATCAACAAATCCGTCCGTATGGGCCATATTGAAAATGTTTGAACAACTTGATCCGAACAACATTTTTGAAATTAATGATGATAAATGACAATGTTACAATCTCCTCACTTGACTAATTCAAAATATATTTAATATCAAATCGGAATCGTTTATCCTGCACGAATAACCAATGATTCGGTCAATGACAATAATTTAGATCAAAATTGCCACCTACACATCAGGTGCAATTGTAGGTCTTATAGGACTAGTCACTTTTATATTATTAGCAGTTTTCACATTTGTGAACGATGTACACCTTTATGCAAACTTTGCAATGATCATCTTTTTAATTTTGCAATTAATTCCATTAGGAATTTTGTTATATTGGCAAAGGACGTCCTATCTTGAACCCAAGTTACGAATTCTCATGATCATTACACCAATATTGTTCATTTTCGGATGCGCAGTTGCTTTGTTCTATGTTTTTGGTTTATCTTATCCTGGACAAGATTGTTTCAGAGGTAGTCCAATGTTAGGAAATAACAAAATTCCTGGACTTGATACCAATTTATATACCTTGAAAGAAAACAAATGTTACCCTTCAATCAGTTGTTTCTATTCTGCAAATTCTTGTGTTGGATGGGACGAGTATCTTAGACCACGATGTGGATATTACAACTCAACAACCATGCAATGTACAATTTAATTCATTGGAAATTCAATTATTGCAAATACCAATTTCAATAACAATCCTTATTAAATCTAATACAATTTCAAAAATGTAGGGTTGATTGAGCAATCAGTGGACCAGACAATTGCAAAAAATGCCGTCATTGGGACCTCCTATGTTTTCATCGGAGGATGATTATTGCTTTGGTTCGGCGTACGAGATTGTAACACCAACAGGTAGTAGTTTCCACAATAATAATCCCAATATTAATAAGAATAATAGCACAACTCAACCTCCGCCTCCACCACCACCACGACCTCCGAACAATTATCAAAATTATACGCCGAGCAATTTGGGAAATTATAAAAAGAAGAAACTCGGAAAGAGTGATTGGACCGATTATTTGGCTTTAATTTCGCTCAAATTTTGTACGCAAGATCAATCAAGAAGGCTTGGCGATTACAATGACAATGATATAAAAATTATTTTGGAAAAACAACTGGATTATACCCGCACAAGTCTTTCTCTACAATTATCAAAGTGTAAAACTTATCCAGAAAAACCAGAGGGTGCCCATCGGACAATGTTAATAGATTTCGGATCTGAACATTTGAAGAACAAGTATTGGGACAAAATAAGTCCTGGAACGCAATTCAAAAACACAAAACGAGACGATAACTCGCAATATGTTGAAGTTGTAACTTTATTAGACCTTATGTATGATAGCAAGAAGCGAACAGAATGTGTTCGTGCAATGGGTGGAATGAAAGTTCCACAATCTACAAATCTAACACAACCCGAACAGGTACACCAGAGCGGTAATCAAATAGACAATGTTGCTCTTCCCCAATATTTACCACCTCCAACAACATTCAGTAGCCCAGCCGCCTCGTCCTCACCACCTCCCTTAGATCCTTTAACAAACGAAATGAATACCTACGCTGAAAGATTTGAAAATCTAAAAAGAAAACGTGAAGCGTATGAACAAGATATAATATCCAAAGTTCGGCATGCCATCGAAGAAATGTATAAACCCAAAGCTAAAAAAGACGATGTCACATTCGTGGACGACAATGACGATGATTTAGGAGTAAAAATCCATTAAGCTTTATTAATAAGCGCTTTAAGACGATCTACGTAGGGTCAGGCCCTCATCCATTCCAACTTCTTTTTTATTATTTCATTTGTTTTGAAATATAGTATTTATTACAAGCCTTCCGAACCAATGATGCCCTTTTGAGAGATTCAATACGAACCAATGATGCCATTTCCTAGGACTCATCAGACTTTTCATCAGAAGAAGTATCACTATATTCATCACCCACCCGCTCGTAATCGTGATCCGTTCCATACTTCTGCCCCTCACGGCTCGTTATTGAGTAGTCCCTTATTTTCAAGTTTCATCGGTTGTTGTTGTTGCTGCCATTTATTAGTCCCTTATTATCATGTTTCATCCAAATATTGTTGTTCTCACGAGTTGCAAATGTTCTGCATGTACTATTTGTATTTTGCCAAAAATCGTTATGCAATTCCGATCTGCCTAAAGCTTTAAAAGGCATACACCCTCTCGGTTGGAATTGAGGCAAGAGTTGTTGTGCAAAAAAGTACATAAACAAAAGCACTCAAATGATGCATCAAGAAACGTTGACCCTCGCCAACTCACCAACAAACTCGCTGGAGTATTTTGGCTCGGGTTAAACCACTGTGTGTCACTCTTAATTTCGTAAACAAAAAGGAAGATTTCGTTGTAAAATGTGAGTGAAGAGAAAATCGATCCATAAAAAAAGCTCGCCACCATGATGTCCTCATCAGCCATTCTTCGAACCAGTGCTAACCGAAAAGCCTTCAGAGAAGCTTTCTATGCTGCTGCAAAATTGAAAGGAGAAACCTTCACTCATAATACAGCATACTTTATTCAGGGAGGTGATATTAAACATAGAACCAACAACAATGATGTAGAACTTTCTTTCCGACAAGAGAGTAATTTCTATTATTTATCGGGATGTTCAGAGCCTGGATGTGCCTTGTTGATGAATCCATCCATCAGCGAATCAGTACTCTTTGTTCCACAATACGATGATGATTATGCATTGTGGTGTGGAGACTATCCAGTAGCTGATGATTATAAACAAAAACTTGGTTTCTCTCGTGTCGAGTACAAATCCGAATCAGCTGTTGCATCCATCTTGAAGGAATGGAAAATTCAAAAAGTCTATGCTTTTGATCAAGAATCAAAGAACAGTTCATTATTGAATCCAAAGACTCTCGAACCAGGTGTTGAAATTATTTCTGATGAAATATCACGAACTTTTTATGTGTTGGTGAAGGATTTAAGACTCATCAAGACACAAGAAGAAATTGAAATTATGAGAAGAATGTGCCAAATTTCTGGAGCAGCTCACGTCAAATGCATGCAACGTGCAAGACCTGGTATCAATGAACGTGAACTTGAGGCCGTTTTTCGATATGAGACTATGCTGAATGGAGGTTCCATTTTCCAAGCATATGATCCAATTATTGCTGGTGACGATCGTGGAGCAACTCTGCACTACATTAGAAATGATGAAATTGTTCATGATGGAAGCTTGGTTTTGATTGATGCTGGTGCTGAAACTTATGGTTCATTATATGCAAGTGATATTACAAGAGTGTTTCCAGTGAATGGAAAGTTTTCCGAAAAGCAACGTCAAATCTATCAACTTGTTCTCGACGCCCAAATGCAAGTTTTAGCTTCAATGAAACCTGGTGTGAAATGGGAAGACATGCATAGATTGGCTTTGCGTGTGATGACTAAAGGATTGTATGAGTTGGGAATTTTGAAAGTTGATGGTAAACAAGGAGATGAAGCTGTTGAAGAATTAGTGAAACATCATGCCGGCTCAGTATTTTTCCCTCATGGGTAAGTAAGAAATACGAGGCTTAATTGAACTTTATTGCGAATAATTTCACACTTTTATAATAGTTTGGGACATGCTTTAGGACTTGACGTTCATGATCCTCCAAACAGAGATGGCACATTTGAGAAGATTGATGAGCCTGGAATTAAAAATCTCAGAATTAGAGTTACTTTACAAAAAGGTATGGTTCTCACTGTAGAACCAGGTCTCTATTTCAATAAGAGAATGATTGCCAATGCTCTCAAGGATGAGACTCTTCAAAAATACTTGAATCCTTCTGTGATTAATGATTACATGAGCGTTGGAGGCATTAGAATTGAAGATGACGTTGCCGTTACTGACGATGGTATTGATAACCTATGTGCCGGCATTCCTAAAACAATCGAAGAAGTTGAAAAGGTTATGAGTAAGCAATAGACGCTGTCAATGATGCTGGCCACAAATAAACAAATTTTAAGTTATTGAGTCATCTCAGTTTCTCATTATTAATCGATAATTACACTCATGTGTTGAGCTGCACGCTCTCAATTGGTCACTCCAACTTTGGGCCTTTTTGACAATCAATTTAAAATGTGAAAAGGAACAAAGGTATTCATTACCACCAATTGAACGGGAATTAAGCAATTGTTTCGTAAATTGAATTTGCCATGTATGACGTCATGCATGAAGAACAAACAACAATGAATTCATGCCTATATTTCTCATTCTTCTTCCCATCCTCGAGATACTTTCAATGATTCTAATGCCTCACAATTTTCAACCATATTATAAAAAGTTTCATCTGCTTCAATTTCTTCATTCCATCCATGAGGAAAGGTTCGGCATTGTTCTGGTCTCACGGGATAAATTGAACATTGATAAATAGCTTTCCCATGCTCATCAACTCCTTTCTGCTTTAAAAATACACACTCAACTCGTTTATGGAAATTCAATGAAGGTCTGTATTTAATGGAGAGAAGCTTTTCGTTGGAACGAGGTGAAATTGAACTCAAAACATAATTCTTACAAAATTCTTCAACACTTATATTTAAATATTTTGCAATTGCTTCCATAGCTTTTGTATCATTTAAATAGACTCTAATGGATCCATATCCTGTACAACATTTTCCGCACTGAGTACAATTTTTAAAATGTTTTTGAATTAATTCTTTTCGGGATGATGAATGTTGTGATTGAAGTAATGGTTGGCAGAGATGATAATTTCGCAACTGATTAGTATGAACCAAATGGTGGTATTGATCATGACTTTTGAAACATTGTACCACAACACTTGTCGTTGGTTTCCTCAATAATTTGTTGGATATGGAGATGTGATATCCGTTGAATGAAGACCAAGCCTTTTGCATTTTTTTGAGTACCGAGATATCACCATTGTTTTGTAACAGTTGTTTTACAGTTTGGTTATAAGAACGCTTTTCACCTGACCATCGTTAATTCCATCGGCAAGGAGAACAGGAGATTCTTTACGGAGTTGAATTAAAACTGAATACAAACCACCCATTCACAGTTGGCAACTTTGTTTCTAAACAGGAAGATTGTAGGAGTTGTGATCAAGTCACTCTAACAATAGAACCTGATTTTTTGTCAACATCTAGCCTTCAAAAAGCGTCTTCTGAAATTCTGTGAACTTTGTAAACGAAGAGAAATTTCCTTGCACAACCAACACCAAAAAAATTCGGCAACGAGTTATCTCATTCCCACATTGGCCAACATGGCAAACATTTCACCGAGAGCATGTTCAAAGACCCCGCACGCTGTCATTTTGCCGCTAGTGTCGCTTCTTCTCGTGTTTTATTGGTCGAGTGACATTTGGCAACTAGTTGTACATGCAGTTCCAGTTCAATACAAAACCACAACAATAGGAGGATTTAAATATGTGGAGGGAGTTTCTCCAATGTATCAAGCGGAATATGGTCCTCTTTCACAACCAAGCGCAGCCATCATGAATGACAAGAATGAAACATATATTTCAGATACAGGAAATCATGTCATACGAAAGATTACGGCAAACGGAATCATTACACTGTTTGCAGGGCTAGGAGTTGGAGGATACAATGGTAAGTCCAAGTCGAAAACATGTTTGCTTCATAGGAACTGACGTTGTGTTCCATCATGGAAAATATGGCTGTTGGACAATTGACATTTATGGTCACGTGTGGCGTACGCCTATGATTTCACAAATTTCTTCATGTTTGATGCTGTTGGCTGTGCACTCCAATGTGTGTCCATGATGATGTGGTTTCTTGGCGCCAACCCAATTATAATCACGCCCACTTTTTGATTATGTGGCTGACTTACTAGGTGATGATCACATATTAAAATGTCAATTCAATCAACCCATGGGATTGTATCTTGCAGTCAACGGAGACCTTTATGTTGCAGGTAAGTTCACATGTGAAATGTGTAAAACTCGGAACTAGTCATTGTAATCTTACTCTCACATGATGAAAGACTCTGGAAATTCAATGATCAGAAAGATATCAGCGAGTACCCAAATGGTCACCACCATTGTCTCGAGCACCAATTTGAAAAATCCAATGGGTGTTTTTGTAGTCGAAAGCACTGGAGAGATTTTTGTGACAGATTTAAATTCTGGGAATGGTTTGGTCAGGAAATTTGATTCCACAGGAACGACCATGACCATCATTGCAGGAGGAGGAAGTTCTGTGTTAAATAATGTGATTGCAACAAATACCAAATTGTCTTCACCGAGAGGAATTTTCGTCACTCCAACTGGAGTGATTTATATTACGGACACGACAGAAGGATTAATTAGAAAAATAACAGGTATGTTGATTCAGTTGATTGATTAAGAATGAGGAATATCATGGATTGGAACGATGAAAATAGTTGAGCCCAATGGTCAATACAGAATTCTAACCATTGCTGGAATGCAAGGTGTAAGCGGTGGTAGTTTTTCGGAAGGCACACAACCATTGAATACATATTTCCAATCTCCAATGTAGGTTTCAAATTTCCATTGTCATTCATTACTTGACAATTTTTGGTGTGAATTCTTTTATCCCTGTTAGAGGTCTTTATGTGACAAGCAGTCAAGATATTCTCGTGGCAGATGCTGGATTTCATCGAATTCGAAAAATCTCCTCTGACCTCAAAACAGTAACCACTGTAGCAGGAAATGGAACCAGCGATGAAGATAGTATTCAATATGGTAATGCAGGAGATTATGGACCTGCATTGTCAGCACCTCTCAACCAACCTAATTTTGTTTCTATCAATTCGAGAGGTGATTTAATTATTACAGGACTCAATCGAGTGCGAATGGTATCTGGTAATGACAGTACGATTACAACATTGGCAGGAAAATTTAAAACCAATCTTGGATATGGAGATGGATTAAAAGCCAACAGTCTTGGTATTCGACTTACTCCACGACATGCTGTCCTCTCTCGAGATGGTTCTGAAATGTATGTGAGTGATTCCAACAGTCACACCATTCGAAAGTTAGGACTGCCAAATGGAATTATAACAACAGTGGCTGGAGTGAAAGGACAATCAGGATTTAATGAAGATGGTTTATTGGCGAATCAGACCACGTTGTCTATCCCATCTGGTCTCTATTTATATGATAATGGTGAATTATTGATTGCAGATTCGTAAGTGTGATTGCATCTCAAAATGACTTTTTATTTTCAACATGGCTATTAATATTTGGACCATGCATGTGATCGCAACTTTGTTTTACCACTAACGATATTTCTTATTCTCAATAGATCCAATCACAGAATCCGTTTATTACAACTCAATGGAACGATTACCACAATCTTTTCCACCAACACATCCATTGGAGAGCCATCAATGGTCGTTGCCTCAGGTTCTAAGAGCACCGATGGTTACATTTACTTCTCAACCAAATCTGGAATTTATAAGGGACTGCGATCGAGTGCCAATTTTATTGCTGTCTATACCTACAGTGAATTTTCTGACCCCAATCCTACATCGTTTCATGTGGAACAAGAGCAAGATGGAACAGTTGTCTATTTTGGAGATGTTGAAACGGCTTCGCTTGTGAAATATTTTGAAAAGAACAACACAGCTGTGAAATTGTATACAGATCCAAATCTCCACACTGTGGCCAGCGTTTTTAGAAGAAACGGAACCACTTATTTTGTTTTGGGTAGTTCAAGAATTTGCAAACTCTTGCCCGATAACAGCATTCAAGTAATTGCAGGAATTTTACCATCCAATAACGTGGAATTTATTGGATACAGCGGAGAGGGATTACAAGCTAATCAATCTTTACTGAGGTAAGTTGAATATCTTTCTTGCTTTGGGCATTCAGATAATCTTCCACAACATAGATCTCCAAATAATCTTCATGTCTCTCCACAAGGTGAAATCTTCTTTTCCGAACGTATCGGTCTCGTAAGGAAAATCGGCCTCGACAACACCATCACTACGGTTCTTGGCTTTTATCCATTACCAGCTCCTGGAACACTGGCCAACAAATTTCCTATTTTCCAACCAGGTTTTGTTGCTATCAACAAGAACAATGGACAAATTGCCATTTATTCCTCACACATGACACAAGACCATTCGATTTTTAATGTGGATGGAGCAAGTGGTGTAATTTCAACGCTTTTCGGATTTAGAACAATGCCAGCTGCTTCAACGTCGTTCTATGAAGGACCAGTAGGACTTTCTTTTATTGTGAATTCACAATTTTGCTACACCTCTAAAAACAATTTAATTATTGCAACGGGTTATCATCAAATTGTGAAAGTTTCGAATGGAATGGTTTCTGTAGTGGCTGGAAAATTTCGAACACCATCCTTTAGTCCTGATGGAACACTTGCAAACAATACCTTAATGTATAATCCAAGGGCAGTGATATGTGTGCCATCCTCCCAACAAGGAGCTGATGATGACATTATTTATTTTGATGCTGGTAATCGAAGAATTCGAATGATTTCCAATGGAGTTGTGAAAACCATTGTAGGATCAGGAATGGACGGTAAGTTTACAATGTGAGCAAGTGAAAACACTAATATATCCACATGAAATAATGAACAAACAATTGTTGATACTTCCTCTTGATGGACTACATGTTCAACAGGAGATGCCAAATTCACCAATGATGGAGTGAATGCCACTTCGGTCAATATTGGAAATTCCGTAAAGGCACTTGCCCTCTCTCCAGAAGGAGATTTATATTATTCTGAAACTTCGAGACACATCGTTCGAGTGCTCAATGCCACCACAGGTCTCATTTCCACAGTGGCTGGTATTAAGGATGCTCGTGGATATTATGGAGAGAATATTGCAGCGGATTTGGCTAATTTGGATTCACCTCACGGTTTGACCATTGCTCCCAATGGAGATTTGATGATTGCAGATTCTACGAACAAAATCATTCGACGAGTGTCCAAGACCACAAAATTAATAAGAACCATTGCTGGAATTCCACCACGTGCGCAAGATTGTTATTACAATGGAGACTTGTTAGGCACAGATACTTGCATTACAGCATTGTCAAGTTTAGCGGTCAATCCTACCAATGGTGAAATTGTGTTCACAGATGATGGTAACGGAGTGGTACGAAAATTAACTCCATTTTGTGAAGGAAACAAAACAATGGATTCCACGTTTTCCGAATGTTCATGTCCAACTGGATATGGAGGAAACAATTGTGAATTATCCATTTGTAATGGAACTCTCTCATCCAATTCTGGAGTTTGTTCAGGTCATGGACTCTGTACAAGTCCAGGAATATGTGTATGTTTTAAGGGGTTCACAGGAACGAATTGTGAAAAGAGTACAGCCATTCCTGTCGCTTCCTCTTCATCAAGTCGAGTACCAACCGATCAGAACAACACTACCACGATTATTATTGCCGTCGTTGTTCCTGTAGCAGTGGTTTCACTCATTGGCTTAATCATTGCCATGCTTGTAATCATTGTCATGTGTGTGGTGAGAAAACGAGGAAGCAAATCTGATTTGGAAATGAACAAACCAACCTCTAATGTGGCATTCCCAAATAGTAGTAATGTAGAACTTCCAAACTCAAATCCAAATTCTTTAATTTCTGATTTTCCAAGTGACATGAGTGTGAACTTTACTCCAATTATGATCAGTGAAGATAGAATGCAACAATCTGGAGTGACATCTACAGAATCACTGGTTTATCAAGCCGATCCATTCTCTCGATATCAAAATATTTCAAGAATTGGTAAAGGAGCTTTTGGTTCCGTCTATAAGGCCAACGACACCAAATTCCAAAACAAAGTCAAAGCAGTCAAAGTCATGAAATTTACATCTCTCAGTGATTTGAACAATATCATGAAAGAAGGAATGCAATTGATGAATATTCGTCATGACAACATTCTCAAAGTGAATGATTTCTTTGTATCAAAAGATAACCTCGTGTGTTTGGATATGGATTTCTATGAACAGGGAGATTTAGCCAAATTTGTGACACCTCAAAGTCCATTCTGCAGTGAACATTTAATCAAACAAATTATTTGGCAAGTGTGTAATGCTTTGACCTACGTTCATGGAACCTTAAATATTATTCATAGAGATATCAAACCTTCGAATATTTTCATCAAATCTATGAAGGATGACAAGATTCATGTGGTGTTGGCAGATTTTGGATTGGCTAAAGGAAATCAAGGATCTGAAGCTCTATCCTATGCTGGAACACCTCTTTACATGTCTCCCGAAATTGGTCTTGGTGGAAAATACTATGCCAATACCGATGTATATTCACTTGGAGTAACGATATATCAAATCATGACCAAAGATTCTTCCACTTCGATCAGTCACTTGTTATTAAGTAAGGATCCAGAGAGTGTGAGAAAGTTGTTACTCTCCAAAATGAAAGATGGAGAATATTCGGATGAATTATGTGATATTGTATTGAAAATGTTGGAAAAGGATTCCATGACTAGACCTAATGCGATGGATATTCTTGGATTGCCTTATTTCCGAAATATGTAAAAATGTTTGAATTCAAAATGGTTTTAAATAATTCGTATTCCATTAATGACATCATCAGACTTGATGTTTGACGTTTCCCAATCGTTATTTTTTTAAATTAAAAAAAATTAAAACTCGAATTGATCATTTTTCTCCGAGTACACTGTTGGGCAATATAAATACAGACTGGTTGAGTTTCACAAAATCACTCATTGATCCTTAACAACACCATTAAACTTTTATTGTGGAGATCATTTTGGATCACTACAAAATTTTTGATAATAATAATAATATCAAATTCATACGGAATCCTTGAGTCGGAATGGCACTCGAAGATATTACGACGAGCGTGGATGAAATGGATCCCGATGATGAAGAACAACGAGCGATCATGTTATCGATTGCTGAAAGTACCAAAGCAGCACCTTTGGCTCTCGAACATCATCCAGCAACGTCCCAGTCATCATCCTCGTTTCACTATGAAGACGAACATGGAGTTGTACATATTGTGGATAATGATGCGATGGATATTTCCAAAGAAGATTCAGAATTAGCGAGAGCAATTCAAAAATCTCTTGACGAAACCAAAGGAAATACCTCTGCAAGTGAGGAATGTACACTCAGACCCAATTGGACTCCTGAAGGAGAGCTTGAAACATTTCCTTGTGGAATTGGCTTGAAGAATGTTGGAAATACTTGTTATGTGAATGCATTATTACAATCGTATTTCATGATACCTTCTGTTTTAAAGAGTATTATCAAACCAAAATCACAATGCACCAATGACAAGGAACAAGCCATGTCAGAAGGACAATTACTAGTGAATAGCTTGTTTAATGCTTCAAAAGATGAAAAGCAAGTAGAAGATGTTCAAATGACAGATAGCTCTCCTGTTGTTGAAGGTTCTTTAAATATGCCAAACCTTGAAGAAAAAAGTAATCATAATGGTTTAGATGAAGAGAGTAGTAAGGAATTTTTGTTAGAGTTGCAAAAATTATTTGCAAACATGTTACTCTCAAATGCCACATTCGTTGATCCTACCTCCACATTGCAGAAACTAAAAGGAAGTGATAACAAGCCATATCAAATTGGAGAAATGCAAGATTTACCCGAGTTCAACAATCTCTTTTTATCAAGATTAGAACAAGGTATGGAGGCCCTCTACAAGGAATCCAACAAGAATAGTTTTAGCAAATTTAAAAATCTATTCTACGGAAAGAGTACCGTCTACGTTGAAGCAGAAGAGGAAGATAAGACGAAAACTTGTAAGAAAACTAGAGAAACATTTAATCACTTGATTTTACCAATAACTCCTGAAACTCGAACATTCAGAGATTGCTTGGAACTGTGTATGAAAGACGATTCCATCGAGTACACAACCGATAGAAATTTCAAAACACACGCTCGAAAAACGGTATGGTTCGATGGCAAGACATCCATTCCTCCAGTGCTATTCCTTCAAACCTCAAGAGCTGTGTTTGGAAAGAACAAGCAGATTAAAAAACTTCACACTTCCATCACAATGCCAGACGTATTAGACCTAAGCCCTTACTTGGAAGTGAACAAGCCCATCACAGAAAAGATAAGGTCAGAACTTAAATTGATTAAGCATGATCTTGTCGAGATTGAGAAATCTCTTCTTTCTTACACAGACAATTATAATAATAGAAACTTTGGTCTCATTCAAGCTTTGGAGTCATCTGCAGACCGATTAATTGAGTTAAGGAGGGAATATGGTGAACAGGCAAATACAGAAGACATGACAGAACTCTCAATTGCCATTCGTGTCATACAGAAAGAGCAAGAAAAGCTTACCAAAAAGGTTTCTGAACTGAAGAAGCAGCAAGTGGAATTGACATCCGCCGCAGAAAATGCATTCAAAGACTCGTATTCTGAACATGTCAACTATACCCTGTACTCAATCATTATGCATTCTGGGAAAACAGCAATTTCTGGACATTATTGGTGTTATATTAAGCATTTAACTGCAGCGGGAGACGTCTGGTTCAAATTTAATGACACCAAAGTTACCACATTAAGCAAAGATCAAGTGATGAAAGAAGCTTTTGGAGACGACAGCTCTAGCTCTGCATATTGCTTGATTTACATTGATGAGGACAAGACTGGACATTTTACTGACCGCCTGGAAGAAGAATTGATTAATGAAATACCATCATTCATCAAATCAGAAATAACTCAAAAGAATATTGAGCTTCTTAAAAAGTGTAATCCAACTGCTTTGAAAAGCATGACTGGAGTAATGGCACCACGAGAACAAATCAAAACACTCATGATCAATAAGAGTACGACTGCCTCCAGCCAAGCCCTTGATTCGACCATTGAGCACGATTACAGAATAGCCAATATTGCAACATTTATCAAGTACATTATTGAGCAAGTGAACGACGAAAAGAAGAAGATTCAACTCAACAATTTGTTCCACGGACATTTAATTAATGAAGTGGTTAAAGATATTTATTCAAAGCCACTTCATCAAGATCCTGAGGTCCTCACACTTGTTTCGGATCTTATGGCAGATCAAGATGTGATCGCAACTGCAATACAACTCTCTGAAAATGAGGACAAGATTGACCTTTTCAAAGAAATCAAACAAAACTTTAAGATTCTGAGAAAAGTGAGGATGGCCACCAATCGAGCAATTTCCTTGTTCACGAAAAGTGTGTGGAGTGAAACCATTAATTATCTCGTTTTTGCAATCATTGAAGCAAACAAAATCAAATACGAGTTCCTTAGAAATCAAGTTGTGGGTGATTGTGAAATGCTTTTAGACAAGGCGATTGCACTCTACTATTGCGATTTAGTCGTATTCATGCAATACGAAGTTGAAGAGCCAATACGAAACATTATCAATTATTGTGTCAAACCTGCCATTGATGTTGGTTCAACCACTGTTTGTAAATACCTCTATAATAACTTGATGCTTTTGAAAGAACAATACAATAATTGCCTACTGGGACACGGCTATAAGGTGGATGATTTGAAAACAAAAGTGAACGGTCGATTTTACTTTAAGAGCAATTACTCGGTCGACAACAAACTGATTCATATCAATACGGATCAACAAGACGACCAATACTTTGTAAAAGAAGTAGAAGAAAGCAAAGCGAACTTTCTCTCAGCTCATTCTCTCCTTAAGAATGCTACCAATCTTTTAGAAGAAACGAAACATGCCCCACTCATGGAATAGACTACCCATTCCAATCAACCACGAATGAAAGCAAGGGAATGACGTCAATAAAATTTTCAAGTTGGAAAAAATGATGCATCAGCACGACATGAAGGCCAAAGATGAGGACGAGCAGGGTAAGTCTTGATGATGAGGTGGCATGTGCCGTGATGATGATTCAATTCCATTGGATATTACTTTCTGGTACTTTTGATGTGGTATTAATTGTTATTTTATTTTGGACATCGGATGATCATCTCTCATATTATACAACAACAACAACTCGTAATGATCACTATCAAAATTCAACATGTTTTATCATCATCCATTAAAAACTCCATCATCAAACAACAGCTGACGTCTTTCCATTCCAAAATTTGGAAAAGACTCAAGTCTTGCAAGAGACCAGAATCTTCAATGAGAGCCCTTTAAATCCTCGCAAGTGTGTGCTCACTCTCCTTCAACTTCTCTATGTTATCTATCAGGGAAAGAACTTGAATACTACCGAAGCCACCGATGTATTTATGAACATTACCAAGCTGTTCTTGAGTCCTGATGTTCGATTGAGAAGGATACTATATATTGCCGTGAAGGAGCTCTCAAAAACAGCAAACCAAACATTTGTTGCAAGCAACAGTCTCTTCAAGGATATGAGTCAAAACCAAAATGAAGAATTCAAAATCAATGCTATTCGTGCGTTGAGAACAATTATGGATGAAAATCTTTTTAGCAATTTAGAAAGGCACTTAAAACAATGTGTTGTGGACAAGAATCCTGGTGTAGCCAGTGCTGCTCTGTTGGCTGGCTTCCACTTATCCGATACACAAAAAGGAGATCAACTTGTAAAGAGATGGACTGGAGAAATTCAATCTGCTGTTGATTCACGTTTTCACATGGTCCAATACCATGCGTTAGCTTTGATGTACAAGCTCAGATATCAAGACGGATTAGCGATTAGTAAGCTTGTTTCATCTGGCATTCAAAACTTGAGATCTCCTCTTGCTCACACTCTACTCATCAAGTACTCGATGAGAATTTTGAGAATGGAAGGAAATATTAACTCTGAAAGAAGCAAGGCTATTTTGCAGTACTTGACATCTTCTCTTAAATTCAGAAATGACATGGTCGTTCTCGAAGCAGCAAAAGCTATTTGTAGCATTCGAGAATTAGGAAAAGAATTGGCGGCTGCAATTGAAGCTCTTCGTGGTTTTTTGTCATCAAACAAGCCTGTTAAGCGTTTTTCTGCAATTCGTATTTTGAATGATATTGCTAACCATTTCCCAATACTTGTTTCTGTTTGTAACAGTGATATTGACAAGTTGATTTCTGATTACAACAGAAACATTGCTACTCTTGCCATAACCACTCTCTTAAAGACTGGCCAAGAACCAACCATTGAAAAGTTGATGAAGAAGATTTCACGATTTATTCCAGAAATTCCAGATGAATTCAAAATTATTGTTGTCAAATCCATTGAGTCTCTCTGTATGAGATATCCAAAGAAGTATTACAGTATGGTCACATTCTTAGCAAATGCTTTGCGTACTGAGGGAGGATATGAGTACAAGAAACAAATCGTTGGTACTATGATTAACATTTGCAAGAACTTAGCCGAAAGCAGAGATATGGTTGTTTCACAACTTTGTGAGTTTATTGAGGATTGTGAATACACAATTGTTCTTCAACAAGTTTTACACTTTTTGGGTGTTGAAGGAACAGAAACTTCCAATCCATCTAAATGCATTAGATTCATTTATAATAGATTGATTTTGGAGAACCCAACAGTAAGAGGAAGTGCAGTTATTACAATTGCTAAATTTGCTGCCAAGATCAAATCTTTGAGAAACTCTGTTTTGGTTATTTTGAGGCGAGTTTTGTTAGATAGCGACGATGAAGTTAGAGACCGTGCAGTATTCTACTTGAAAGTTTTGGAAACACAAGACGAGGATCTTATCAAAAAGTTAATTATCAATGAGCTTCCAGAAAATATGCAACACTACTTTTACAGTGTTGAGAAGAGCTTGGTTTCCTATCTTCAATCGACACTTGATGAACCATTTGACTTATCCGATGTCCAACTTGTGGAAACCACCGTGGAAACAGAAGAAGCTCCTTCACAATCAGGATTGGAATCTGCTGTCACACAACCTGTTCAACTTGAAACAGCTCCTGCTGAGTCACAACCAGTGGGCGACTCTCAAGAATTTGAACAAGCTCTTTCCAAAATTCCACAACTTCAAAATCTTGGAAAGCCTTTCAAGACAAACCCTCCTGTTTACCTCACAGAAATTGATGCTGACTATGTTGTTTCATGTGTTGTTCACGTTTATGAGTCGAACATTGTGCTTCAATATGTTGTTAAGAACAGAGTGGAGTCGTTGCAATTAAGTAACCTTCTTATTGATTTAGATTTAGGTGAAGTTGAAAATGTTGAAGAAGCCTTCAAGATTCAAGCAGAATCAGCTATCAAATTTAATCAATCTGAGTCTACCTTTGTAGTGTTGAAGAGAAGCCAAGAGGTTGTAACTGGTAAGCTCCATAGTGTGCTCAAGTTTTGTACTGCAGATGTAGATCCAGAAACTCACGAGCCATTCGAAGAAGAGGACGAAAATGAGGATGAATTCGAATTGGAGGCTTTCAATTTACGTGTTACCGATTTTTTGAGAAACGTTGCTGTTTCATCATTCAAAGAAGAATGGGACAAGCTTGGTGAAGAATCAGAAATTGCTCAACAACCTGTAGAATACGCAGCATCTGATGACTTACAAGCAGCTGTTGATAAGTTTATTTCTGTGATCAACCTTAGACCAATCGGTGATAGAAAGGTCACAAAGCAAGTTCATGGATTATACTTTGCTGGTAAATCGATAAATGGCGATTTGGTGCTTGTAGCTGCACAACTGGGAGAGAAGAACGGATCTATTCTCCTCAAGTTATCAGTTCGATCCCAAATGAATGGTTAAGAACACACATTGTGGAACAATTGTCAGATTAAATAGACAAAGTACTTTTATTTACAGTGTAGCTTGGCCTTGAGGTTTTTTGGTGATGAGCTTGTAATGGACAGGCGTGTTGGGTTTTTTCTTGGTCGTCATTGTGACCACCTCTCCTCTGCTCACCATACCTGCATATTGTGCTTGAGGGTTCACGAGTGATGATGATGTGCTCCAACTTCGGCCCACGCTGTTGACAAAATCAGAAGTGGCAATATGTTGAGAAAGGGTGTTTGAAAGAACTCGTCCTCCATTGAGATTGGTAGAAAAACTTTCCATTGTCGCAATGATGTCTCTCATTGCGTTTTTCTTGTAAACTTTCAAGTCTTGCAAATGTCCGAGCGGGATTCGGAAACTCTCTCCGTACTTTTTTAAGCAATGAGTCATGTATTGAATGTCCTTATTAATTTCGATCAATTCCTCCTCCAGTATATTCCAATGATTTTGCAAGTTGGCAATCACCTCCACAATATCCTTCTGTATGACGTTTGAATTCATTTTTTTGAGGTTGATTTGTTTTGAAGGTTTGCTAAACGTTCACTTTTGGCGCCACTGAACTTTACAGCAGTTGCCACTCAAAAAGGAAGACATCAACAATTGCAAAACGAGCATAATTCATGAATTATAAATCACACCCTAGTATTGCAGTCGTTGCTGATGAGTTCATCGTTTTTGAAAAACTTATTAATTTAATCCGTTACCATAAAAGTAAAGTTGCTGCATTTCAAAACTTTGACTATTCAAGACATTTAATATTTCTCTACAATGTATGGATTGAACTCTATTTTCAAACTGGGGTAGTCTGCTGATACACGTCCACCCACAAAACAAATGCTTCAACGATACATCCACAAAGCAGCTACACCCGCATCTCTACGAAGAAGTAAATTTGCTTCTTCGTACATCTTTGCATCGATCTTGCTGTTGTTTTTATTAAATCTGCTTTGCTTTTCTAAGCTCCAAACAACAACCACACGTCCGTCACATCAAAATGAAGTATTATTTGTTTATGCAGCTGAAGAATCTCAATCTTCATTGCTGAATCCAATATCCAATTGGATGATTGACAGTAGTAATCGTGCAGCACTTTCAGCAGAGAATTCGATCATTGATAAACTGTTAAAAGAAATGAAAAGGTTAATGAGAGAATTCAAAGAGGATATTGCCTCAGTCATGAAGGATGAAATTGTGCAAGCTATTTTGCAAGTTATGCATGATCGAAGAGAGATCGAACAAATGACAGGAACCATTGTGAGTTCACTGACTCTGGAAGCTTGCTCCAATAATTTGACTAAACTTATTAACACTCTTCCATTCGGTGAATTATTGTACAATGGTATGCATGAATCCAAATACCCTCGAAAAATTGTTAAAAAAGTAGTGACTGATTTAACAGATCAAGAAGTTGTGGATCAAATGAAAAATGCATTCCAAGCTAATTTTGACATTCAAGGAATTGTCTCTGATTTTATCAATGCAACACTCACACAATTATCTCAAGATTCAGAGAGAGATCAAATTACTCAACTTGCAAAAGCATACTTGTTAGAAACATTTTTGAATGGATGGGTTATGGCTTTGATGATTTCATTGGTGTTGTCCATCATGATTATTCCTTCACTTCTCATGTTCATTATTTTACAGAATATTGTTCCATTTAGGAAAATTTTGTGTTGTAAAAAGAACAAGTCTTCAATCGAGTCTTCCTCAATCCAAAGTGAAGATGATTCATCCATTGTTGAAAATTATCCAGCAAGAGGCACAAGTCGAAAGCGTGCAGTGATCGAGGTGGGATCTGGTGATTCTTCGAGTCCAACCCAACACGAAGAGAAGCAGCACTTGTTAACTGTCAATACAGTTCAATAACTCATTTCTTACATTTGATATGTACATGATTCATCGTATTATTGAAATAAATAATTCTACAAAATTTTGGTAACAAAATTAGAGAGAAAATGATTGCTTAGAGAATGGAGCTCATGTCAAAATGCTCACTACTTCTCGAAGGGCCTAGTCTTTGAGGATTTGAATGAATTCTGGTTCATGGAATGGACAGTCTTGAACTCCTCTGTTGTCTCGTATGACTTTACAGGGTTTGTATTCATCAATGTGACTATATGTCATGTGTTTGAGCCAATAGGTCCGATCAAAACTTTGCAGCAAAATCCATTCATCAGGAAATGTTTGTGAAAAAGTTGGACACGATTCGAGTAATTTCCTCACAAATAAATCTAGTTGTTCGTGAGATTTGAATTTCACTCGCTTCGTTTCCATTTTGAAATGTTCTCTAAACTTTTTATCCATTTCAAAAACGAGAGAGCACTTTCCTGTTCTACGTAATCGCTTGACAAACTTTTTCATGCTTCCAGAAAGGTTCATTTTCACTCCAATATGTTCAAGTAAATCCTCAACAAAATCTTGACAATTTCCTGTTGTCACTCCATCACCTCCAGTTTGTTTGTAGGCAATATTTCTATTCCATTTACAAATACATTTTGCCATTCCATCAATGACTCTGTTTAAATCTTGCATGGTTGTTATGGATTCAATATCGGTGGTTATAACAGCAGCTTGACTGACCAATTTTCTTGGAATGACCACACTACTATCATTAAAATCTAATCTCCATTTTCCAACAAGAATTGCAGAGTGAAACCATCCAATCTCAGGCAGTACATTCATCTTGTGAAGAACAGGTGATAGGAATTGCCGTAGTGTTTTTTGTGAAGAGTTACTTGCAATTTCAGTGATAATCAGCTTAATTTTAAGCTCTTGCTTTAGGAGATCAGTATTGGCTTCCTTGTCGGAAACCATTTTTTCAAGAGCTTCCTCTAATGATGAGATGGAATCTCTTTTTGGTAATAATCCCAATAAATGTGGTTGATCTAATACACTTTTGGTAGGAACAGTGGTCACTTCTTTTGATGAAGCGTCTTCGTTATTGTCAGCAGCAGAGGAAGGAGATGTTGGATCTGATGTGGAGGTAGGAGCGTTTGATTGATTCATTTCGTCATTTGTAGCTGCATGTTGCAGAACAGAGGATGGTATCGATCCATCTTCGACACTTCTGGTTCGTTTCAGTAATTTTGCTGTCTCGACCCAATCGGTTGTGAGATAGGTCCTTTTTAATTCCTCCTCGTCTGATAGTTCAAATGCAAATTCTTTCATATATTCTTCGTTATATCCACACTTTGCTATCAGAGGTTTACTCTTTAAAATCTTTTCAAATACTGGCCTGCTGACAACTTCTTTGTATATATTGAACTCTTCATCACTCATTTTAGATCTATCAATTGGAAGCGATGGAAATAAAGCGTGTATGAGCGAACTACTACTACTAGCATGATTGTTATGCATTGGTGACGAGGATGATGTTTGGTTGTTCGAGGAGGAGCCTCCACTCAAACTACTATTTGATGAGACTACACTCAGTCGATATGGATTTGAATGGACTTGAGGAGAGAGATTGGTTGAACTGAACTCGTCAGAAAGCTCTGAATCAGACACATTCACAAATGATTCATCGCCATTTTTAGTCGTAAGATAACTATTCTTTTTCATGTCAATGACAGATTTTAAGCTGACTTTCTTTTTCATGTTGGGATTTACATTTTGAGGATGTGACATGGATCTTGAGGAATTTGAAGAGGAATTAGAACTAACTTGAATGGGTAATGATTCACTTCGTTTTGAAGAGTTGTTGACAATGCTGTCACCATTGCTCAGTGACTCACATTCACGTTGATTTGGTGTATGTTCATTTAAAGAATCCTTTGATTGCTGTTGATTCCATAAATTTTGTCCAATATTATCATTCCAAGCACCATTTTCTTCGGCTGTTGAATGAGCAGCTGTCACGGGCAACACGTGATGTGACACCGATGACTTCATTTGTTTCCCATTTTGTGGTGACAACGGTTGGAATGCTTGATGAGAGGCGATTAATTGAGAATTTGATGTTGGAAGTGATCGTCTTCTCGCAGCCGTAGACGAGCCATTTGTTGTTGTTGTGATATTACAAGTGCTATTATCGGTCGTACTTTTAACATGACTTTTGTTTGTATGTTTAAGAATAGAATGATGAGAGGAAGAGGCAATTTTATGGATGGAAAATTGGGGAGTGGTGGTTGGAGAGGTGCATGATGATGATGTGGGAGAGGCTACTTCCGTTGATGATGATGGTTGTGGTTTGTTTTCTCATCTTCACCACCACTTGTTGTAGTTACGACTTGTCCCATATTATTATTAAATATATTGGAAGAAATAAATATAATAATGGAATATAATTATGGGTGTAATTGTTGTTATGAATGATGGAGAAGATAATTGTTGATGATGGTAAATTAAAAAACCGATGATAGGAATGATTGATGATTATTGAGCGAGGTGTCAAAAGGCTAACCTCATGATTGAATCCAATTTATGGGTGTTGTTCAAAGATGTGATTATCAATATGGTTGTCCAGTTGTTGATCAATTTTAATTTGCTGCAAATTTGTTCTCACAATGATGAAAAGTCTTTGAGATTCGGAATAACAAAAGATGCGATTAGAGAGAACAGCAACAATAACGAATGGCTCAGCGCTTATTTGGCACCAGCAAGTGTTTTTTTTGAAGTGACAGTTGATCCCTCACTGAAATTTGGTGAGAGAATTAACAAGCTCACCAACGTTCAACATGAAAATTAAAAAACTGTTGAGTGCCTGTTGGTAAAATGGATATTGCTTTCATCTCCAAGTTTGGGAAATACAAACAGTAAAACCTTTTGCAAAATTGCCAATCAGGATAACTTCCTATTTGACAAATTTTAAACAAATGCATGTTAAGGAAAGTGTAAAATCAATTTGTGAATATTCAGACGCTTAAAATGTCTGTTGAAGGTGAGTTTACAGCTTTGTGGAGAACTGCAGTGATCGACCAAGCAGATTAAATTTTAGCATAAATTCTTCAGAATGCTTCTGCCTTTTACCCGCCAAATTTTTGGTACAAGAAAAAATCGTAACGAACGTAATACATTCCAACTAAAAAACGATGACAGAACATGTAACGAAGAGTTCCTCCTCCAATGACGGGTCAACACCCACTCTTGAGCACGAAGCAGAGGTATGTAATTGGCTCTCCAAATAAAAATTAAGAGGATCACTCATGATTGCAGGGAAGCCCGCTGATTGGAAGTGAACACGATTTTGATGAAATTAATTCTAGTCGAGTCTTGGATATCGACCCTGATGAAATATCGGAACATGAACAAACATGTATTAACAATCTTCTTTCTTCGGAAACTCATTGGTCAACAAAACTTGACTGTTTGCAAGAAATTGATGATGTTCTCACATCTGGAAAGCTGTCAAAGAAAAAAGCAATTTCAATTTCATCTTCTATTGTAGAACCTCTCTCACAAATGGTATGTTTTGTTGTTTATATGTTATTATTACGAATATAAAGATAATGTTTTTAGCTGTCAGATCTCCGATCGTCGATTGTTAAAGCTTCAAGCGACGTTCTTGTTTCTGTTGCAAAACTACTGAAAGAAGATTTTCAAGCACACAACAACTTAATTCTCAAGCCGCTCATGAAAAGTTCTTTCTCAATCATTGAATCCATCGCTACTTCTTGTAGAATATGTCTTGAAGACATTGTAAATATTCCCGGAGCAATTCACGAAAAGTCATACAAACTATTTGAGGAATTTTTGGAGGATGTAGTTTATCAAGGAAATGCAAACACCAAACTAACGGCCTTGAATATCATTACATCCTTACATAAACAGGGAGAAAATATTTTTAATAAGGAAGCTATATTAAAATCCCTAAAGAAGTTAAAGCGAGACGAAAATAAGGACATATTGACAAGTGTTGAGGATGTTGAAACTCTGTTCAACGAAGAAAAAACAGAAATGACAATTTTGGTAAACGAAGACATTGCGCGATCGTTGCGGTCAAGTTTAGAGGAAATTGACACGTCATTCACACAACAACGGAGCCCTAGTGTTGATACATCTCTACAATTCTCTCCTCTTGAGTCTTACATGCACCATATTACTCCTCTTTACATTGATTCATCAACAAGAGTCAACACGGAAATGACTCTTGTTGAGAAAAAGGATGGCTCAACCTCTCCAAAGGAAAAAGTTGTTTACACAATTGAAGATTTAGAGAAGGCAAAGAATGACAGTGTACAAAAAATTTTAACAGAGATGTCAATATTAAGCGCCGATTATGATGACATGGAAGTGAGGTTAAACAATGAAATTCGAAAGAGAAGAGAACTTGAATCGTTTGTTCAAAATTATGAAAAAGAGTTTAAGAACCTGTCTCTTAAAAATGGAGATGACAAAGAAAAAGAAAGCATCAAAGTTCAGTACACTCAGTTATTGATTGATTACTCAAAAATTGAATCCTCATTTAAAGAACTTAAATTAAGATATTACGAAATGAAAAATATTAACGAGAAATATAAGCAAAATGAATCCATAATGAAAGAAAAGCTGCAATCAAGCGCAAAAGAATGTAAAATTTTTGAAGCTAAATATGTGAAGCTTAAAGAACATGCTGAAGAGCAACTTAATAACGCTAATATTAAGCTCAAGGAGTTTGCGGCTGTAAAGTCTCACCATGAACATACAATTTCAGTAAGTAGCAACTTGATAGTAGTAACGGTAATGTGTCACAATTCTTTAGACGTTGGAACAAGAGGTAACAAAAGTGAAAAGAGAGAAAGATGAGAAAGATTTACTTATTGAAAATTTAAACGACAAGATCAAAAAACTTTCGCTTGTTCCGAAAACTCAAATTAAGGCAATGGAAGACAAAATTAAAAACTTGGAAATTACAAACGAACAGTTAGTTTCAGACATTGCTGAATCTCAAAGGCGAGCAATAACAACGGAGACAGAACTGCGAAAACAAAAGGAAGATAATCAATCTCTTGCATCTCGAAGTGAGGAACTGCAACAATCGTTGCACGTTTTTTATGAGGAAAACCAAAAGCTTAAAGCCAAAATTTATGACAAGACCAATGAAATTGAAGCACTGAAATCGCTCATATCGTCTTCAAAACCTTCAAGCACGCCTTCTTCATCGACGGAGCTTGAAGAAAAGTTAAAGAAAGAAGAAGAACGAAGGCAACAGCTTGAATCCAGGCTAAAAGCCAAAGAAAAGGAAAACAAGGAGCTTTTAGACATTTGCAATCAATTAATTGCCAAGATTGAACGCAAACCCGAAGAATAAACCTTGTCAATCAAAAAAAAAATGTTTTGTAAATACCCAGCAACCAACGCGCTCATCAAGTCATGTTCTTTAAATCATCATCAATTTCATTCTCACTACTACGCAACAATGATTCAGCAACATCCAATATTCTTTTTAGTGAAACCAGTGTCGTAATTTATCCTTTTCTTTCCGAAGGAGAAAACAATCGGAGGAAGATCTCACCAGAGAAATTAAGCTGCGTGTAGCCTCAAAATTCATTTCATCTCCAGAGGATGCATCATGGGCATTTCGTAACTATGCCTTCTCAAAAACAGATTTTATGGACCATCATCATGGTACAGACCACGAGAAGATCCAAAACAAGTGTACATCCCACTATGGATCTTTCAATATGGAGATGCAATTGCATACAAAGTAAAACTTCGAGTTACCATTGACCCCAGAAAACAACGAGAGTTGTTGACACAAATATTTGGTGAATTAGTGGATGTTCCTATGGAAAAGGATCCTCTTGTGTTGACACAAAATCCAGAAGACTTTTCTCAAAGAGATGTCAAAGAAAAACAACGAGCTCAAAAGAAAATTTTAAAAGAATTGAAATTAGAAGATGAAAGCACACTTCAGGAATTGGTCAATGTATTGAAGAATATTTTGAGTAACAAATTTCAGATTCAAAAACATAATTTTACTGTTGAAAATATGTCATCAAGTGAAATTACAATTACTTGTATCATTGATCACATCAAGCTTTCTGAATATAACCAAGCACTACCAACGAATTTACCAGGAGAAGCAACACAACCAATGTCATCACCCGTGATCGATGATATTTCGTATGTTTACGCATCGACTCAATTCGAACGGAGATACATCAAAAGAATTGTTGACAGAATCGATAGAAAGTATTTAACAGATCCCACAGTGATTTCAAAAGTTAATTACAAACTGAAGTGGTATGAAAATATGTGGGATTCTGTAAAATTATTCTTTTCTAAATCTGCATTCAAACGAGATTATGAAGTGGATTATTATACTGTTGATTGGGAAACAAGTTGGTCTCTTGCATTAGATAATTATATTCCAGATTCCATGCAAAAGCAATTACATCAAATCATTGAGAGAAGTATTTCAACATCCGAAGAAGCGATTCTTTTCGATTCACCATCCTTGATTGTTGGAGGTTTTGATCTGGAAAAAACAGATTTTAAATTACACAAAAAAGATTTAATTTACTTTCCATTCTATGTGAAGCAAGACGTACTTCAATTCCCACACTATTTGAAATGGTTGAGTCCATTCCAACTCAAACAAAAAGTGAAAAAGATTGAACATGGTGAATATTCCTTCCACTCATTCACAGATGGTATCACATCGAGTTATGTCACTGGTTATGTCCCTTACAGCTTTTTCAAATTATTCTCTTCGTACTTTGTAGGAACCTATGTTGGTTGGTACTTGTTGTACCTTTTACTACCCATAACTAATTTTTCCAATTTCCTATTATATGGCTTTTTGTTTTCAACCATTACATCAGCAAGTGCCACAACTGAACAATATTACAAGCCACTCCTTCACAAGGAACATCACAGAAAATTTGCAGTCATGATCCACAACAAGTACATTGCTAATAAGGCAAGTATTACTCACTATTTCTATAATATCATCATTTCCAACTAACCTTTGTGCTGTATTTCACATGATCAAACTAATATCCATGAACTCTTGGACCTGCTACTCCTTCAGCCGTTACAAAGAATTTATGCTAATGCATGGAAGTGGTGTGCACATCCATCCGATGGTAATACTGCCCTTGGTATTGAGATTAGCAAAGGGTGTGATCTGTACTCCCTATTGGAATTAGATCCAAAGAGATTTGGTCTTTATACACAAGAAGAAATTCGAGTGCAATACAAAAAGATGGCAATGATTTACCATCCTGATATATTCGCATCCAAACAACGAGGATTCATCTCTGGAAGTGACACCTCTGGAGAAGTTGAACAAGAAATTGAAAAAAGTTCTAAACCCGAGGATATTTTGGAAGCTCCTAAAAAGGAAGAAGAAGAATGGACCAAGGAGGAAATTCTAGAAAGATTTAAACAAATTAACTATGCATTCTCAATACTTGGGGATCCATACAAGCGTGAACTTTATCACAAACATGGAGCTGCTTACTTTAAGTTTAGCATGTAATATTGAAAAAGTTTTGAAATTTTAACATGCCAATAATTTGTTTTATGTTGGAATACAAAAGCTACCTCACCATTCTTCAGAAAAATCACTTTCCGACTCCACGTCATCATCATCCTCATTTCCCTTAAACTTTTCTTTGATTTTTTCAAAGATATCTTCCACACCTTCTTTCTTTGGACCTAACTTCTTGCATCTGCTGGTTTTAGAGATTTTCCCTGTTTAATATCCTCTAACCAACTTACGCAACCAGCTGTGACAGCAAGTCGACTCATTTGCGACTTGTTTGATTCAACACTTGTTTTCAGGAGACCTGCATTCATCTCCAAAGATATGACAGATGGGGGAGGAGGAATAATTCCACTCGAAGAAGGTATTGTATCACTTCTTTCATTGAAATTTGGTACCTCCACGAGAGTGCTGTAGCTTGCAGGAACATCATTCATGTAAGGACTCTCGACACGTATAGCTTGAGGAGCGTCTTCAACTTGGATTGACCGAACAGTGGGTGGAAATTCACTAACGTGCGTCTTTTCATGCTTCAAAGTTGGAACCTCTGACACATGTGAAACTGCAACATTTTCGGTGGATTGAATGTTTTCAATGGTAGTAGCAACGTGTCTAGCAGCCATTATTGGCATAATTTGACCTTCAGAGTTGAACTTGTGTCGATAAATTCTCAATTGTCTGACTTGAGCAAGACGACGAGAAGGAGGACATGCTCTCAAATTACGATGAGTGGCATTAGAATGAGCGAGTGGTGCTTGTTTTCTGCGTTCCTCTCTCTTACGCTTGGCTTTGAGATGTCGTTCAAATTCTCGTTTTGCCCATTCGTTAAAGAATAATTTGGAATTGGAGTAGGCTTCCAAGCAATTCTTATATTTTGGATGCGTTGAAAGCTTCCTTCACTATGTTCACAACTATGAGAAGTTTCATGTACATGATCCAAAAGAGGAGAAAAATCGGGCAACTTCAAACAAACATTAGCATATTGTGAATGTAACGGTACAGGGCTATTATCCTTAGAAATGTGTGCAACATCCTTTCTGTAAAGAATCTCTAACGACGATTCTGATAATTCATGACAAGATGTTCTAAACAATAGTTTGTGATTATTTTGATGCATGAACTGCTCATATTCAGGCATTTTGTGATTAATCTCCTGAATGCGAGAATTCAATGAATGAATTCGTTCAAATGATCCTTGAACCGTTTGAGAAAGAGATTGAAACATTTCACATGCTGTCAAGGCAAGTGTGGATAATTGCTGCATGACTCCTGTCATGGAATTCATATTTCTTCCATGAAGAATTTGGCCACTGATACGTGATGATTCAATGCATCCATAGAGTGGCTTGGTGCTCGTAGAAGATGGTTGATCAAAGTGGCCAATACGTACTTGTGTTAATACCATGCTTTTTTTCTGTTTAATTTTCTTTCAGACCAAGAACAAGGAACCTTGAGGAAAGAACAAGGAACACACAACAAAAAATGCTCAAATTGCCCTCGGAAATCTTGTGTGGCGTTTTGGATTGGATTATTCATGAAGATCAAAGGAATTCCAATCACTCTGATTCATCACTCATCGACTCGAACTGTATCGAGAAAATTCAAATCATTTGTTCTTTTGAATTAATTTCGTTTGAAATTTCAAAGCGGAAGGAAATTAAAAATTATTTAGAAAATAACTTTTGGAAACCTCTCTTATGGAGACAATGGAGTGACACCTCGATCAGCAATAACGTGGCAACAATCAGTCAAAAGGAAGAAATCATGAAACTGCTACAACACAAAGTTCAGAATAGTTCTTTAACATTTAAACGAGTTTATGCCCTCACCAATCACTACAAATATTTATTTAAGAGAAACCTACATCAAAGCGTGAAATCATTGTCCCATCTTTGAATCCTCAAGAAGAGAAAGAGTATCGAAAGACGGTCATTCTTGGTTCAGGTTTGTAATGATTTCTAAGAAACTCTCATTATCGTATTATTTCACATACTCTCCTAATAGGGGTGTCGGCAAATCAAGTATTACCTATACAATGTTGCAACGGTTGGATGCTAATGGAGATTTTGATCCAACTGTTGAAGATTATGAAAAAATTCAAATAGAGGTGAATAGTCAACCACTAACTTTGGAAATTGTAGACACACAAGTATCCTTACTTCTCCCTCCCTTTGAACAGTTCATCCAAAGCTGCGACGGACTTGTTTTAGTTTGTTCTGTCATTGACAGGAGGTCTTTTACTGAAAGTATTGAAATTTTGAAACAATTCATCAAAGTGAAAAAATGTCAAAACTTTCCATTAATTTACATGATTCACAAAGTTGATCTAATTACAAGGTCAATCAATAGGTGCAAACGAGAAGTCACTGTGGAAATGGTGGATCTAGCGATACGAGAACTTGGTTTAGTGAATTATTCTATTCATGAGTCCACTATCAAAATTCATTCATCTGTCAAAAATGCTTTTCACGATTTTGTTGTCAAGTGTAGGAATATTATTCCAATGGATTACATGAAATTAATTCGTAATATTATTAAGAAAGATTCTAAAGTGTTTAATGACTTTGAGAGCCACCAATCCTCTTCATGTACCTTAATGTAAGACTCTTCATACTCTAAATAATAGGCTTCAAATTCGATTGTTTGGGAATTTCGGTATCAACCAATCAAAGGAATGCAAGTACTCAACATGTTACATCCTGAACAGCTACAAACACCACACGACTATTTATCCAGAGTTCCTTCTTCTTTCAAAAACGTTTCGAAATTCTTGCTGGCCTCCACAGCACTTTCGAAAGAGGATGGATTTCTCAAAAAGAAACCTTGTAACTGAGCCATGCAAAAAGTAAATGCTCCTACTCGATCCCATAATTTTTCACACAACTCGTCATTGAAATCTTCATAAAAATTTTGTGACATTCGTTGCAGTTGACTCTTTGTGGTATTTCCAAGATAGACTTTTCGGTCTACCCTTCCATTTCTAAGAAGAGAAGGAGGAAGTTTATCTTTGAAATTGGTAGTCATAAACACAATCCTAGATTCTTGAGAGCTTATTCCATCTAAACAGTTCAATAGACATGAGAAAGTGGCCTTTCCAGTGGTTTTAATGACGCTTCTCATCCCTCTGACATCAATTTCGTGTGTGGGTTCTTGTTGTTCATTGGGATCATCTTTAGGGAAACTTGAATCAATATCTTCCAAAACAATGATGGAATTCTTTGGAACTGTTGAAAAGGCATTTTGCAGTCGATCATCTGACATGTTTTGAGATCCCATGTTAATGACACAAATATTAAGATTGAAGCAAGCTGCAATTGATGTGATGGTAGAAGTCTAAATGATGATTTTCATGAAAAAATGTGTCTTATTATTTGCAAATGGATTAAACTACTTACTTTTCCATTTCCAGGAGGTCCATATAGTAAATATCCACGGCGATAAGGTATTCCACGATCCTTATACCACTTTTTAGAATTTAGAAAGTTTGAAACATCCTTGTATAACTCCTCCCAAACTCCTTCATCTAAAATCACCGTTTTTTTCTCTCTCTTTTCGACAACACTAGTTACTCTCCATGTGTGTTGCGATGCTGAATAAATGGTTGTCTTTTCACGGGATATTAAATCATGTACATAATAACACTCATCCAAAAGATCACGAAATGTGAAATATGCGGTATTTTTGCTGTCACAGTTTTCGTTGGAAGGTTTCACAGAAGATGAAGGTGGTATCAAAGATTTCTGAAATCCTGCATTTTCTAACATGTCTCTCACCGATGGTGTGTTGTTATAATTATCCACACATGGATAAAAGAATTTAACCAAGGTTGAAATCCAAGAATAACAAGGTCTGTAAATTGTGACACTTTCTCGTTCTCTCCTGTCGGAACCGAAGAACCCAAACTTTGAGAAATACCTAATTTCATAATAAATAATTTTGACTGGACATAGAATAAATGAATTCCCAAGCCAGGTACAAATTTTACACGGCTTGCCTTCGAAGACCCCTCTCCATTATTGTCATCTGAAATTCCTCTCTCTGTATTTAAGACTGGTTCTCTTCCAAAGTTGTGATGAGTCTTTTTGGGTTTAATTCTTTTTGCTCCAAATAAAGTATAGGGGTGAAATGAAAACCAAGCACAATACCATCGAAATTCATCATCAGCATCTGTAAGCGTGAGCTGAAAGAATAAAATCCGATTCAATAAAAATTGAATGGCTGCTTGAAGATACCACACAAGAAAGGAGCCAAAGAAACCAAAGATAAACCATCCTTTTCCGAATGTATGGAATGAAAAGAATGATCCCAAATGGTCCGTCGCTGTTGTAGGTTCTGCACCGGTTGTGGGTTCAAGAGTGGGTGCTGTCATTTTTTTGTGGTATTTTTGGAGGAGTACTGCAGCGACGGTGGAATTCGAAGGTTTTTTAAACAACCTTAGTGGTGAACCTTGCTTCACTTTTTGTAAGCAACATGTTGAGTCATTTTTTAAATTGAAACTGTATCATCATTCAAAAGGTTGTAGATGAAGGATTAATGAAGAATTCAAGTCTCAATCGGTTGTTTACAGAGGGAGGTTTTTCTGCAATGTATTTTAGCAGAGGTTGCTAATAATCTCACATGGAAGCGATGCACATATGATTACGTTTTTAATAGTGGAGAGGTTCGTTGGACTATTAACGCACCCCAGTATGATAATGTCACATAGAGTTGTGTCTAGAAAAAGCTTACTGCATTGAATTGTAGGATGAGTGTGAATCATCAAATTTATTATTTTACATTTAAAAAGACGCTTAATCCTCTTCCTCATCTTCATCTTCTTCATAATCTTCGTCATCTCCTTCATAGCTTTGTAAATATGACTTCACCTCCAAGTGATGAGCCAAATCCACAGGTCTCTTATTTTGTGAATTTACAATATCCAATTTAGCATCCTTTTCAACAAGATATTTCACAACATCCAAAGCACCTCTGTAGAGATTAAAATCGTTTTTTCAATATCATCAACATTGCAATATTTTGAACATACCTCCATGTAGCTTTGTGAAGTGGAGTGTCACCAAATTTGTTTGTACTATCGAGTGGCAATTTAAGAGTTTCTACCAAATACTTGACACAATCAAGGTGGCCAGCACCAGCAGCCCAATGCTAATCGTACGAATGGAATATGAGAAGAAGAATGCAACACATGATTGTTCATACATTGTACAGGATCAGGAAATCATTGATATGCGGAACCGAATGGTGTTAAAATTCATCATCAAAAAAATTCCCAAAATGGTATTGATGATTCGGGATTATTCACAAGTCGATGCATCATCAGATCGATCAAACCGAGAGGTCGAATCATCATTCATGATTCATTCAATCATTTTTCAAATGCCATGATGATTGGTATTTCAAAGGAAATGAATATCATCATTTGATATCATACGAATAACAACAACAAATCAATGTTATTGCAACATGAATCGCTCAATCAACAACCATATCACTCAACACGCTCAAATCACTTACCAATGCAGTATTTCCAAATTCGTCCAATTGTAAAACATTAAACTTGGAATCTTCATTCAACAATTCTTGAATTTCCAACACTTGTCCTCTCTTTGAAGCAGAAAAATAACGTAAAGTTCTAGTTTGCTCAGGAGTGAGAGCATCATCATACACTGCTTGATCAGATGACATTTTTTGTTGTATTATTTGGGATGGATATGAATTACAAGTTGTGTGTGTGAAATTTCAAAGAAGATCTCTCTCAGAATTTAAAGGATGATGAAGTGACGATGACGAGGATGGCACACCGATTGTGTGAGATGTTGAAATTTTTTTTTAATGAAAATGGATGGATGACCAAGTGTGAAATTGGTGTCAGAGTCGACGTCTTTTGCTGTCATCTTCTGGCTATACGAGAATTTGATCACTTGCAATCATACTAATGGGAAGAAAGGACAATAGTTTGAAAGAAGAGAGCAATAGGATTGAACAAGTTGACGAGTGAGTAACGTTCAGGAGTGGTAAAAGTGAGTATTCATTGGTTTGGACCAAAAATTACGATTTCTGGATACACTTGTCAATGGGCAACATCACAAATCAATTTTTACTTGAACGTCAATTTACTGATTGACAAGCAACAGATATGAAGCGAAGCATTTCTTCGACCACCTCAAAGCTCATCTACCAATCAATGTTCACACCAAATGGAACAGAGAGCCTTGAATGTTCGCTGCGACCCTTCTTCATCCAACACACACAAAATCCACATATTTTCATTCCATTCCTTTCTCTTAAATCTCACATGATTTCTTAATGAAACAATCATAAAAACAACCAAAAACTGATTCTTCTTTTCCGTAATCAACCACATTCAACGTCATCCATCAAAAAAAAAACGAGTGACGAGTTTGTTGACGCCTCTCTCAACACAACATTATCTTTTCACAAGCTCACACCAATAGAAGTAGCAACATTATCCATATTGCTTTTTCATCACTCATAGCAACAACAACAACTCAAAAGAATCATTTGTGTTGTGTAAATTATTGTATTTGACAAGCTGATTTTGTGTGTGTTGATTGTAACTCATCATCATTCAATTTCTCTCTCTTTTGAAAAAAGGTGTGTATCATATAATGTGATTTATTATGATTTATAATTATCTTTTTGCGAATTTGATAATAATTATTGATATCACTACTACTACTCGGTATTTTCACACATCGCATCATGTGTGGTATCCAATATATATATATACATGAATGGTCATCATTCTATATCTCAATAATCCAAAAACATCACTCAATATATACCACTTGATGATCATCTTTTCAACAACCACACTGCTGGACACACACAGACAACAACAACAACAACAAGAATGGCATTTAACATTAAACAACGAAAACAAAAACAAGCTGGTATCGATGACATGGTTCTCCTTCCAAAACTTTCAGAAAATGAAATCATGGAAAACCTCAAAAAACGTCACGCCACTGATGTCATTTACACGTATATTGGAAATGTGCTCATTTCTGTGAATCCTTTCAAACAAATTCCAATCTTTGATCAGAACTATATCGATCAGTACAATGGAAAGTATCCTTATGAGGAACCTCCTCATGTCTATGCATTGGCTGAGACAGCTTATAAAAACTTGAAGAACAATGGAGATTCTCAGTGTGTGATTATCTCCGGAGAGAGTGGTGCTGGAAAGGTATGTGTTTGATATTGTATACATACATTGAATGTTATGAACTGTATTGTGTTTTTTTTCGTTACATGACTTTGACCTTGTTGAACAATAACAACAACTCTCTCTGTTCATCCTGTTCACACACAAATGTACACACACACGTGTGGTTCGGCTCAATTCCCTTCAATTCCCTTCTCTTACCTTTTATCAGACTGAAGCCTCTAAATTAATCATGCAATACATTGCAGCTGTTTCTGGTGATGGACACGGAGTAGATCGTGTCAAGAGAATCATTCTCGAAAGTAATCCTCTCTTGGAAGCTTTTGGTAATGCCAAAACAGTTCGTAACAACAACTCGTCTCGATTCGGTAAATTCTTTGAGATTCAATTCGATGACAGAGGTGATCCTATCGGAGGTAAAATTACCAATTACTTGCTTGAGAAATCTCGTGTCGTGTACCAACAAGCAGGTGAACGTAATTTCCACATTTTCTATCAATTGTGTGCAGGTGCTACTCCAGAAGAAAAGGAAGAATTTGCAACGACCAATGCTCATGACTTTTATTACTTGTCACAGTCTGGTTGTTACACTGTGGATGGAGTGGATGATGCTGAAGAGTATCAATTGACTAGAAAGGCCATGGATGTCATTGGTATTACCAAAGAAGAACAAACCAATTTGATGCGATTGGTTGCTGGTATTTTGTGGCTTGGTAACATTACATTTGAAGAAACTGGAAGAGGTTCAGTCGTTTCTGACGAGAATACTCTCAACTATGCTGCTTACTTGTTAAATGTTGCACCTGACAAGTTGCAATTTGCTCTCTTGAACAGAATTATCAAGTCTGGATCTGAGGAAATTACTGTGGCTCAATCTCCTGCTCAAGCTGCCAACATTCGTGATGCTTTGGCTAAGGCCTTGTATTCAAGAATGTTCGATTGGCTCGTCAAACGTATCAATGATGCCATGGACACCAAGAAGAATCAATTGATTTTGGCTGTTTTGGATATTTATGGATTTGAAATTTTTGACAAGAATGGTTTTGAACAATTTTGTATCAATTATGTGAATGAGAAGTTGCAACAAATCTTTATTGACTTGACACTCAAAGCAGAACAAGATGAATATCAACAAGAAGGTATCAAATGGGAACCTATTCAATTTTTCAACAACAAGATTGTGTGTGACTTGATTGAAGAAAAGAATCCTCCTGGAATTTTCTCCATTCTCGATGACACTTGTAACACCACTCACTCGATGGAAGCTCGAGCTGCCGATGAAAAGTTTTTGACTCGTTTGCGTGAAGTTGTGAACAATCCTCACTTTGTCGGTCGTACCAGTGAATTCTCTGTGAAACACTATGCTGGTAGTGTGGATTACAACATTGATGGTTTCACAGATAAGAATAAGGATGTGCTTTACAAGACATTGATTCAATGTATGCAATCGACTACGAATCCATTCATTAGAAAGTTCTTCCCTGAGAATGTCAATGAAAATGACAAGAAGAGACCGGACAGTGCTGGACTCAAGATCAAAACCAGTGCCATTGAATTGGTAGCTTCTCTCAAACGATGTGAACCTCATTACATTCGTTGTATCAAACCCAATGAAACCAAACAACCTCGTGACTTTGATACCAAACGTGTACTCCATCAAGTCAAATATTTGGGTCTATTGGAGAATATTCGTGTGCGTCGTGCTGGTTTTGCCTATCGTGCTCCATTCAAAAGTTTTTACATTCCTTCTCAGTCCTTTCGAAGAAAACTTGGCCTGTCTGGAGGGGAGATGCTCGTGAAGGATGTGAAGTCCTATTGAAAGACATTGGTATTGAACCTGGAGAATATCAAATGGGTAGAACTAAGGTCTTTTTGAGAAAACCAGACACCTTGTTTAGTTTGGAAGAAAATAAGGAACGTCTCTTCCATGACAATGCGACTCGAATGCAAAGATTGTGGCGTAACTACAAGTTGAAACGTTACTTTATCAAACTTCGAAATTCATCTGCTGATTTGTTAGATAATAGAAAACAAAGACGTCGATTGTCCATCAATAGAACCTTCTTGGGAGATCATGTCAATTATTTGGACAATGCTCAATTGCAAGAAGTCATGAAGAAACAAGGTCGTAAAGATGATGGTGGTGTTGTCTTTGGTGATGTCTTTATGAGACCAAAGAAGAAATTGTTGAAGGGTGTCACTTTTGATAAGGTTTGGGGTTTGTTGACCAATGAAGCTCTCTATTTCATTCACAGAGAGAAGGTTAAGAAGCAATTCATTATGGAAATGTTGTGCAGAATTGCAATGAATCAAATTCAATGCATTTGTATGAGTCAACTTTCTGACAATTGGTTGGTCATTCAAGTGAACGATCCACTCATTGATGACTTGTTCCTCGAATGTGAAAATAAGACTGAATTCTTGGCCATTTTGAACGATCAATACAGAGCCAAGATGAATCGTGACATTCCTCGTACATTTGAAAATACTCTTTCCTATACTGAAAATAAGAAGAAGAAGACTGTCAAGAAGGTTGAATTCTCCATTGATCCAAAGGCTAAATTGGCAAACGTTTCAGGAGGTGGTTCTGGTTTCAAGGTTGGAATTTGTGAAGGTTTACCAGCTGGTACTCAACCAAAGAAGGTTGAAATTAAGATGACCAATGCACCCTCTTATCAATCTTCTTCATATGGTCAGCAACAACAACAACAACAAACACAAAGAATTGGTCATAGAATGTCTCTTCTTGAACAAGCTCCAATTCAAGAATCTACCTACTTGGCTCAACAAGAACAAAACAGTGGTGGTCCAAAGAAGAGACTTCCTCAACCTCCACCAAAGGCCAACGAGAAGCCAAAGGTTAAGGCCTTGTATAATTATCAAGCAACTGCCGACGATGAATTGACTCTCCGTGAAGGTGACATTATTACACTTTTAGATAAGGATCCATCTGGTTGGTGGGAAGGAGAACGAGCCGGAAAAAGAGGTCTCTTCCCAGGAAATTATGTCATTGAGCTATAGACCTGTTCCAAACATTGTAACCCAGGACAACAATAAATCGATATTTTCAATTTTAGTCTACAGTACTGAGCTCTAGATGAGTTGGATAGAAGTTGTATTCATGACCCTGTTTGAGAATTAAGAAGCTAACATATTGGCATTAGCTGTTACGTGAAACATTGGACAGAATTGACAGATTAAAGTATAGCTTCTCTGGATTGGGTAAAGAAAATGTGGTCCATGCTTACCACAGAAAATCATGAACAATATTCTCTTAAACACAATATCGACTTTATGTCGCTTAAGTAATTTAAAATACCTATTTCGAAAGCTTTTTTCGAATTTCATCGCTCAGCCATTTAACTCCGTCAGCAATACCATCGCCCACCAGAGCGTTTGAAGCAATTATTGTCCAACTCTTGTTTTGTATTTCATGCAATTTTAGAGATTCAGAAACCTCTGAGGCAGACAAAGAGTTGGCCAAGTCTTGTTTGTTGGCAAAGAACAGAATTGGAATTGGTCGATCCTTAATTTCTTTTAACAAAATTTTCATTTCATCTTCTGCTACTGCAATTCTAACTCTGTCAGCACTATCTACAACAAATATTACACCGTCTACCTCACCATAAAAACTTTCCCAAAGATTCCGATATTTTCCCTGGCCACTCATATCAAAAACAGTGAAGTTCAGTTTTTCAAAATCAAACGATTCTTGACTGTAACCAATCGTCGGAACAACATTTGATTCTCGTTCTTTCTTTGGTTTTAAATGATTAATTATCGTTGATTTTCCGCTGTTGTCCAGACCACAACAAACAATCTTCACTGATTCTTTCTTTTTTGAACTGAACCCTCCCATTTGTTGTAATACTGATATAGAGTTGTTTTATAATATATTGGTACAAGTGTTGTTGATAAATCTCTTTTACTGATAGCTCCGAGGCTAATGTAATTAATTGATTTTTTTTGTTGTAAATATGAACTTTTTTTGAGCGCTAAAAAATGAACGTTTTCGACAGCCGATTGAAGGCCATCCCACCATCACGAGAATATCGGAATAAAACCATGATGAATTGTTTGAGCCATTTCGATAAATATCAAGATTGTAGGAGAAGTAATTTATCAAATTTTTATGAATTAGGACAAATAAGACCCTGCTTGGAGGAATGGGAAACATTCCGATGGTGCTTCAAGGCAAAGTTTTTATTTGATGAAGAATCGAAGGAAAGGTTGAACACAAGAATGAGAAATGTATATGTGAACATGGACAAAATGCCTTGGATATGGAAAGACAATTACTTAAGATATTTACATGAAGAAGATAGACTGCCGAAACGATATTCTTATCTCGTAGAAGATGACGCTGATGATGACAATGTAAAACAACAATAATTTTAAGATAATTTATTGTTTATTTAATTAAGTGAATAAGTGAATGTTAATATTTTCCAAACCACTTGGTCTTTCCAAGTTTGAAAAGAATTGAAAATCGCATGCTTTGAGCCGAGAGTCGGTCATCAAAAATATTGAAATTTGCTTTTTGGAGACGTTCTAGAAATACTTCACAAATGATTGAATGCATAAATAATGGATATGACTTTGGATCCACAAGTAACTGTTGCGATTTTTCGTCTTTCAGAACTGCCAATTCTCTCGCCAAATCTAAATGTGAATGAGCCAAGTCAGCTACCTTAAAAACGACTTCCTCAAGGGCTGGCGATGCTCGTTTGGAGTAAATGTCATCTTCTGTTACTCCAAATTTTGCGCACAGCTGAGCAGGTAGATACGTAGAGCTGTGTTCAGCCAGATGAGGTACTGCTCTTAACAACGTACATATTCCATATGATCGTCCAACATGTGAAGCAACATGATCGGTATGAACATTTCGTTTACCAACAGCCTGTAGATGAGCCATAATCAAAGATCCGTACACTCCATCAGAATAATTTTCAATATCTGCCAATGTGGCTGGTTGTTTCCAACGAAGGTCAATTTCTCTCCATTTAAAAATGTTTCGTAAATGAGAAAATTTCAATTTGTTTTCAGGTTTTGCATGTGATTGCATGTAGGCCAGTGCAATCAATGCCGGCACTCTTGGTGGGTGACCGACAAGAGCATTCTTTAGCTGATCTTTCCACCATGCAAGTCGAAGACTTCCTGTTGTCTGTGATTTTGTGTGATCCTTAATTGTGGCCCATTCTGCGTTCAAACAGTATAATATAGTGCAAATATTTACACTATCTATATCTTTTTGAAGAAGTGCAAGAGAATATTGTTCTGGATTAATTGCTCGTAATTGCTCCCGTAGATTAGTCATGGTCACATTAAATTCTTCTTTGGTAATTTTTGAAATATCAACCGTATCAAAAATCACCTTATTGGCAATATTGTCTATGGGTGTTGGTTTGGATTTTGTATTCGTCTGCTCTTGCTGAATTTTTTGAAGCTTGATAATTGGTGCTTCTTCTTCAATTTCGGGATTTTCTTGACGATGAACGCTCGAACAAGAAGTGTCATGGCGATGTCCACTCTCCTTTGAATATACTGCCAAGGTTCCTAAATTTAAATGAAAAAACTTTTTGTGCTGTCCTTCCGATCGGATTGAATGGCTTGGATGATAATGGCTCAAGAATCTTCTTGCCAATGATAAACTGTTTAATTTTCTCATTTTTTGAGGTGAGTTTTTTGAATTATCAATTTAATATATTCTCAAGCCTGAATTGAATTTGGTGTAAGTACCAAGCTCTTTCAGACACAATTCTTTTGCCAAGAATTGTCATTGTTATGAAAAGCATCATTTTGCAAAGAGAGCTCCCAAAAATAAAACAAAGAAAAATGTCATCAACGCCAGTGGCCATCTTTGATGTTGCACTTGTGGGTGATTACGCCAGTGGAAAATCTTCTTTTATCAATCGATTTATTATGGATCCGAAATTCGTGTATCCCCAAAGTACTTGGAGGACCTGTAATTATCACATACTATCATTTGAAACCACACGAGGAGAAATTCATTTACGAGTTTGTGATTCGTTAGGACAGGAGCGAATGGGTGGATTACGAGACGGATTTTATATCAACAAACAAGCTGCAATAATTATGTTTGATGTCACCAATCGATCTTCTTTTAAAAACACTTCCTACTGGCATCGTGACATTGTGAGAGTGTGTGGAGAAACAATTCCAATAGTTCTATGTGGAAATAAGGTGGACTTACTCAAACAGAGGAAAGTGAAATCGTTTTATCATGTGAAGTATGGTCCGAAATTACCATATTTTGAAGTATCTGCTCTTGCCAATTGTAATATTGAACAACCCATGTTGTATTTAATGAGAAAATTGATGAACGATGATCAATTGAATCTCATTAAGAACATTGATACAATTCCTCCATCTGTAACTATTGATCCAGAATATTTTGTAATTTTGGAAAAAGAATGGTGGAAACAAAAAGAGATGGAACTCTTTCAAGTATATGAGCAAAATATCATCTTCTTTGGTAGAATTGAAAGAATGATCCTTCATCATCATTGTTCTCCTCACTATTCAGATATTGACATTATTTCGTATCCACCAAGTTGGGATGTTCCATAAAGACTATTCAGCTCGAGGCTGGACCGAGTAAACCTTTCTTCTTCTGCTAAGTGAAGTTGAGTGAATTGCAACTATAGACGAAGAGGCAAAGAAGAACCGCCAAAATTTAAATTTGTGATTAACTGAAAAAAAATTCAGCATGTCGTTCCCTCTTCCGAATTCATCAAACAACACAAGCCACAACATTTTCCGAGATGATATTTCATCACCACAACAAAAACATCATCACACGATAAACTACACCCAGAACACTTTGAAAAATGCTTCCACAAAACGAGAGCTATCACCTTCTTCGTATAAAAAGAATTTGGATGTATTTCATAATAATTCGCAAGCATCATCACCTTTTGGAGGAGAGGATCATCCATTGTTTGATATCACTCGATCTAAACATTCAAGTGTATCTTCTATTAGTCATCCGCTCAATGTTGAAAGCATGAATAATCTGAATAGTAGTAGAGCATTAACACAAGGGCTACTAAAGCAGCCTTTGGTTCTTGGACAATCTGTTGCATCTAATACTGAAAACCTTGTTCAATCTTCAAGAACTTCTTGTTATGTACATAGAAAGCCTATCATTTCATGGAAGCCATTGTCACAGGAGGAAAAGGAAGCTCTTACAAAGAATGTTTCTAATAAGGATGTAGTGGAAGAAGAGGACACTTCACAACAAACTTTAAACGACAATGCATCAACAACAAATTCAGGTATTGATATTTCTAATTTTATGGCTTCTCGAAAAAGGCTTAAAATGAATCACTTAACACGGCCACCAACAAATGATTTACAATTTAAGACGATCCCCAACAATTCAATATTTTCAAATAATGGCATACATTTACAAAACGAGGAGCTTAATTCACGATTTAGCATGTCACACTCGACAAACAATTCATCCATCAATTGGATGGATAAGGTTACCTCTACAACCACACTCCCAGAGAGAGTATCTTTGCTGTTACAAAATGCCCGAAAACCGGTATTGGAGACTCTTGAAACAACAACTTGTACGAATACTTCGTTTACTAAAGAGTCTCCAAAACCAACTGTGGATTCAATATCAGCTAAATGGCAACAATATTATGGTAATTATCCAAAGAGCCAAGCATCCAACAGTGCAAGTACAGTCCCTCCATCGCTTCAAACGAGATTCAATACTTCCTCAATTTCTACTTCATCTTCTAAAACAGGAAATTCATTACTGGTTACTAAATCCTTATTTCACAATAATGGCGCCAATTCAAATAATACGTATGGTCGATCCAATCCTGAGAATAGTTTAAACATTTCTTCAGTAACGCCATCAAGCATGTTAAATCAGTCTTCCATCGCTCCTTCAAATCCATTTTCACAACTCACAAAGAGTTCAACCATATTACCTTCACCAGCAAAAATAGATTTTCCTGCTCGTGAATCCATGTACAGTATTCAGCCCTTGCCATCTTCAAAGAACATTCCCGAGTTAAATACTTCCACTAATCTCAATAACAGTATTTTCGAAAACATGGAACAAGGTGAAACTGATGAAGATTTTGAGGCTTCTGGCATTGAAAATTCTAATCTAAATGCCTCTAATATTTTAGCTAACATTCAATCCTCAAAAGCTTCCAAAGCTAGTAAGCTCAATAACACATCATCTACTAAGAATTCTGACAAGCTGCAACTAGTTGCATCTGGAAAACAATTTCAGCAAATACGAAAGAACAAGGAGGAATTAATGTTATTTCAAACTGTTTTCTATCAAATTCACTTTATCGTTGCTAAGGTCATTGATAGCTTTGAAAAACAAAAGGAAAAGATGGAACAACAACTCTACAGCGCATGGTGCCTCATTCAAGAGCGAAAGAAGTCGCTGCATGACCGAAAGGAATGTCTTTACAAGAAGCAATCAAGTGCTAAATTACATGAACTTTTAAATTTCAGTTTCAATCAAAGTTCCATTGACGAGCTTCTTCATAATTTGCATCAGTATTTCGAAGTGTATGGAATCATGAATTCTGAGTTGAGACAATCTTTGAATTGTATTGCATTATCAGATGACATTGATGTCTCTACTTCCGAACATGCTAGACCTGGGTTGGAAAATGGTGATGAAATCGCTTCTTACTTGGACAAAAGCGACCAAATTTTACAATCATTGTGTACTGAGATGTTTGATCTGATGGAAAACATTTCTAACATGAAGACTCAATTTTCTAGGTTGGGAAATATTGTTAATCAAACCACTACAGAAATTTCAGAATTATCCAACAACCAAATACCTCATCTTTCCAATATTGAATCAGAGCACACATCCATGATATACCAAAAAGTACAGGAAAATGTCAAACTAAGAAGTGACAATCCATTTTCTTTTGACACTTTGAGAGAATCGCTCGGCCTCTAATTAATTCCTATTTTTTATTCGTCATGGCAACAAGTCACCATGCAAAAGGGAACCGGCTTGACTGAACCAGAAGTATCTGGTAGTAAATATGCATTCTTCAATATTTCAAGTTGAATCACCTTCAAATTATTCTTCTTCAATAAGGCAACAATTTCCTCTTCGTTAAATGTTCTCATACCTTGATGGGCTGCAGCTTGGTTACCGTCGTTGTATTGAAATGATATCCAGCATTGAGAGCTATTAGACTTTTTCAACAGACGCTTAATTTCGGGTAACAGAACTGTTTCCAAGTTTTGAAGCATTTCTGTCACTCCAAAGCATGTAATCAGATCAAAGGAATTGCTTTGAAGACGATCAATCTTTGTGTCCAGGTCATGAACAAACAAGTTGCGGTAAACTCCCAGTTCTTCGCTCTTGTTTAACATGCCCTGTGAAATGTCTAAACCTGTCAAGTCTAATTTGGTCGTCTCTCCTAAAACGTTGCAAAGTGCATTTCCTACCAGACCACAACCGGTTGCTAAATCCAATACTTTGAGGTTATCTAAAGTCCTTTGCTGTTTTAGCGCATTCGCTTGCTTTAAAACCCATGCTATTACATTCTTTTGATATTCTGATATCTTGGTTAAAAACTCCCATTGTTCACTATACTTGTCAAACCTTGCGGCGATCTCTTCCTTATTCATGGTATTGATATTAAAGTTTTTACCAAGTTTTTTTAGGTTTCCACTTTTCAATAGTTCACCTTCTTCGTTGGGAAGGTTTAATACGGTTGATATAGTATGAGCTGCTTTGATGTTTTCTTTTGGATCACCAAGATAAATGGTAGCTTCCCATGTTTGTGTTTTTCTTCCCAAATGACGTGGCCTTGCAACAACATGCAAAACATCATTAATATTCGCATGTCTTGTAAATTGTGTGAATGTGTCGAGAACAACCATACCCGCTCCCTCTAAAAATTCGTGTGCATAAAAGAATGCTCCAGTTCCAATTGCAGTGTCACTCATTGTAATTATTGATCCGCCATGTACTAATCCCATCGCATTCATATGAACTTCTGTGATTGGCATGGACATTTCAATAAATGCATTCTCTCGATCATTTTCCATATTACTCAATTTTACATGAACAACCTTCACACCCAAATGAGCATTTAATCCAAAATTAATTTTCTTTTCAATGAATTGTTTGGCTATAAGATCTTGCTGCTCAAAATCCCGAACATCTTTACAAGCCAACAGTGAATATGAAAAATATTTGGGAGATGATGAAAATGTATTGCAAAATTTATCGTTTGTCGTGATCAAAGCTCCCGATGTTCCAAAGCTTAATGAGGTGGTTCGCAAAAAATTTCGGACGAGCGTTCGCGAATTTACAGCTTTCCCGTGGCAGAGAAGGTTCTTTGGGAAGATGATCATTTTTTTAGAAGTTGATCATTTTTTAGAACTTGATCGAATTCAAAAATCTAAAAGTAAATCAATTTCGAAAGAACACACACAAGTTCACATACAGACAATCAAAAAAATGTTTCGAAACACCACAATCAACACTGTTGTATCAACACTCTCTCATCAACACCGAACACACTCGTTACGACTCTCTCAGATAGATACAACAAGACACTATTCCACTTGCTTCATCCCTCATAAGGAGCAGGATACAAAACACCACACGGTCGACCATGAAAAAAGCAAACCCGTTCTTATTACTGCTGCACTGACCGGAGATGTTCCATCAAAAAACAGACACATGAAAGTTCCCATCACGCCCGATGAAATTGTACAAGATACTTGTGAGGTGTTTGAGTCTGGAGCTCGAATGATTCATGTTCATGTCCGAGATGATGAAGGAAAACCAACCTACAAGTATGAATATTATCAAAGAGTCTTGGAAGGAGTTCGAAAACATTGTCCAGACATGATCATACAATTTAGCACTGGTAATTATGCACCCAATGTTGAAGAACGGGTAAAATGTTTTCAATTAGAGCAAAAACCTGAGATGGGCAGTTGGACACCTGGATCAACAAATTTTGTAAGTGACGGTTATGGAATGGTTATGGAGAATGACACGTGTCTTTTATTAATTCTTTTAAAATTCCAAATTGGAATTGTTAACAACTTGTAGTTACCTGCACGAAAAGGAAGTGATATTTATTGGAATACCAATGAAGATGTTGAAGAAATACTTAAAGTCATGAAAGAAAATGGAATTCGACCAGATGTCGCAATATTTGACGCTTCCATGCTTTATAGAACTCACATGTTAATGAAATTGGGTTGGATTACACCTCCTATTCGCTTAATGTTTGTTTTTGGTGGTTATATGGCTCTACCACCAAGAGAATCTTTAATCAAATTTCTTGTCTCTGAATGTGATGAATTATTTGGACACGAAAATTACACTTGGTGTGGAGTTGGAGTGGGATGGAATCATTCACAACTACAACGAATGACATTACTCAATGGAGGTCATCCAAGAACTGGTTTTGAAGATTCATTTCTTATTAAGAGAAGAGTGATTGCAAAAAGTAACAAACAATTGGTTCAGCATTTAGCTGAAATTTGTCAAGAATTTGAACGACCAATTGCAACACCACAACAAGCACGTGAAATTCTTGGATTGAATGTTGCTATTGATACAAGCACTGAGGGATTGGTGTTACCTACCAAGTCGAGCAGTGTTTTTGGTTGGTCACAAGAAAATTCAAATGATCTCTATGTGAGGAACGAAAAAGACAGTCCAAACAAATATGTAATGTAATTATTGTATTAATGAATAGAGTGGTCATGAATGTAATAACAACCAGAGTTAAAATATTTTGAATCAATATTGAAAGGTTCTTTACAAAATTAAGAAACATTGTTTTCAGAGTCAGTGACAGAAATGGTCTATTTAAAAAAAAATATACAATGACCACTGACAGAACCGCTGGTTCATTTGTCGATCTCAACGAAGATGTGTTGATCAATATTTTGTCCTTCATTCCGACCAATCACCTCTTTCAAGTTCAGACAGTAAACAAAGTATTTTCGAAAATTTCGGAACATGATATGTTGTGGAAACGATTTTACAAGGAAGAACTTGCACTCTTACACAACTTGGGAGTAAAAGACGATCCAGTCCAATCCAATTTTAAAAAACATTTAAAACAAATCTATGAAAGAACAATTTCTCAAATCGAGGCAAAATTAACGAAACAACTAGTTTCAACAACTAAACACAAGAACATTTATTATTCCAAAGATGAAATTTTGAATTATGAGCCACAGCAAGACCTTCAGAAAGATCGTTTTCGTATCGTCATCACCGGCGATGGTTGTATTGGAAAAACATCCATGTTCATTAAGTTTGCAACTGGCAAGTTCCCTGATGAATATATTCCAACAGTGTTTGACCATTATGTGATGCAATCAAAATGGAATTCAAAATATGCTTTGGAGTTAGTAGATACTGAAAGTCAAGACTATGGTAAGTGACAAATTTGCAAGTATGACGTTTTGATAAGATTGTTCATCAAAATAGAGCGATTAAGGTTTGTTGTGTTCTAATTCATTTGATTTGACAAAATATCCAACAACATGAAATTCACTCCAAAAATGTTCATCCAATACATGATGACATGTGTAGACCTTTAGCTTATTTAAATTCAGATCTGTGTTTCATTGCATTTTCTTGTCTCGATACCTTTCACAATGGTCAATCGTTTATAAATGTTGCAGAGAAATGGATTGCAAGTTATAGCCACTTTGCCCCTCAGGGTCGAATGATTCTCGTTGCAACCAAATGTGATTTAAGAAATAATACTAAACTCAAGAAAGAAATGTTGTTTAAAAGAGGAATTAGAGCTATTAGTGTTGAACAAGGTGAATTAATGGCACAACAGATGGGATGTATCACCTATATTGAAACTAGTGCCAAAGATGGCATTGGTTTTGATCGTTTGGATGAGCTTGTGTTGAAATCGATTGCAATACCTCTTCGAGCCAATGAACACAAGAAGAATTGTTTTTTGCAATAATAATCAGAAGAAATATTCTCACTCTCTCTGCAGACATTATGTAAATATCAACAACAATTATTGAATACTAGTGTTCTTTTGTTTTCTTTTCCGAAGGCTCATAGTTTTCGTAGACATCCGTGTGTTGCTGTTTTTGTGCTTTCATAAATTCCTCTCGCTCTTTGAGATATTTGTGGACATTTTCCTTGTACATCCGATCGTAGTATTCATCGGTGAGGCGTTCCAACTCTTCATCTGCGTCGTCGTCATCGTTGTTGTGTTCGTTTGGTCTTTCGGGTTGCTGATTGTGTGGAGCATGCATTTTTTTGTTTCGTGTTTTAATTTGTTTTAATATTATGAATCATAATGGTTCATAATATTAACAATGTTGAAGTTCGCAGTAAATGCCATAATGATCACTCAAGCAAACCTTTTCCATGTGGAATTTTTCTCTCAACATGGTTTGTTCTTCACTCGACAATGGGAGAGGTTGTTTTCCAAAAACCTCCATCTTCTGTGGTAAAAATATGGTAGATTTGATCATCATTCGATCTAAACGATCTCCTTTTCTGTGGGGCCCGTATGGAAACGTTTTTCCTTCAATAACGTGTTGAGGGTACAATGAATACCAAACATCGGTGTAATCCTTAAATATTCCACTTGTTAAGTTTTCATTTTCTTTCGATTCACTGTCAAAATTAAAATCTCCCATTAACATTCTTAAAGAGGACGATGAGTAGTGTTCCAATACTGGATGAATTTGTTCCAGTTGAGTTTTTCTCGATGATTTGGATGCTAACGATTCCAAATGTACTGTTCCTATAACTGCAAAGCATGGAATCATGGTCTCTAATTGAGAGATGTAGGCACCTTTGGAAGCAGAAGCAAAGTACTTCTCCATTAAGGTAATATCAGTAATAGGCTCTTTAGCAAAGGCCACGTGAATGAATTTCCTTCCCATTCTTGTGGTCAAGGATGTAATGCGTATATCAAGAATGGGCAACGATCTCTTCACTAACACCATGACTCCATACGGATCCACAGATGTTCCATCAATATCGGAAATGATATAATTATTTCGAACAAAGTCTCTCTTGAGAAGGTTGTTTTCAATATAATTTGGAATCATTTCTTGCAGACAAATGATATCGGGATTTACCTGTTCAAAAAAGTCTAATTGAGCTTCATATCGTTTGTTTTGAAGAATATTCGCGAACCACACATTGAGTGATACGATCTTTAATTGATCAGGAAAAGACTTCATCTCTTTCATCATCTTGGGGTAATGGGACATATTAAATCGAGTCCATTCACGAGATTCCACATCAAAAAAGAATCTTCTATTGAAGTGAGCTGAGTGTTCATCTTCGTTTTGTTGCATTCTCAAAGCTTGTTGATAGCGCTCCTCAAACCCAACAATGTGCTGCGCGGATGGTTTTTTTAATTTTGTCATGGCGGAAGAGAGCTCTTGATCCGAAGGAGCTAACCTGGATGAACTTGGTTGAACAGGTACAATGCTTGACGAGGAAGGCGGTGGAGGTGGTTGCATGATTGGTGTTGTTATGAGGATCGAGTTGTTGTTTTGTTTTTTAATATTTAACAAAGGTTTGACAGCGCACGGGAAGAAGTTTAATCTCTGTTCACGCAACATGAACATGGAACACCAGCAAAAAATTTTCGAAACACGGAGGTTGATTTTTATTGCTCCCGTCTTTTGAATCGGGAGTCAAACCGTATTGTTATTATTTCAAATTTATTCAACTACAAGGATATTCTGAGTGGTGATAGTACTGTCCGAGTATAATATATTCACCAAACTTTGCATTAATTTTGGCAATGGAGTTATTTGTTTCGGAGAGTGATTTGTTGCTGGTGCTGAACGCATCAAAGTGTGAGGACGAAGACAATCTTAAACAAGCATGTGATCTCTACATTGCCTTTGCTTCTAAATTTATGAACCTGAGAAATCAAGGTAGGTTAGTCTCATATCCGAATCATCAAAATCCGTTAATGATGAAAAATTAAATTCTGAAATTATTCTATGAATGAATTTAAACAACAACATCACCATATTCATCACCGTATGAATAGTTCAAAATAATTCATCTCTCAACGCTCAACATCAAAAGGACATTCATTTTCAAATTACCCAACTCTTAACTTTTGCCATCAACAAGGCTGAACATTTGGAAAAACGATTGAAATCAAACGTGAACTCTAATTCCAACAACAATTCTCTCTCTAAACCAATTGCTCTTCATTATTTGTTTTACTTGTGCGATAAAATTGCAGAAGTTGGTGCTCAGCAAGGAAAAACTGAAGACGCTACAAAATATTACACGTTAGCTGCTGAATATGGATTGGAATTGATCAGGAATTGTAAGTGACATATTTATTAGGTCGGAATTTATTGATGACTATTTAATTATTTCCATCAAACAATTATTATTCATCAACATGATCAGACAAAATTCCATTCCAGTCAGAAGTCAAAACAGCTCTCTCAAAAGCAGAATCACTGAAGAAAAACAACAATTCGGAATTAATCACTTCTCCAAAACGAAATAATTCTTCCGATATTTTCAACCAAGCCAAACCAACTTGCCACCTTTCCGTTTTGACTGCACAAACATTTTCTTCAAGCACCATACCTTCCGTTCCTAACAATTCCTCGTCAACGTCTCCATCTCCTAGAATTATACTCAACAACAGTTGCACTTCTACCATCTCTAATTATTCATCACTTTCTGTAAATTCCACCAGTACCACCACTATTTTAGAACGTGCCATAGTAAGCACAACAGTCAATGGATCAACACCAAAACCAACACCTTTAAAACCTCTCACTGATGAAGAAATTGAAGTTCTTAAATACACCAGTGTCATGGCATCTGGATTACTTTTATATCCTTGGAATGATGAGTTGGATTTGAATGAAAATTTCAATCTGCCCCTTCCCTTTGTAGATACTCAACTTAATTTTCATGACGATTCCAACAAACATGTTTTACCTCTTTCCAAAGAACAAAGAAGCAAATTATATGGTTGGCTGAGGCCTCATGAAATTCTTGCCTTACGATCTTCTAAAAATTCTCCTCAATTAATTTACAAGGATGAAGTGAACGAAGATAATATTGTACAGTCTCATGTGGTCACTGATTGTTCCTTTGTTGCAAGTCTATGTGTGGCAGCTCTTTATGAAAGAAAGTATAATAAGAAATTAATTACGAACAGTATCTTTCCACAAAATCCAAAAACAAACAAACCGTATTACAATCCTTCTGGAAAGTATTCCATCAAAATATTTTTGAATGGAGTCGCACGAAAAGTGATTATTGATGATCGATTGCCAGTAGATTCTCATGGAAATTTATTGTGCTCTCTTTCATTAAATCCTGAAGAGTTTTGGGTGAGCCTGATGGAAAAGGCGTACATGAAAGTGAATGGTGGTTATCAATTTCCAGGATCCAATTCAGGAATTGATCTCTATGCATTGACTGGATGGATACCTGAAGAGGTTAAAATTTCTAGAGGTCAATGTACAAGTCCAACAAGTTTTACCTTCCAGGTTAATGGAAATGCTACAAACCATCCAAACAACAATTCTACTAATATGAACAATTTTGATAAGGATTTATTGTGGAGAAGGATGTATGACGGTTTTCAACTTGGAAAATGTCTAATTACCATCTCTACTGGCCATCTTGAAAAACAAACAGAGGAACAGCTTGGTCTTTACGCCAATCATGCCTATGCTGTTCTTGATGTGAGAGAGGTAAAAGTAACAAATTCTTCCAATAATGGTACAAGCCCAACATTTAACATGTCTCAAAATGTATTTAATGGCATGTCTCCTACCACTCCAAGCAGTGGAGGTGTCAAGAAACTGATCAAAGTGAAGAATCCTTGGACTCGTAAACGATGGAAGGGTCCTTATTCACCCAATGATTTTGCATCTTGGACAACACAACTCAAAAAGGAGCTTGATTATGATAATACCATAGCTGGTCAACATGATAATGGAGTGTTTTGGATGAATTATGAAAGTTTATTGAAGTATTTTCAAACTTTACACTTTTCATGGAGTCCAGATTTATTTCCTTATACAGAAATTCGTCACAGTTGTTGGGATCATCGAGTGGGTCCAATCAGTCTTGATGGAACAGATCATCATACCATGAACGGCAACCCTCAATTTCGACTTAAACTCCAAGGGAAGGGAAGCGTTTGGATCATGTTAACAAAACACTTTACATCACTGGATGAACGTGATCGAGATTATCTAACTTTTCATGTTCATCGCGGAAGCAGTGCATCAGGAGAAACTGTATATAAGCAAGGAATTGACAGAGTTTTCTATAATGAAAATACGCTCATTCACAAAGGACGATATAGTAACGATCCTCATTACAGAATTTGCTTGAACTCTGAAGATGCTGTGAAAAAGGTCACAAACGACAAGAAGAAAAGACCATCATCGAGTCTATCAAATTCTGAAACTCTCAACAAGGATCAAGATGCTATTTTCAGAATTGTTTTGTCACAACATGAGAAAATTCAAACCATCAGATATTCCCTTTTCTGTTATTCCACAGTTCCATGTACATTAGAACCCATCCCTAGTACTTATCGATACTTCAAGGCGTACAGAGATCAATGGACACCCACAACATGTGGAGGAAGTTGCAATCAAATTTCTACTTATCGCCTCAATCCTCAGTATGTTGTTTCTGCGCCTTCTTCGTCATCCCTCAGCGTTTCTCCAACTTCGCGAACAAGCCCAGTGAACGTCACAGGAGCTGATAAGACCAATCTCAGATTCAGTTGCTCGACAGCTCATCCTTTAGATATCAATATTATGGTATTCTCGAATCAAGGACAACCAATACTCTTACCTGCAAAAGAGATTATGGTTGCCAGTAGCGGTAATTACCGAAGGTGTTTTGCAATGTGCAAAATAAGTAGTCAAGAATTGACACACATACAAAAGACAGATGCTTTATTTCCTCTCACTGTAGTGTTGTCCAACTTTTCAGGGTCCTTGGGCGATTTTGAATTTAGAGCAGAATCCACAAATCTTCCGCTAGAAGTTAGAAAAGTTGTGTAAAGAGCAATAAATAATTTTTTTGAGTGATTATTAAGGAAAAAATCTCTGTCATCGAGTTACATTATTGAGCAGTTTTGTAATATGCCTTGTCTTTGCTGAACTTGGTCATCTTGGTTAGGAAGCTGTGGTGGGTTATTACGAGCGGGAGGGGGTTGCGCAAGGGGAGGCGGCTGAACAACCATTGGACGTTGTACAGGAGGCTCCTGTCTCTGTGGAGGTTGTGGCTGTTGTGGCTGTTGTGGCTGTTGTGGCTGTTGTGGTATTGGAATTTGAGGTTGTGGTTGTTGTGGCTGAGGCTGGTTGTCGTAACCTCCATGAACTGCTCTAAGGTGTCTGTAGGTGAGATCATCGTTTTCAAAGCATGCACAACATAGCCAACAAAAGTGAGCACCACACAAACAAGTCATGTGATTGCAACCAGCTGATTTCTCTACGGGTTTTGAGCACTTTGGGCATTTCTTTGTATGTGCTTCAATCCACTTTTTGTTTACATCTGATTCTGAGCACGATTCACCTGGGTGTGATTCTCTGTCGCATTTCGGGCAATACTCCAAGTTACATGAATAACAAAATGCCTTATCCTTCGCTATTTTCAGTACATCGCTGCAACTAGGTTTGGGACAATGTCTGTACAATGTCGAGTGATTTTGTAAATGCTTTTCCACTGCTCGTCCACACATCGAATCAAATTGTGAGTGATCTGAAATTTTTAACTGAATTTCTGGCACTGTCAATAGCTCGCTACACACGGGACACTCAAAACTTTGATTTTGTATTTGGAACGATAGGCATGGGTTGCACACTTTATGCCCACAACTAATCATCACATATGGAGAGGTGATATTTTCCATGCAAATGGAGCATTCTTCTGTGTGAGAGAAATTGCTACCTAATACTCTTAGCTCATACTCTTCTGTTAATTCTCGAATTTCAATTTTGAATTTTTCAATTTCAAAAGCGGTAGAATTAATTGTAATAGATCTTGTTCGAAAGTCAAATGTTATATCTCCCTTATATCTCTGTTGCAATTCTTTAAATGTTTCTCCTACAATAGCTTTCACATATTTCAGAGGAATAGTGTGTCGTTGTGATCTATCTCCAATTACTATCATCATTTTCTGTCTAGCTCTTTCAGTATGGGATTTTTTGCCATATATAGATACTGTTTTTTCTCTGCTGTCCAATGAAAACTTCACACGTTCTTCACGCTCGATGAATTCAAACTTGATCCGATGATTTTGAGCAAAACTAAATGTTTTAAAGTCAAGCTTCATCTGTTGTGGTAGCAATAGTTTTTCTGCCATAATTTTTGCTTTCTTTAACGAGGTATGATTTGTTGCTCTGATTTTGAAGATCTTCTTATTATTTCCTGTATTGTGTTTTCTTGTAAGGTCCTTTATCTGAACGTGACAGCCGGTATTGTCGTTGATCTTCTCGATTAAGAGATCAATTTCATTTTTCAGATAATCAACAGTGTAAATACTAGCGGGAAATTGAATACTTTCACTGAGTTGATGTTTCATCCAAAGATAGCCGCTTAAGAATGGAATACCGTCAAGTTCTTCAACCACCTGTGAAGCAATATGATACTCCTTAAATTTAACAAACCCACAGAGCTGATATGCCGTTTCATTTGGAAAACATTCAGTCAGTTCAATGTCTCCATAGCTTTGCATTGTGGAAATAATTGATGCTAAAGCCGTTTCAACGGTGTCCTCTTCCACGTGTCTTTCAATTTCAACAGAAATAAAGTGGACTCTATCCTTCTTGAGTGCTTGTTTGACAGCCATATCATCCAATGTGGTGTCGACAATCTTCATTATTAACGTGGTTCCAGCATTGGCATTCAAATACGACATTGAAGTTACACGTACGCCCAATCTTCTATTTAAGCTGTTGGAAATAAGTGTTGCATTTCTTCGTATGTCGTTTTTTCGGTCAATCGTAATTTTACATATTCCAGATCCAGTTCCAACAGAGCACTTAAAACGAATCAAGCTATTGGAAGCGAATCCCTGACGTTCGTTGGAAATTGCTGGAACCATGTTCATATCTACATGCTGTAGTTCGTTATAGGCTCTGTTTGCTTGGTTGTATGTTTCAAAAATTACAAATCCATTGTTACCATTCGAAGAATGGTTGTTTCTAAATGTTGCAAAGAGTTGGCATTCTAATATTTTTCCATAAGGAGAGAAAATATTCCTCAATTCAGCATCTGTCTTGCATTTTGTAGAGTAAATATTGATCCTATTATATTGAGAAGGGAATATAATGTCGCCCATCACTTTCATACCTTTGCCAATCATACCTATTGCGCCTCTCTGACAAATAGTGTATTCATAGAGTGCATTTACAGCTCTCTTCTTGGCAATTTCAACATGTTGATGAATTTTCTGACTCACAGAATTACGATCCTCATCAGTAACATGAACAACAATGGAAGGTGTTTGAGATTGATCTATCTGAATAACATAACCAATTTGAGATTCCAAATCTGATATAACATCAGCATGATATTCCAAATATTCAGTGATGAGAGTTGGCACCTCAACCACCAATGGTTTTTTAACTCTCTTGCTGGCCAACGCTAACTCGTTCATCATTTGATGATGAGTTGATTTCATTCTGCAATTTTCAAAGCCTTCCGATCGATGTGATTCTCCTCACACCACTCATCCTTCTCTTCATGATTTTTTTTAGAACGAAACTCTGAAAATACATGAAACAAGGTCAATAAATCTCCATGCTCATTCCAATACTTGAGTTTGGAAAACGTTGTGTGTGGTTGTGTCTCGATAGAATTTGTAAGATGGACATTCCCCAATGAGATCGTGCCATTTCTGGTTCTGTGAACAGTTTCATTTGATAAAATTCACTTTTAGAGTATAAACGATAGCACACTCCAGAGTCACATCGACCTGCACGACCTTTTCTTTGAGTTGCACTACTTTGACTAATTGGAGAGATTTTAAGAATACTCATATTCTTTTCATGATCATAAATTCTTTCCTTTACAACTCCAGAATCAATCACAATTCTCACACCATGTATAGTAACAGCTGTTTCTGCAATATTGGTGGAATAAATTATTTTTCTTTTTTCATTGTGTTCAAAAACAGCATGAATATCTTTTTCATTCATCTTTCCATACAGTGGAAACACAGCACAAGAATTCAATACTTGTCTTGTTTTTCTGCAACACTTGTCAATTTCTTCTGGACTAGCCAAAAATACCAATATATCTCCTTCATGTCGATTGGTGAGAACAATATCTAACACAATTTCGAGTATTGCTTGTTCATAATTTTTTGGTCTTTGAGGTTGATAGAATTCAAGGACAGGATACATTTCGTACGACAAGTGCACCACAGGACAATTAAAAAAATTAGAAAAGAGTTCTGTTTGTAATGTGGCTGAACTTAAAATAATTTTCAAAGGATGTTGAGGTGTGAATTGTCTTCTCTTGTGGACACAAATTTTCAATAAGGATATTAAAATATCAGTGTAGGAAGATCGTTCATGAACTTCATCCACCAAGATGGCTTGATATAAGAGGAGTAGAGGATCTTTCTGATACTCATTGAGTAAAATTCGATCTGTTACATAAACAATGCTGCTGATGCTACTACTATTACTCGAAGGATGAGATCTTTTAAATTTGAAAGCAGTGCTGGTTCGATAACCGACATACAGGTCCTGTCGATCATTCTTGGTCTCTTCTAATACTCGTTGAGCCAAACTGAATGTACTCACCTTTCTTGGTTGAGTACAAACAATTTTGGAGTATCCTGCTTCATAGAGATATTGAGGAATTTGAGTGGACTTTCCAGTGGCTGTTGAACAACTACAAATAATGACATCATGTTGTTCGAGTTGTTTCAAAATTTCATGTCTTTTAGAATATATGGGAAGAAGACTATTGAGAGCTCGATGTTCCTCTTTGACGAGTTTTTGTTTCAATTTTTGAAGGCTTGTCTGTGAGAGATCTCTCAACGCACACTTTTCCATTTCTAATTCAAAGCTTTTTCGAAATCCATCAAGTAATTCGATTTCAGAATTCACTTTTGGTAAGTGATCATAGGCTTCTTCACAGAGAATTTGATATTTTTCTTCCCGTTTTTCAATTCCTCTCTCTTTTAAGAGGGAAAGGACACGACGTGTAGTTTCATTCAGTAACTGCTTTTTCATTTCAAAGTGTGAATCTCCGTTGAAGGATCCACAATGCGAATTCGACATGCTTGAAATCTGTTGTGTACAGATTTCATGTACAGATGATTTTTTTGTGTAGGACTTGTCCATGCAGATTGTAGCCTCTCCATTCACCTTATTGTGAGACACTTGTGGTGGAATGGAAGAAACCAATCCTGGATGAGGACTTTGGTTACGGGTCGAGCTATTACCAGCACCAGCACGTTTCTTTTTGGATCGGTCATGTGGTGATGCGTTCACATTTTTAGAATTGGAATTATGCAACGAATTCTTGTTGGTTTGATCATCGTTTGTACCGTAGCTTATTGAACCTGGTACTTGTTCACCACTTTGAATAGAAGAAACTTTGTTCTTGCGTTGCCGTCTCTTTTTCTTGACATGTTGTATTCAAAACTAAGGCGCGTTGTTTGTAAATATTTTTTAAGATGCGAATCTGCGTCTGTGTCTATCGAAAAAGGGTCTGGCACAAGTGCCAGGTTAACCTCCCCACGTGGGGAGCCCTGACTCCCATGTCAAATCCATAATAACATGACAGTTTTGAAATGAGTTCTTGTTTACTATGGTATGGATTTAAAACATCGGAAAAGTGTAATTACTTGTCTCTTTCCTCTAAATTAATGTTTGAACCAAACTTTGCATAAAGATTAGCTTTCAATTCCTTCATCTTGGTTTCAATTTCTTTAAATTCTCGTTGTTTCTCCTTCAATTCTCTTTTTACTTGTTCTTTCCGAGCCTCCAACAGTTTTTCAGCCTGATCACTATTCACTTCTACAAACAATTCTCCAACTACATAACTAATATTATCAGAAATAAAAATTTCATCAGAGGCATCATTCAATTTGGCTGTTTCTTCTTTTAAATCGGAAATCTCCTTTTCCAATTCATTGAATCGTAGGATGATTCTACTGAATGTATTAATTTTCTTTTGATCCTCCCATGTGACTTGATAGGTGTTGTCTTCTTGCGTTGATGATGATGAGGCTTGTTTTTTCATTTTTTGTGGTTGTATGTGTTTTGGTTTGGTTTTCCATACACCTTTAATGACTGCGAAAAGTGTTTCCATACAACTTTAATGAATTCTTGTTTATTGTTGTTTCAATGGTGATGAACAAGCTCTTCAAAGATGACATTGTCAATATCAGAACACGATCAAATCATTCAAAGGATCATCAGAGTCTTTTTGCCTCACATCCCCTTCTAGGTGTAATGTTATTTGTGTTGCGGTCTGCCAGAATTCTTCCACGAAATGACATTTTTCAATAATGACGATCGAATATCATTGAATTTGGACGCATTCAATTTTCTTCATTTCTATGATCTTCATTGATATACTTCTCGATGAGTTTCAACAAATCTCGAGAGTCTAATTTTCCCAATTCCGAAATATTCATATTTTTAGTAATTAAATTTAAAATATTAAATAAATTATTTTCGACGTGATTATAAAACTCTTGTTCTGCATGTTCTCTCTCCTTCTTGGAATAAATTTCTTTTTGTATCATTTTCAAAAGAAATTCTTCATCTCCTTCAAATTTATAAAAATCAATTGGAGTTGACATTTTCGGTAGATTTACGAATTTGGAGGAGTTTCACAACAATTCCAAATCAATCAAGTAATTGTAGTAGTATTACCGTCGGATTTGTGTAATTGAAAAAGATGACAATGTCCGAGAAGGTAATATTCAATTTTTTAATTTAAAAAATTTAAGTCATCATCGAATTGCAAGGTTCCGAACGTCTCGGATTCAATTCAAAAACACAATTTTTGTGCTGCTGTGCACATCTTTCACATTATTAAACATTGTGGATCTATTTAAATTCAATCAATACACACACATTACCGTGAAAAATGTTTGCTCGATTCTCCCGATGGTATCTAAACATGTTAGAGACGAGACCCATTCTCACCAAATCCGTCTCATCGTCCATTCTGGTCGGATTGGGAGATGTTCTCACTCAAACTCTTGAACATGATCATCATAAACATCCTTCATCATCATCCAATACAACCACATCAACAACCTCTTTCACTTTGGATTATGTGAGAACTTTGAAAATGGCAAGCTTTGGTATCGTTTTAATTGGTCCAACACTTCACTTGTGGTACAAATTCTTGGATCGTTTTGTTGCTAAAAAGTATCCTGTCGGGTATATTCTTTCAAAAACAGAAAGAACTCTCAATGCTGCAAGACAAATGTTCGTCGATCAAACCATATTTGCTCCTTTTGCCTTATTTCAATTTTTAGCATATATGGGTACTATTGAAGGTAAAAGCTTTGATTCCATTCTTGAAAAGATGAAACAAGACATGTGGCCAACATTGATTGTCAATTGGTATATTTGGCCAGCGGTTCAAATGTTAAATTTCACTCTAGTACCATTACAATATCGAGTATTGTTTGTGAATAGTGTTTCAATATTATGGAATGCTTATTTGAGTCATGTACAGCATAAAGCATGATGTGGAGCAATGGCAACATTTCAAATTTGAAAACGTACAATGGTTATGGAAAATCTTCTCCATGCTTTTGAAAGGTGTTATTTATTAATATTCAAAAAGAGAATTCCAAAAAAATCGCAAATACCACATATTTTGTAAAGATACCTTAAAGATTTCTCAAAGTTCTTGGTTTCTTTCCTTTTGGTAAATGAATGACAATTTCAATGTTACCCGATTGGGTGGTTCTTGTATGAACACCACCCATCCTAACTCTTGAATCGAGTTTCTTTCTCGATTGTTGCTTCTTTCTTCTTGCACGCTTTGCAACTCTTTCCAACTCTTCATCACTCACTGGCTCAACACCAACTCTCAAACCTCTCTCCTCTTCACGTGCGATACGTTTCTTCTCTCTTGCGAGACGAATCTTTTCTCTTCTTAATTGTTTGGGAGAGGGTGATTGGACGCCTTGGAAAGGATTCTCTTGCGCTTGTTTCATTCTTCGATTCTCTCTTTCCAATCTTCGTTTCGCTCTCAATTTTCTTCTCTTTTCTCGTAACAAGCTCATGTCATTGTAGGTGAGAGTGTTGCTAAGGGTGTTGTTCTTTTTAGAGGGTCTTCTTGGAGCGATGGCTGAGGGTGAGGCTGGTGCTGTTGGTGCTGATTCCTGCAATTGTTGTTGGACCACCTTTTGAATAAAAGAATCTCTTAATGATTGGTTGATAGAAGAAGAAGAAGCCTTGTTGTTGTTGCTAGTAGTACCAGTAGGTTTTACACCTTTTTTTGTCTCTTCAATTCTTCGTTCCACCCTCTTTGCAATCATGACATCTCGAATACCTCTTCTGATTTCTCTCTCACCAGACACCTGATTGAAAATTCTTGGTCTGTCATTGGCATACACTACTGACACGATGAGAAATACAAGAAGGAGTGCAACTGTTACCAATGATTGCTTCATTTGTTTTTAAGCGTTGTATAAAATATCGTAATTTACTAATGTATTATAATACCATAGTACTACATGCATGGCGCAAACATGTGATTGATGATTCATGATTTCATTTTACAATCAATTGATCCAAATGTGGTTGAACCTCACTCGAGTCCCAAGTCTGTCAGAAGCAACAAGAACAAAATACAATATGGAACACCATTCTCATGAATCCTATTCCTTTTTAATTCACAACATTAATTCACAACAACATCAACAACAATTCGAAAACATCTCTCTAGTTAATCTTAATCAACATGTCAATAATCTTGGTTAGAGTTCTCATCGCCGTTTGAGAAAGAGTAGGACTTAGATAGGAATGCAACACTCGTGGTGGTTCCTTCTCAGCAATAACAAATAATCTCTCTAATAACAATTGTTTCGATTCATTCGTATTGCAAAATGGGAATAAATCATAGGCATATTTGATTGCCATTTCTCTTACATTGGAATGATCATGCAAAAGTGTATCCAAATAGAATGGAATGATTTTAGAAAATTGTTTAGAATCGTGTTGCAATACTCGAACAAGTAATTGATAGGCAATTTCCATCACTTGTCGATTGTTCTTTGCTTGAATAGAAAGATCTAATAATTGTGGAACAAAATGAATGATAACACCTGGTTCATATTGAGAAATGGTATCAATTTCTGTCAAGGTATCCATCAGTGTTCGATTTCTAGTTTTCAATTGATAGGCATTGTAGTGAGCATTTGATGAATATTCTGCAAAGAATATTGGTGAAATAGTCGATGAAAAAGATGAATCAGTATTTGTAGTTGTCGTTGTCGTTGCAGTGTGTTGTTGATGACGAGGAGGAGAAGAGGTTAGCAAGTGTTGTTGTTGTTGTTGATGTTGTGAATGACCACCATTCATAAAGGTTAAATGAGAAGCAAATATACTGCTACCACCACTACTACCACCAGCACTACTACCACCATAATGAAGTGATGCAGATGAATCATAACCACCATGACCACCACTACTTGTTAAGAATTGTGTATAATGTAATCTCAATCTCATTTCAAATATTTCTTCATCACTCAAAGGTAACATGGTGAAATGTTTCTTATTCACAAGAAGGAGTGCGTGATCATCTCCATTGTGAGACTTGATGGCACTCGTTGTTGAATCATGATGATCACTGGATACAACCACTACATCTCGTAAAGCACTCAATTGTTGAATAATAGAGAGCAACAATTTGATTTTGGAAATTTCTGGAAATATTTCTTGAACCTTGCTTAATAAATCTTTTTGAAAAAGTAAAAAGTTCAATTGCTCCACCACGGGTTGCATTTGATTCTTCTTGGAGGTTTCTTCCATTAAATATAAAATATAATTACAAATAAAATCAATAAATTTTGAAACAAATTCAACATAGGCATGTTGATCATTACGAGCAACAAGAAGAGATTGATTCAAAATCACAAAATAAACATCCAACACCTCATCTAACAGAATTTCTCTAAAATTGAAAATGTGAGGTCTCAATGCATCTAATATGGCAAGAATTTGAGTACTAATTCGAAGTACTGGTTTCATTTCTTCTTGGCTTGATGTTTTGTTTGATGTGAAATTCGTTTCAATTAACGAGAGAATGTTGTCTAAATATCGAATCACTAGATATGGATATAGAAATGCAATTTGTCTGAAAATTGAAAATGCAAAGTTAGAAATTTCCATGTTACTTTCAGAATATGAATAAAAGGATAATAAATGTCCTAATCTGTGAAGCATGGCATCCAAACTTGTCGTCATATTCTTTCTCAATACTTTGTTTGAAACCAAACGAGAAAGAATTCCATTCCTATCACTTTCAGAAAGGCCTCTTCTCTGTAATTCATTTGAAATTTGTGTTGGGAAACAACAGTACATCCATCTCAAGAGACTTTTTGTTTTTGGTTGCAATCCATACTTGTCTAAAATGAATTTCACAAATAAATCTCCGACACGATCACTTTGACTAGACATGATATCAAGGAATAAACTTAAATAATCTGAATATGGATTTTGACTGAGCATGGTTAATAGGACTATATCAAAGGCATTTTCAGTATTTCTTAATGGATGATGATGCACATCTTGTCGAATGAGAGTAAAAGATGATGACTCGTGTAGTGATGATGATAGTAATGATGATGATGGTAATGATGATGGTAATGATGATAGTAATGATGATAATGATGATGGTTGTTGTAAAAGTAAATTTTCATGAATTTGTTCCATTAAATCTAACACACAAGAAATTACAAGTGGATAAATTTCAGAATTCAAAACAATGGGTAATTTGAGTCGACTATTCGTGTAAATATCATCACTGGCTTGAACTGTAGATCGATAGGCTTGTATGAAACTCAACAATGATTGAGAAAAGAGAGGACTATAGCGTGTTTCACTCAATCTTGTTGAATTCTCTTTGGATGAGAATAAATGATATACCTTTTCCAAGATGGTGGTTAATTCTCTTCTCGAACTATAATGGATCATTGAACTCATCAAACATGTGGATAAATAATTTCTAGTATTGAAATATTCACCTCTCACAAATATCAATGAACTAGTAACACTATCAAATATGGATGGATCTTTTTGAGAAATGCAATCCAATACAAGTCCACTCAATAAATTGAGTTGTAATTCTTGGGAGTGAAAAGATATACTACCACCATTCCTGTTATTCGTTAACTTGTCATGAATAATGTTTGAAAATATTTTCAACAATCGTTTCATTCCAAATTCGACATCTCTCGTATGGATGGAATGATCTACAATATATTGAATCACAAATTCAGTGACTGCAGATCCCAAATCCAACAATCGACACAAGAACCATGTCATTTCAGTGTGTTCATCATCCTTCTGATTCCAACCCTCTTCAAATGCTTTGAAATTCTTATTCATTTCTTGACTGTACTGATAGAGAGAAATATCATCCATGTTCTTTACAAATTGTGCTAATAATTGATTGTTAATCTGAATGGATGAAAATGACAAGATATGGTGAGTATATGAATAAATAATAGAATGTAGAATGGTCGAAAGATTCTTTTCAGATCGTTCTAGACACCATTTCATGAGTTTCAAATAATTCTCTTTTCCAGTCTTGTTGAGAAGTGAATAATGCAATGAGAGAGTTAATAAAGCAAACAATACAAATCCATAAGGTTCATGCTGCGTTTCATCATCTTGTAAAAATAATAAAATTTCTTCAGATAATGAAGATAACAAGTGAATGTGATCATTTCGAGATGCATCATCAATATTCTCAACGCAATTTACAAAGTTCAAAATCGAGGTAATCATTTCTTCTCGTTGATTAGGATGAATGATATCGCATAGATTATTCGAGTAGAGGAATGATTTGGTAGATTCATCAGAATATCCTCTTATTTGTTCAATGCTGATATCATCTTCTTGAGTGAGCATTGAATTTTGTGCAATTTCAACTTGTTCCATATTGGCATAGGCATCAAATGATAAATCTTGAGAAAGTGTAAAGTCATCATTATAATTCGTCATGGATGCATCATTTCCAATTTGGCTATAGAAGGATCTGATACAGTTAACGAGTTTCTGTTGTACATGAATGTATTCTCTATTTCTGTTGGCATGAATGGACATCATCAAGAAATTCTGAATATTCATCAAGAACTCACAGTTAGCAGCAAATAGATGATGAGTAGAGTCTCCATCCATGGTTGTTGTTGTAGTAGTCGAAGTCGCAGTCGTCATCGTCGTAGTCGTCATCTCCATCATTCTGGATTGAATAATATTATTGAGTACATGTAAAATATTCTCTTCAGAGCAATGCAAAAATTGTGCATAAATACGTCCCGCTGCATATTCTCGGACAATGTATTCAGACTCGAGTAATTGCAATAATTCTTCATAGGGTAATACTTGCGCAGCATCATCTATGAGTGAAACTAAATCGGATTGCATCCAGCTCAAAGCAATTTCTCTAGAAATGAGAGGATATTTGTTTTCAGGTTCTAAGGTTGAAACATAGAATGCACTTTTGGAGAATAAAGTCATCATATAACCCAAGAATTCTGGAACCTCTTCTAGTAAATGTTGGTTGTTTCTCGAGTAAATGATCGACATGAATGAAGTAACTCCTTCAAGAAATAACGGCTTCATTCGTAATGGTGGTGTTGAGTCAGTGTCTACTTGATCACTTGCTTCAAAGCCCCTGCCATTCCTATAAATGATAATATGAGGCTCTTGGTCATTCGATTGGAAATATTCTTGATGCTCTTCAATCCATCGCAATCCATAATAAAAAATTTGTTGTGCTTTTTCGCTAATCTTTCTATAATTGGTTGAGAAGAGTTTTTCGCTCAAGTATTTGCGTTGAGTTAAGAGTGTAGAGAGAACATATGCAATGTCAAGGCTAGGTGCAATGTTGTTACTATAAATAAAATCTGTAAAAGTGCTCACAAATTTGATATCTGCTTCAAAGAGAATTAATTTGCTAAAAGTTTCCCAAAGTATGTTGTAGCATTTTGAAAAGTAAGTCAATGAACGAATTTCATCAATCCAATCAAATCCATCAGCATTCCATTGAGTGGTTGAATCCATAAATAATTTCTTGAGAGAGAATTGAGCTAATTTTCTTTCAGTAACATCCTCGTGAGCCAATTTTCTCAAAAAGAAATAGAAGACGTCTAAACTGTCATTCTCAGAGGAGCCTTTCAAATAATATCTTAATCGATCAATGATTTGATTGATCAGTACTTGTTGTGAAAAGTTGGTTTGATTGGTTTGATTGGTAGCAGCAACTGCACTCGTGAAACCATCACTACTACTACTAGCCATACTACTAGCCATACTACTAGCCATACCACTTTGAATATTATTACCACTCTTAAAGATGGAAATTAAATATTCACACAACACAGGTGGTGGAAGTACATGAATGGTACAAATTGCTTCTTCTTGACTGGTTTGAATAATTCCATCAATCCAAGACAATGCATGACTTGGTGAAGGTTCTCTTTGGATCATTTGCATGAAGAAATCAGGTTGTCTACATGCTCTCAATGATCGACCCAATTGATATTCAGATTCGTATCTTCTTAACTCTCTTTGAAGTGAAATGGGCATGACTCTTCGTTCTCTTGAACCAAGTTGAGCCTTCTCATGAATCATAAATGTGTCCATCCATGTTTGTACGGAATCGTTTTCGAATCTTTTTGGTTCAATGGAACGTTCATTTTGAATTTGAATAATCTTTCGAATATGTCGTTCAATACAATCTCTTTCTTCTCTCTGTAATTGTTCGCTTTCGGTTTCATATTCCATTAATGGTAATTGATTCTTCAACATGCGTTCCAGAATGGTTCGAAATGTCGGATATGGAGTGTTCGTATTCAATGCAAATTCAGCCAATGTGTTTGGATTCAGTGCAATGATAATAACACCAATTAGAACTGCATTCCAGTACCACATTCTCAATACAATTTCATCTCGAAAAGGTATCTTTTCATCCATCACTTGTGGCAGTGCATTAAATTTGCATAAATCTAATAAATTTTGAATGACTTCAAAGGTAGAGACTGGAAAGCAATGTTTTAGGAGAACGGGTGATGTTGTTACGACCAAGGATGGTTTGTTGCCCATGGTTGCTGCTTGAGATAATTGTTGTTGCTTGAGAGAAATTAATCGATTTCTCAATTTGGCGCCTCGAAACACGCAACTCTGTACGACAAAAATAGCATCTGCATATTTCAGTAAATTATCATAGAGAGCCATTTGTTGAACATGAATGGTGGTCATTTCTTCACATGGTAATTCATCGAACCAATATCGTACTTGTTCAAATGCAGCTGTTGGATTGGGTGGAACTTCTCCCAATACTGTTTGCAATACATTCACATCATTAAACGATTGATAGTCAAAGAATAGAAAACCTCTCACATAATTAAAATATTCTTCTTGGCGATTGGGAAGTTCTGGTAAGTATTGAGGTAATACATTTTTGCACCATTCGATGGCATCTTTTTGAATGGTTGCAATTTTGAATCTTAACTCTTGATCTTCAATTTCTTTAGAGGTATGTAAAATGACAATGGTAATAATAATGGTTCGGACCAATTCAAATAAGTTATGAATCCATCGTTTACGTGTGGTAAAGGGTTGTTGTTTCATTTGTTCACGTGGAGAGAATAAACTCGAGCATAAATCGACAAAATCAAAGAGAGAGGAGGTCATGGATGAACTTGTTGTTGTTGCCTGCTGTGTAGAAGTGATGGAGGAGGTGTTGTTGATATTGATGGTGTTAGTAGTGTTAGTGGAACCAATCGTCGCATGAGACAAGGGCGGTGGATGAGAGAGTGCCATGGATGCCACATTCTGTACATTGTAACAATGTTTGATAATCTTTCGAGTCAATAATTTAAAATTCTTAAAATATTCAGCATCTCCTGTAGCAACCATTTCTTGCAAAGTGTATCCTAATTGTCGTTCTCGATACGAAGGAATAGCTTTGAATACACTTAGTAAATTTTTGAATGTGTTGCTGCCCTTATGATGAGGTTGAGCTTCAATATTCAAAAATTTTCTTAGAGCCAATACTGGATATCCAATATTGTTTTTCACAATTCCACAGACAGCATCTACTTGAGTAGAAATATTTGCTGGTTTCAATTTCATATTTACAATACTCTCAAATGCAAACTTATCTCCTTCATTAAACAAATCAGGAACATCTTCTCGAATGTAAAGAGTCATTCTTTGAAGTAATTCTTTTGCATACTTGACAACTATAACATTGGAGCTACCAAGCCATGATTCCATAGATCTTGCTGCATAACTTCTCACTTCTCTCACTTTCAAACAGTAAATGCAAAATCTAATGATATTTTCAATTCTCTTTTTTGAAGTATTATTTCGGAATTGATCCACAAATGAAACAATAATTTCCTTCACTCTTGCAAGTGTATATGGATCATTGTATCGGCATGGTACCGATTGAGATTCAACGTCATTGAGAACTGGAGTAGAATCTAAATCTCGAACACCAGTTAATATGGAATCCACAAAATCTTTTGCATATTCATGTTCACACCAGATTCGATCTTCTAAACTATCATTAAGCAGAGCACAAATAAGATCTAAACTCCATTCACTCACACCCAACACGGAATTCTGAGATTTTTGAATGTTGAATTTTGGAGAAACATCTGTCGACTGATGAGCCATTTGTGTTGTTGTACTACTTGCATTGAATTCTCCAAGAGTTGAATCCGATGGTTCCACTCCATGATAAAGTTTGTACAAAATATCACAGCACAACAAACATAGATAGGTTCCCTTTTTCATCACTGCAGTATTCACAGAGGTTGTACTTTGAGTGCCAGAAGTAGTACTACTTTGAGAACTAGTTACCAAACCTCCTCCAGCAGCTGCTCCAATACCACTCGTTGTGCCACTGGTTGTAGTAGATGATGGATTGGTTCCCGAAGGAGCATTAGAATGTGTTCCAAAATGTTTGTTTGTCAGGAATAAATAACCTAAAAGTCTTTGTTTGATTTCCTCAGTGTTGAATACTTCAACATGTTTCTTAGCTAGATACGAAATGCTAACATAGATATATCTCAAATCATTTTGTTGCTGCTGAGAAGATTGGAAAAGTAAATACATTTGATCCAAACACGCTGTTAACAACATTTCCTTATTTTTGTGATTATTCAAATTGTGATATTCCAAAACTTGAGTAACAATATCTTCACAGTCTGTTATTATCAAAAATAATATGAGTGGTAATATGTTAAAGATTTACAATGATTATAGAATTGATTTCAATTAAAATAATTATTGAACATGACAAATAACTTACCATTCACAGCTTTCAGTGCTCTTTTTCTGTCATCATTATTTGCTAATTGTACTAGATTAGCATATTTTGTAACGGTACTATTAAATAAATTCATTGCGTTTTGGATTGAAAATGATCCATTGGTGGTGGTATTGGATTGAGTCATCATCGGATAGCCTCCTGACTGTAATGAAGAATCACTAGATCGTGAAACCATGCCATGAGAACTTCCAGTCGATCCCGGAGCAACATAAAAAGTATTATATTGTTGTACGGATTGGTGTAGAAAAGGATTAGATACATTAGAGGGTACTGCTCCTGATGCTGGGAGATTCACTTGTTGTTGTGGATGATGATCAAATGGATTTACTTGTTGTGGATGAGTTGGAGGTAATAAATTACTAGTTCTTGGTTGGATGTTTGGGTACGATGAAGGAGGATTTTGTGGATTGATCATTGGATTGGATATTATTGGTTGTGGTTGTTGAGTGGTAGATCCCAGTGGAATCATACTATCTGCTCGTCTTGCTCCCGATGATGAGGCTGAAGTCGAAGGATGGAAGTGTTGATCCGAGTGAGACTTTTTCATTTTTTTTTGGCGATGAGGGAAATTGGGTGCTTTCGTCTCCATGTAATCAAACATGATAATAAGAAGCTTTAATATTAATAATTATTTAACTAATTGTTTGATTACATGGTTAAAATACAAGTTGTTTGACGTGCAAAGAATTTAAATTTTTTGATGAACTCACTGCATCTTTTTTCCAACACATGGTCTTTATGTTACCAATGTTATTGACGTCGTCTGTATCTTTCATTTGAAGCTGTGAAGTGCTCTCTGCATAAACACCTTCGTTGCAAGAACATTGCCATTTCCTTCCATTAAATTCCTAATTGAACCTATCTTTGACATGTTTTTGTCATTGTCAAACAAGTATTTGTTTTTGTCACAACATCAAAAACAAAAGCAACTTGAGAGCCAGCTGCTTCAACCAAGATTGCGAAATCATTGATATCATCATTCATCAGTGAAGCTTTTTGGTGTCAATCCATCCACAATTTGAAAATATTTTCGAGAGCTTTCGCGAGTACTGTTGTGAATATAGCCAAAAGAATCAATACTCTCCCTGTTCGTATCAAAGAATATTCTGAACTTTTTCAAACGAATCTTCTCTCGCTCGAGCGACATCCATAAGAATCCCAATCGCTCACCACCAACACAACAGTATCGATAATAATTTACCAATAGAACAATCAAGACAAAATATATATTTATTCCCAACTCACCATGAGCCCTTCATCACTCATGAATCACTGCCTTCAAGCGAATCCATCATCAAACAAAATGATGACCTCGACCACGTTGACTTCCACGGAGAACAACACACAAGAACAAGAACAACAACATTCATCACACCACCACCACCACTCTATGATGAACGGGAATTCACAACAACAATCAATGCTACTCCATACTACTACTACCGCTACCAATAATACTTCACAACAACAACAACAATTATATCATCTCTTGTTGAATCAATTATCACAACAACAACAACAACAACACACCAACACCATACCAACAACACCACAATCATCACTCTCCTCACCGTCTCCTCCTACGAAAGCTGTAGTCGTAGGAACATCATCTCCAACAACAACAACCTCTTTCACTGCACTTCTCACGGGTATTCCTTCTTCTTCATCGACGACGACGACGACCACAAACACTGTTGTCCAAACGACGAACAATAACACCACAAATAATAATAATAACGGCAAGATAACACCAACTTCCAATAAGATCATTAACAGCACAGGAACTCCCTCTACAAATAGTACTACTAGTACTACCAACACTTCATCAGCTTCCAACATGATGCCTCCTCCTACGCTTCATCATCATCACGGAACCAACATGTTTACACGTTCATGCACTCCAACCACTCCATCATCTTCTTCTTCGAGGATGACTCCAACGAATCCATCCCACTTATCCACAACAACAACAAATCCACCCATTTCAAATCCATCCGTCTCTATCAATAATAACAATATTAACAATAACAATATTAACAATAATATTAACAATAATATTAACAATACCAATAATAATAATAATATCAACAATAATAATATGAACATGGTATTGTCATCCAATCATCCCATATCCATGAATTACAATCAAATCATTACCACCATTTTACAAAATCCATCCAGTGTAAAATCCATGAATCCACTCCTCATTCAACACTTGTTAAAACAATTACACCAAATCTCATCAGTACAACATCCAACAGTCACTAAAATTATTGCATTGATTCAATCTCAATTCATGACCACCACCACCGCTGCTGCTGCTACAAGTGGTCATAACTTTAATACTGGAATTTCAAATGCAACCAACACCAGCAGCACCAGCACTACCATCCCTCTCACCCCACCTCATTCCGGAAACACAACGCACCAGCAGCAACACACTCCGATCAACAAAAATTGTAGTAGCAGTAGTAGTAGTGGTAGCGCAACAACTCTTCCACATTCAACACCACCACCAACGACGACGACTACTTCTACGACGACGACGACGACTACCACCTCGAGTAGTTCTATTCCTCCTTCGTCACTGCCTCCTCCTACGAACATATCCGATTTGAATTCAAATAACATACCCATTCAGTTAAGGTCGACGACCCTCACATCATCCTCTCCAAGTAGTAGTAATACATTGATGACACACCCAACAACCACAACCACACCTTCCGCTCCAACTACACCCACATCATCACTGGCAGTACATTCCTTGTCTAGCCTGGGATTGGCAACAACAACTGCTACTACTTCGAATCTTAATAGTACCTTTTCCACTTCCACTTGCCCTCCCAATCTCACACAAGAAATTATGCTCTATTTAAATCAAAAACAAGACCAATATTGTACACACAGCTATCGATCTGGTGATCAATTTTTATTCGATCAAAAATTATACGAATATCATGTGGAATCGATTGAGGATTTGATGTGTGTGGGTTTGAATACACCAATTAGCTATTTCAATAGGAATGAATCAATGCATGATCATACCGTACAACAGCTTTATTCAAAACAAGTACAACCATCTACAAATTCCAACCAAACATGGCATCATCCGACGAATAAGGGAGCTCCCTTAATTGGAAATAATAATCCGACGAATAATAATAGATCAACACCACCTGCAACATCAAATACGACTATGAATACTCAAACCTCTTCATCTAATGGCTCAGCATTTCAAAGATATATGAGAGAATCACTCACGGATACCGTTCAATACTATCCAACTCGAAATATGGATGGAAGTGTGAAATCCTCAAAGGAAAGGTAAAATAATCAATTTCTAAATGAATTTATTATTGCTCTATTGAGATATATTAGAATTTGAATCATAAATGCATTTCTTTTGATTGGAAAAGAGTATGAATGGATCATTGATGGTATGCACAATCATTCATGATGGATTTACTGTATAGGATTACAAATTAGAATTCCAAGTAGTATGAATCCAATTCCAGTATACACTTGCATTTTATGCTTTCTTTCATGTCCTAACAAATAAATATCAGTGAGCTCGGTAATGACACAAGTGAGAGAATTCACACAAATGACAGCACTAAATCATGTTATGAAAACTGTTATTAATTTCCACACGTACGTTGTTAAATTTGTATATCCCAATAACAATAAAAAGAATAGAGATCCACACCAATTGATGAGTTGAACAAGCACAAATTTCCAATTTCCAAATAATGAAATTAATTGATGCAAAATAGTTGACGGGATGTGTTGTGTGGTCGTTTGTTTCTTTGTATCCTTATGATCATTCTTGTTTGATAATGATAAACTTCCAAAATATTTTAATAATGGATTGGTAATTCCCCATATTAGTGAATTTAGTAGAATGTATGTCACAATTTTGAATACATTCTGTGATGAAAATTTATTAAATTCAGAAGGAATTGAATCGGAAATAGGGGTTCTTGAATGGATGACATTTTTTTTGTGTTGTACTGCTACCATGGATCACTGTTCGAGAAAATAGCATTCTGCCCAAAAAAAGCATCCACTTGAGCAAGTTTTTTTAATCGAGCAAATTTGTAATTGTTCAAATTGTTTAATAAACTTGTTGAAAAACTACAATTATTCCAATGAATTGGATGACTTTTTCAATTTCTTTTTTTGAATCCAATTTTGAAAGGCAGCATAGGCAATATCCAACTTGTTGGCATCTCTCACAAACAATCTTACATATCTTTCCATAAATTGAGATGGAATTAAATAACTCACTTGTTCCTTTGCAATATGGAATGGTTCATCATCATCGCTACCAAAAGTGGATTTGTAAAAGAGACATTGATCGACTGGATTCTTATCTTTCATTGAATAATTAATAGACATGTTATGAATAATGATATCTGAGGGATGAAGACAAGTCTCTAAATGTCCATAACCAGCAATATTGGGTGCACACGATGCAATCTCTTCTTCACAAACATCCTTTTTGATTTCTTCAAATCGATCCAAAGGTAGTAAAACTTCATCAACAAATTTGTACAAATCACGACGTTTCAATCGTTTTAGAATTTGTCTCGATTTAGACAATTCAGGATTCGTGCTTGTTTCAATCTTGTACAAAATACTATCTGATAAATGAACATATTGTTCAGGACAATGAATCATTTCAGAGATATGAAGATGAGGGTCAGCCTCAACCAATGCATCTGTAATCATATATTCCACAGATTTACCCACTCGATGAGTATAAACTTGTTTGTGTAAATTGTATCGAGTATGAAACATTTCATACAAGTTGTAAACTTCTTTTGATGAAAAACAAATATTTCCATGAATAATTCTACTAAATTCCATCAATCTTGAAGAATCATAGGAAGAGATTAATCCTAAATTTTGACAATCTCTTGCAAGGTAATCAAATTTATCAACATCTACTGAATTCTTCTTATTAGCAACAATTTGATAGAGATATTGTCGATTTTGTGAGAATTCATTTTTAGAAATGTGACCATCAATCATGTTGAAAACCATATCACATTCTTCTTTACCAAAATCAATAAATTGGATGTCATGATCATAGGAGAGTGTTGTTGTAGGAAGAGCCATGTCCTGTGAAGAAGATGCTTGTTGAGAAGAAGAACTAGGAACTCCAATGAATTGCTCACTTAAATGTTCAACCTCCTCTGCATTCAATCCCAGTACTGTATTCTCATTCAAATCACCATAATTCTTAACATCATTGGTATTTTCATCTAACATGTATTTGAACATGGTTTTAGAACCCATTTCATGAGTCCAAGGAATAGAATCCATGATAGAATTCTGTTTCTTCACTCTTGGAATAAATTCATTATCAAACACATGACTGAATGGTCCATGACCTAAATCATGACACAAGGCAGCTACTTGTAAAATATAAATATCCTTATAGGTAGGTCTTTCATGATCAGAACTGCCATCACGATTGGGTGTACTAAAAGTACCACTGCCACCACCACCCATACTACCATGACCACCACCATTACCACCAACACCACCACCACTCATACTACCATGACCACTCACTCCCCAATAATAATCTTGACGATTCATAAATAATTTATCAATCCATTTCTTTGATAAATGTCCAACTCCCAAACAGTGTTCAAATCGATTATGAGATGCACCTGGAAAGACATAATAACAACTTCCTAATTGTTTTAAATCACGTAATCTTTGAAAAGATTCAGTATCAATGACTTGTTTACAAATTGAAGTTGGAAAACTAATATGACTATGAATTTCATCTTTGAAAATTCGTTCTCTTCTTTGAAATGGAGACAATGTCTGATGTGAAGAAGAAGACACATGTTGGTGATATCTTAATCGATCTGCATACACAGATTCACTTGGAGAAATAAAAGGATGTGGTTGTCCAATTTTTTGAACACTATGAGTGGAGACTTCAAAGAGTGAAGGAGGTGTTTTGATGGATGGAGGTGTTATCTTGTTCTCAACACTGACATCCATCATGGCCATGGTGTGACTACCACTGCTCGTAGTAGTAGTAGCTTTACTGAATGGAGAAGATTCATATTTTCTAAAAGAGGTTGGAGTCAAGGCAGGAGAGGAAGACTCTTCATTGTTGAGTGAACTTTGAGTGTCGATCGAGTGATGATGATGACTCAAAGAAGAGAGTGGAGTGATTGGAGAACGTGGTGAATGAATTTGTTCTTCTTCTTCAATCCGATGTGAAGATGAGGTTCGGGTGGGAGTATTTGGCATCATCACTATGAATTCAAATTTTTTTTAATTTTGAACGGAAATTTTGGCGGCAAATCGATTCCAATTGAAGGGTTGATCATGGAATCAAGTGAATTTCGAAAAAGAACACATGACACGTGCATGGTATTGAATAGTGCTACATTATATTATTTACAAGCATGTACAATGACAATATTCTTCAAGGCATTCACTTGTTCCATATTTGGCATGGTTGGATGTCTATGAAAAGTCTGATCATACAATTTTGTGAGTTCATATTCATTTAAATTTCCACCCACATGTTGACTTGAATAATGATAAATGAATAGACTCATCCAATCACTAGTAGTGGTCATACTTAAAAATACTTCACCATCCACACATTGTGTAGTCATGATCGATAAATGTTCCTTTAAAGTTAAAATCTTTTTTCTTTTCAAATAATTGGCTACTTCTGTACTTGGAGTAAACGATATTCAATATAGGATGAATTTTGACCCATACTATTGGAAACACCATTCACCAGATGTGCTGTACTTGAACTCGTAACAATACTATTGAGAATATCATCATCGTCATCGAGAGATCGACTCACACTTGTAAAGAGACCACCACCACTACCACTACCACTACTACTATTCAGAGAAGCATCTTGAGGAGAGAATGATTTTCCATTCGACATGGCTATTAATGAAGGATTTCTACTCACTTCCATCAATACCATTTCAGCATCTAAATGATATAAATTTTTTCGTAATTTCAATGATTGTAAATATAATTTTCGAATGCATCCAAATTTTGTTACAAAGGGAAAGTTTTGAGCCAATGCATACTCTTCAGATTGTAATATATTTTTATAGATATATTCTCCATTGATGTTTTTAATTTTTGAAAATTGTTTGACATAGAGATCGAGACCGATCAATTTCATCCATGACAGAACATGTGAGCAAGACCAATCTCGGACATAATTCGTATCAAAATGTTTATCAATATATTCTTGAAGTCTTTTTTTAATGTTACTGTTGGAGGAGGTGTTGTTATTGCTAGACGCTGCAGACATTTTTTCATGAATCAATGATCCAATGAAAATGACACTTGATGGATGTGGTATGAAAAAGGGGTGTGCTCAAAAGGCTGTTCATTCAATTAGCTTGTTACAACACGATGAAAGAAATCTGTTGCTGAAGGCGGAGAGAACAACACAAGTGAGGTTTCGTGAATTTCCTACTCAATCTCGTGTGACCTGTGTTTCAAAGTTTCGCCCAAAGGCACTTACAAAAAGAACAATGAACTTCCCAAAACAAAAAAAATGCTGAACAATTCTCATCCACACACAACAAACTCTCTTTCGGGAACCCAAGAAGGTCCAAACAACACCTTTGTTCCATCGGTCAATCAGCTCAATCAAACAAAACGCATCATGATCAAAGAACTTCTCTCCGTCTATGAATTCAATGATGAAATACTTTTAAAAACAATGAAAATGATGCTCGAGGAGAATGATGAGAATACTTTGGAAATATCACAACAAGATGTAAAGACAAATTCTGACCATTTACAAAATTCAATGACCACCAATTCAAGTTCCAACATCTCACATGACACTTCTTCCATCACCAATCAATTAGAAGATTATTTAATAGAATATGCTCCACTTCGATTGATTTATTGTCTTTATCAATTTCTGATCAAAGGAAATCGTTTACATCAACGTTTGAGATATCCAAATTTATTTGTATATCCTCAAATTGGAAGTGATGAGCCTTATTATGATCCACATTACATTGATGAACATGATTTTATTCATGATGAAGAGGAGGACTTGGATAATAACCATAACATGCCACAAGAGACTTATAATTATTCCATTTTTAGAAGTATCTCATTAGATTTGGAATCTAATTTTGAAATGATTAGAAATGAATTTATTCAAGTCTATTCCAATCATTTCAATACTTGTAATTTTATGGATAGAATTCAAAGTAGTGTCAATGGTCAATGGAATGCCATCTATCTTGTGAATCAAGGAAAGTTAGATGATGAATCTATTTCAAAATTTCCAAAAACATTTCAACTATTAGATTCCATATTAGGATTCGAAGATGGTAGAATATGTAGATTGAATATAGGATATGTTTATTTTAGTATCATCCATGAAGGTACTCACATATTACCACATTGTGGTGTCAGTAATATTAAATTGAGAATTCAATTACCATTAATCGTTCCTCTTGAGAAGAATCAAGAAAGGAATTTCGTGACCATGAAAGTTAAAAATATTGAAAGACAATACAGAGAGGGTCAAATTATGATATTGGATGATAGTTTTGTACATGAAGTCAAATATCAGACGAGTAGTAGTGAGTTGCAACATGATGAATTTGTCAACAACAACAACAACAAGACAACTAGTCTTGACAATGATTCTTCTTCTGCTAGTTGCGATAATACTAGTACTATTAATAATAATTCTAATCGTTTGATCATGAATGATATACATTCTTCCACTATTCATACTACTACTAGTATACCCTCTCTAAACTCGATTCGAGTAGTATTATTGATTGATATTTATCATCCAGATTTAGTAAGAGATGAAATTCAATTATTACATTTATTCTTTGATAATATGAATGGAGCATTATAATAGAATTCAACTGTAGTAGATTCATTCTATATTCACTCATCAAATTCTAGATGACATTCAAATGTACTGTTTCATCTATGAATGAATTTATCATGTATTGTCACTTCTAAGTGGTTCGATGCAGTGTATCACCCGTTCTATCATCTCGACTGTGATTCATCTACATGAGCAATTCGTTTGACATTTCCTTCTCGTCCCAATAGCATCATTCTTTGAATCATTCTTTGCAATTTTCTTGCAGCATTGAGAACTCTTTTCGTCAATCGATTTCTTTTTTGAGTTGTTGGAAATAATATTTTGGATGTTGGTACTGAGGGAGTGATGATTGGAGGTTTTGTTGTTACTACTTTCATGGATTGAGGATCATGATTCGTTCTCTCAGAGTTGTTGTTGAGTGCACTTGTATGTTGCTGTTCATGTAATGATGATGATGTATCTATCCTATGAGTATCATCATGTTTCAATGTTGATGTTTTGGATGGTTGTGATGGATCATTGCTTGAGAAGATTGGATTGGTTTTTCGAAGAAGGATAACTTGGAGTGATTGTTCAATTTGATACCTATCGAGTGACAAGTACTCGTTGGACAAGTAGTACTAGTACTTGAGGGGTCCACTGCACTTCCTGTAACGGGAAAGCATGATGATCTAAGATCCTTTTCTTGATGATTTTCATGATTATTTTCATCAACAACAACCATATTGGTCTCACGATCGTTGTTCGTGTGATGATCATCATGGTGTAATGATGATGATGAAACATAAGGATCAGTGGGTGATGATACAACCATCATTGGATTTGTTATATTCATCAAACAATCACTGATTTCATGTAGTAACTGTTCACTTTCCATCAATTGAGAGAGAGTATTACATTTCAATAATTGTTTACCGTAGATTTCCATCACCATTTCTAAATTAGTCACTTCCATACTAAGATTCAGCAAGTGAGGTTTGTTAATGTACAATTTAAATACTTGTAACATGTCAATCACACTCGATAGAAAGTCAGTATTCTTAAGGTTGGAATGGATGGGAGTGGTTGTTTCATCATCGCATACTAATCGAGTGATACACTCATTCTCTTTGTCCATTCCAATGTTGATTATATGATATGTACTACTGCTACTGTGACTACTATTACTACTATTACTACTGTGACTACTATTACTACTGTTACTACTATTACTATTCTGATCCAAAGTAGATTTATTCTCATCATTGTCATCATCAACATGACAACAACAACCACCTCTTCCCAATGTCAAGAATAATTGTTGAATGCGTTCTTGATCATGACAAATATACAATGATACTTGTTCATGAATCATCTTTAACAAGGAGTCTCTAACAATAATACTTCTAATATCATGTAAATAATGTATATATCGATCCATGACATGATCGTTATGTTGAGATTTTAACCATTCTTCTTCTCTCATATATAATTGATAGTGTAAGAATTGAATGATGGTATTGAGCAAATGAGTACATTCTCTTTGAAATTCTGAACTTGATTCAATGAGTAGATGAATCATTTGATATAAGAGATTGGAAGATTCAGTGGTGCTCGAGATTGACATGAAATCTTCATGGATTATTATATTGGAAGATTCGAGCTTGTCTCTTGTTGAATTTTTCTTGTGAAGAATACAACTCTCATGAATGCTTTGAAAGATCTTCAAATACATGATTAAGAGTTTACGAAATGAAATACATTGTTTGATATCTAGACATGACCTATATACATTTTGAAGATATTTGACATAGAGTGTATATTCCTTATGAATGAGATAGGTGATTATTAATTGATATCGATAGGAAGATGTGAATGAGGAGACAAGTACTTGTGATGATGTATGACCATGATGATGATGACTCTGAGAAGAGTGTGTATGATGTGTATGATGATGATGCTGAGGAGAGTGAATATAGTGTGGACTTGGAGAGAATCTTTTCAATGGTTCATCTTCAGTTGGCCAGCTGACCTTGAACACGTGAGAATCTCTACTAGGATGGGTTGTTGTTGGCATCGATGAACTTATGGATGATTTCTTCATGGTTGCATTCACTAATTGATGGTACAAGTATGGTAAATGTGTGTATTGAGCATATTGAATGTAGTCATTAAGATGAGAAAAGCTGAAACGATGTAATGGTGGTAATGTATCATCATGGTGCATTTCATTGTTACTTGTGAGTACGGTGGACGACTCACAATGACACTGATTCGTCGCAATGGGAGTAGTAGTTGTGGTCGTCGTCGTCGTGGTGGTGGTGGTGGAGGACAACACAACAGAACTTTCTTTAGCATTCTCAGGAGTACCAACAGCACTACTACTAGTTGTGGTTGCAACAGTTGCATTCTCAGGAATTGCTGCAGTGCTGTTACGAATCGTCGTCGTTGGTGTATCACTCGTTGATGTCTCCACTGAAGTTGGTTGTGAATGAAGAGTGAGTGTACTGGTTGTATGATGGAAGATGGGCGAAACAGTATCATCATCATGAAGATTGTTGGTATTAGGATGACCCTCAGCATGTTGTTGTTGCACGTGATTGTTGTTCACTGCAGAAGAATACTGTCGATTCATGAAGCCATTATAATGATGGATGGGGTGGCGTTGATGATGACTAGAAAACATTTTTTGGTTAACTTCCTTTTAACAACAGAGTACTATTTGATATTGACTCATCCCAAACTAGAGCAAAAATAATTTAGAGAATCCGTAGTACACCATTAATGGATTTCTTGTTAAATTTTACGAAAATCGCTTAAAATGTCCATAGATATCGAACCGTTCAAAAGATATTTCTGGATTCGTTGACGTTTATTGGGTGTTTCTCGATTGCGAAGTCTTATATTAAGGATCGAACCAGCAAACCTTAGTTGACATTGAGCAATCCACAACCAAAAGGTCTCTAAAGAGCAATCAAATACCATCTTCTCAATAAATCATCAGAACTGTTGCCACCAGAAAGAGCCAGACATTATTATCGAAGGACTATTTATCAAATACTCTGTTGGACAGTTGAAGAGTACATGATTTATCGTCAATTACTTTTGGATTACGAAAACCTTTGTTATTAAAACTTGTGGTGGTTTAGAAAAATATTGTTAATTTGTTTCAACATTAATAGTTATGCATAAAATATGAAATAATTACGTACACATGTTTATTATAAAGATCCTCTGTTTTCCTAAACTTGGAATAATACATTATCCATCTCCATTGCTGTTAATTGAACAGTCGAAACTGTAAGTCTTTGGTTGGTTAGAAGTGATACAGTAGAGACACTGTTCAACTCGAAGAAGCAAAATTAATTACTACAACGATATTACAACGTTATCTATCGTAAACTATGAGAGAAAAAGCTTCACCATATTACCCTCAAATCTCATGAAACTTGGTTATGGATGTTGTAGCGTAAGATGAGCCCTGTAGAATGGATGATAACGTTGAGTTATTTAAGAGACTGTTCTTTCAACGAATATCCATGTTTTGAGTAATATCTTCGAGGGTGTATAATTTCATTATTAAAGTATGTACTGTTTGATTCAGGAACTAATTTTTCCTAATGCAACAGCAAGTATGTTTTATTTCTTTTTAAATTACCTATTAACCTTATTCCACAACAACAGCGCTTCTGTATGTAACGTTATGTACCTGTCTCACAGTAAACTCAACATTCGTGCTTCATACAAACTGGAATCAATGTGTTTCGATTTCTAAAAAAATAGGCATGACAACAAGCAACCATGAACCCCTTTTTCAAAGGTTTAAATTTGCAGTGCAGTACGATGGCACCAAGTACAATGGATTTCAAAAACAAACTACAACACAAAATACAATTCAAGAAAAACTAGAATCAGCATTCCATCAATTACAATTTCCGAATGACCATTTAGTGAATTCATCATCTTTGCAACATTTAAAGAAGTCATTAATTTGCTCTTCACGTACTGATAAAGGTGTACATGCCATCAAAAATACATGTCATATTGATTTGTGTGTAAATTTTGAAAGACGAAAAAGAAAACTTTGATTGAATCAACTTCACAATATGTTTCATCCGAACAACCATCATTGAGCAGGAACCTCAATTTACTGTTACATCAAATTCACTCTTTTCCAATAGCATGAAAATGAAAAATTTATTGAATTATTATTTGAAAGATGAAACCATAAGAATTCTTGAAATTGAATCAGTTCCTTCCTCCTATCACTGTAAAAAGAATGTTTTACATCGTTTATACATGTATCGAATGATTGATCATTTAAATTATAATGATTCACCAATATCTATGAACAATTCCAATAATCATAATTGTAGTAGTAATACTAGTACTACTGATGAATCATTAATGAGTAGTATCGAATCCAACCACCACACAATCAACAGTTACAACACTCGAACCGAGACATCCATGAAAAGACTTTCAACAACTGAAACATCCTCAGCGAAAAACAACACTTCTTCCTTCGCTTCAATGAAAAACATTAATTCAACCAAAAAAAAGAACAACACTCCTTCTACTTTTAATGCTAGTAATAGTAATATAGTAGTAGTAATAATAGTCATGGTGGTTTACTCAAATGTGAAATGCACAGTACTCTATTTCCATTAGAATCATATAAACTATGGTGCATTTCAGAGAAATTAAATATTCATGCAATGAAACAAGCATGTCAATATTTCATTGGAACTCATAACATGACATGTTTTTCCTCTTCAACATTTTCATTTCAAAATCCTAAAAAGAAAATATCACCAATGAAAACCATACAAGAAATGTATATTCAACAAGAAATACCAAATTTATTTATCACTGCTAGTAATGAATATAGAATATTCATTAAATCTAAATCATTTATGAAGCATCAAATTAGATTCATGATACAAGTTCTAGTAAAAATTGGAAGAAATGAATTACCACCAGAATGCATCCAAGAATATTTACAATCCAGTCAAAGAGTAGAATCTACTAAAAATATGGCACCTGCACATGGATTGTATCTTGTAGATGTGGTATATGCAACAGAAGAGGAAAGTAGTACTAATGATGATTCTGATGAATTTTCTGATTGATATCATCACTTTTTGAAGAAAATTATTAAAATTCGTCATTTCAATACATATTTCAGTTAAAAAAAAATAGTTAAAATCCATCATCATTATTATTATTTTGAATAAATCATTATTGATTTTATACTACTACTACTACTCCTACTTACATGGATTTTGTTATAATTTTTAAATCTTTCACTAGATTTGAAATTGATTTTTCTTTTTCTTGAAATGCCTGAGCTACCGATTGAAAAGATTCAAAATTCATTGCATGACCAGAACTACCACTCGAGTTTTCCATATTATTACAAAATATATTTGGATGTTTCAATTCAATTTCCATTGATCCTAGAAATGATCTTACTTGTAATAAACTTATTTGATCAATTTGATTTAAAATATCAGATTCAGTTTGTTTCATACCAAATGCATTCATTGCACCAATTGAAAATGATTGATCAATCGATTTTAATTCTTCTTCTGAGAATCCAATGATATCATTGGAGGGTTGAGATGATGTATGAATTTGGGTTTGAGTGGTTGTTGTTTGGGTGGTGGTGTTCATGGGTGGAAGTGGTGAAATTATTGGTTGTTGTTGTTGTTGTTGAACCATAGGGATGATCGATTGACCACTATGATTCGATGGATTGTTGTTGTTGTTGTACAGGGTATTGGTGGTTAACAATTTATTCCTTGGTGTTGTGGTTGTTGTTGTTGCTGAGGAGGAGGATGGAATGATTGTTGTTGTTGTTGTTGCTGAGGAAGATGGAATGGTTGGAGTGGTTGATGATGACGGAATCATGGTTGGTTTGTTTGGGTGGTGGTTGTGTTCATGAAAGTATTTACATGATGTTGAATACTACTACCACCACTCATACTGGCAGCAGCCAAACTTGTTCCTGAACTTGAAGAGCTGTTACTACTGCTGCTATTACTACCCACACTGCTACTGTACACGTTGTTGTGTTCGATGATGAAGAAGTCATGATCATTTTTTTTGTAAAGCATTGTGTCATGCTGGAATCACAGAGCTCTCAAAAAAATGAATCATCAACACCAACCTCCTACTACCACCTCATCAAACATTACCATCAACCATTCAACGAATCATCACAATGATGATGATATGAATAGCAGTGAAAATGATGATCATTCCGATGAAAATGATCTTTTATTGAGTCATCATGAGTTGAATCAAAATCCATCCATCATTGTTGGAGGGGATCTTTTGTGGTCCACAAAAATCATTCAAGTAATCATAATAGTAATCATATCAATCATACAAACAATATGGAAATCTCTCATTCTAAATTAGAAATACTCTATGATCATTTTAAAACCTTTCTTCTTAATAATTCATATCTCTATTGGATGTATTACATTTCCATGATTTCTCTTTGTTTGATTTTATTAATTTGGTCGATATGGGCAGGTGGAAAACCTCATGTTACATCAGGATCCACTACTCAAACGGTTGACACTTTATTTATAGTCTTAGAGGGTATTATTACAATAATATTAATATTAGAAATACTAGTTCGAATATTTATATTTTATAATGGAAATATCATGTCTTATTTATTTGATGATTTTATCAATTGGTTTGATTTGATTGTTAGTATATTTTGTATCGTTGGATTTATTCTATATTTAGTGACCTCCAATCGAGTAGAAGAGAGAATTGAAGAAGTAATTGATAGTATTTTAATTACTTTTAGATTTCTTACTCAAGTATTGAGAATTATTACTTTAATACGAAATCAAAGAAAGAGACGACAAGAAATGTTGAATGAAAATTATATTGATTTGAGTACAAGTAATAATAATAGTACTAGTAATAGTAATTATAGTAATAGTATTGAAACACCAATGAATCTCAGTAATAATTTCATGATTCATTCCGATCAACAACCACTCATGTTGAATTTTCTACGAGACACGTCCAATGATTCTGACTCTGAAAATTCTCAATCTTTTGAAGAACATTTGGAATTAATGGAAAATTCTCAAAGAAGAGACTCGTCAACGAGTACTACACTCAACGAGTCGGTGTGAATCCATGATTCTCAGTGATAGATTCTGATGAGATGGTTGTTCATTCCATCATATATATGGTTGTTGTTGTTCATTCATCATTTGGCTGTTGTTCATTCCATCATATATTGGTTGTTGTTGTTCATTCCATCCATGAACATTCAGTATGTGTCACACGTGTACAGACACTTGCAGTATCGATCCTGTTGTATGGCCTTCTCTATATTACTGTTCATCCAATACTGGTGAGAAAGGAGTATGATTCGTTACATGTTCAAGTAAGGGTGGTTGGAATCGAGAGTATTGAATGATGAAGTTGTCATCGTAGTGGTCGTCGTCGTTGTATGATTCATATCACCATTGTCATGATTGTGTTGTACTTTGGCCATCATCATCACTTGAGAGAGATGTTGAATCATGAATTTTCTTGATCCACTCTTGATACCATAACAATCACACGCGTACTTCAAGTCTCGTTTTGATTTTTCATTCAATTCTTGTAAGGTATAAATTGGTGGTGTTCCATAATGTCTTTTTGAATGTAATAGTTCATCATCCGAATTCATCATCATCATGCATTCAGATGTGTTAGGTTCTTCTTCGAGACTTGAAAGGGATGAAGAATCTATGATGAATTGTAGAGAATGGGTTACTACTGGATGGGAGTATTCTTGTTCAACATCATCCACTTGTTGTTGAGTCCATAAAGTAAGAGGTGGTTGAGATGAATCATCATGCTGATTCATTGGAGATGATGAACTCTGAATTTCAGGTTTTTGAGTGAGGACTTGAGGTGTCAGAGGAGAGGTTACATTTGATTTCATGATTCTAGAATAATCGTCATGATTGCAAATCATCACTGAGAATGGTTGTGACAACAAGCTTGTTGTGGTGGTGGTAGTATCATGATCCATTTGAGTGAGATCTATGAATGAAGATGGTGTAATACATGTTGAATGACTTGTGGTGTTCTTTATGAATGGTTGTTGATGATCATTCATATTAGTAGTAGTAGTGTTGGTAGTATTATTGGTAGTATTATTGGTAGTATTATTATCAGAAGAAGTATTATTAGTATTATTCATGAATAATTCATTCTTCTCTGAACATTGTTGTAATAATGACTCGACAGATTCTAAATGAACATGACTATTCATACGACGATTGTATTCATTGATGTTCTCTTTCAATTCAGAATATAATTGAAATACAGTCTCTCTGAATTGATTCACTAATTCTTGAGGGTGAATCAAGCTCGTATGATCATCATTATTGGTGGTGGTGGTGGTCTGTTGTGCATGTTCATGAGAATTATTTGATAATCTTCTTCTCAGAGAAGTATCATGAATCACAACATGATTCTCAAAAGACTCTCTCATTTCACCAGTATTCTTTTCGAATATCATCATTGATGTGTCTGTTTCACCAAGTACTACTTGTGTCATGATATCATCATGTACAAGTGGTAATGGTGATCGTGGTGATGGTGGTGGTGGTGATGATGGTTCACACAGTTGAGGTACCTCAACAACACTCAACTCCTTATTCAACGACATGGAAGGAATGTTAGAAGCAACATTACATTTCTCTGTACTCTCTTGTAAGGTAGTTGTGTCACTAGTTGTGTCACGACAAGTAGTTGTGGTTGGATTTGAGTGACTTGTGTTGTTGTGAAAGAAGAATCATTGGGATGATCACTATTACTACTACTACTCTGATCATCCTCCTCCTCACCACTACTACTACTACTACTCGTACTATCCAATGTTGTGATCTTTTGAGTGAGGGGTTGATGTGCCATGGACCATAACGAAGAGGAAGTAAGAGTGCTGGGAATTCCATGATGATTGGTGTGAGTAGTAGCAGTTGTAGCAGTGAGGTCAATCATATCACCGCCACCATTAGTAACATCTCGTACTAAACTATGAACTCTATGACGGGTGTGTTTCAACTCATTCCTTGAATGTTGTTGTTTCAAAGATGATGTTGGACTCTTTGTAGTAGTAACATTTGTTTCAATGATTGAACTACTACGATTCCTACTATTATTACTACTACTATTACTAGTAATACAACCATTTCTTACACTACTACCACCATTACTACCACTGCTATTATTATTACTACTACCATGATCAAGGAGGCATAAAGATATTTCACTTCTCAATGCATTGGCAATGTCCATACTAGATTTTCGATAGTTCTCTGGAGGTGAGGTATGATTCTTGATTGATAATAAACCATTGGTATGATTACCTTCGAAAGGATGATTTGTTGTTGTTTTTGAACTATTTGTAGTGGAACTATTTG